GTGGGTGGGGCGCCGGGCTTGCGCTGGCTTGCGCCCGGGCGGCGATTGGCTGCGGCTCGCCCCGCCCAGAGGGACGGCCAATGAGCGGCCGGCAAGCCTCGGCAGCCTCGGCAGCCTCGTCTCCGCTTCTTTTATTGCCGCGATTAGCCGCCACGGCAAACCGCCACATGAGGAGCTGCCTCTGCCCGCACCGCGGAGCACCGCGGAGCCTACACCGTCAGCGGGCCCACCCCGCTACCGGTCAAGACCGCCCGCAGCCACGTGGGCGCGCTCCACTCGACGAATGGAATGCACAGTGGTCCAGAGGACCGGCCAAAATCCCGGACGCGTTTTGAGCTCCAGAGTCGCTAAATGGGACTGGAATCTCACGTGTGACCCCACCAATGGATTGCTCTCCGAACGAGGAATCCATTGGTGGGGTCACACGCTCGGTTCGAGTTCTATTTAGCGACTTCCTGACCGAAATTTGGGCCAAATTGGTCATGATTATGACCGTTTGATTGGCAGTGCAGCCACCAGCCACACGTCTGAGGCCGGGCCCGCCGGCCGGGCCCCTCCGAGACGCGCCGCTCCAAACCGCTTCCGGTTCCGGTTCGGCTGGACCGGAAGTGGCCGGCACGGTCCGGAAGGTGCCGGAAGGCGTGGCACCGCACCGTAAAGCGATCAGACCCAGAGGACGTGCAAGTCTGCCATGTGTGTGTACATGTGTGTGTGTGTGTGCCGCCCACGCCATCCGCAGGACCGCTTAGTGCTCTGCTAAGCGTTGCGGTCGTGTCACATTGTCACAAAGTCGCCCATAATAGTATTAAAACAATTTTTGAAAAATTTTAAGTTTTCCTAGGGTTCCTGCACTGACCCCGTCAGCTCTTTGGTTGGCCTGCTAGACGCCCCCCCCCCCTCCACCGCAAATCGCAGTGCTGTCTATCTCTTCCAGCCGGCTTGCTCCACGCCCCTTTCAATCTGGCCCGCCTGCCCAGCATTCCAAACGGTGCCCGCGCCGTCGCTCCGTCTCTCTCGCACTCGTGGGGCGCGCCGCATAAGTGCGAGAGAGACAGAGCGACGCGAACGACTCTCGGAATCAGTCCGCAGCCGTCCTCGGCGATGACACTTCCCCTCCCCTTCCGTGTACAGTGTACTGGATCCGCGGCTCCGAGGCCGCGAGGGGAGCGGGTCGAGTCGCCCTGCCCTCGCCAGCCAGCGGCCGAAAAAGCCGTAAAAAACGAAAATCAAACGGCGGCTACTGGGATTCGAACCCGCACCTCACTTTGGGGCAGGTGCGGCGCGCGAGGCGGTGCGTCCGGCGGGCCAGGGAGAAGGCTGGCGACGCGGTGGGTCATTTGTCCCGCCGCGATAACATCACTGATCCCACACCAGATCAAGCACCACCTAATCCCGGTGGCTCGCGCGCCGTCCGCGGCGGGGCTTGGCGGGGCCTCCACCTTCGGGGCCGTCAAGGCCTTCGAGGCCGTCAAGGCCGTCGGGGGGATCCGCAAAGCCCCGGGCCGCGGGCCTCGGACACTGAGTGGCCGAGGACGTCCCAGAGAGCGAGGCCGTGCAGGCCGTCTGTGATACCGCGATGCCGATAAGGAGAACGCGTCCTCGGCGTTCATTTATATTCCACATGCTGATGCCGCATCGACCCCCTCCCTACCCCCTCCCGGACCGCCATCAAATCGCCATCAAAGTCGAACCGAATCAAGCGCGCCACGCGACACCCGCCGTCCGCTATCCGATTGGGTCGCGAGCTCCGAAAAAAAATAATCGGAGGGAAAGGTCCTGCAGGCAGAGAAAAGTTACGGTGTGCACACGCAGATGGCGCTGTAGTCCAACTTGGCGCGTTTCGAGTGGATGCGACGACGGGGCGCCTGGCGGGCAGGCAGTCCCGCACGCAGCGCTGCTCGACGGGACGGCCTACCCGGCACGGCGCTCTCAGAGCCCGGCGGCCAGCGGTGAGGGCTACCCTGAGAAAGGGGGCCGAAAAAAAACCAGAGTCGCAGGAGAGTGAGTGAGATGGGATGCGGGGCGCAGGCGGAGAGTGAGGCGAGGCGAGGCTGCCTTGCCACGGCCTTGCCACGGCCTTGCCATGCCGGACACGCGTGGCCGTGGCGGCCCGGGCTGCCGGGACCCAGGCAGGCCCAGGAAAGCGAGCCGAGCGTTAAACAGACCCACATTCGCTCTGGCCAAACCCGCCTCTGGCCCAACCCGTCTCTGGCTGCCTCCGGCCCCGCAGGAGTCCAGCCAGTCCAGCAGGGCCGCCAGAGAGGACCGCGCCGGGCGGACCGGGACGGGGTGAGAGGTGAAGGGCAGAGCGGCGTGGTTAAATAGCGGGAAGCGGCCCTCACAAAAATTTTAAAAAAATCACAGGGAAAATGTCCGAGCTGTCGTTTTTCGGGGTGACCCACTGTAAAATTTTGTGTACAATGATTGTGTGAATGTGCAAGAATGTGCAAGATTTCTGGTGTTTTTGCCACACGTGTTGCCTACTGACAGGCGTTTTTGCCACCCAAATGTGGAATGTGGTCAAATGTTGTATGATGAATGTGGGAAGCTGTTCCCCCACTCGGTCCGGCTTTCCCGCGAGATGCGTGAGCGGAAGGGGGTGGGAATCGAAGCCTCGAAGCCCCCCGGCCGCGGCCAGCCACGACCCCTGACAGTAATGCGGTCTCCGATCGACTCTGCGGGGCGACTCTGCGAGGCGCCGCTAAGTTTTTCCGTCGTCTTCAAATTGGCCCCATCAGTCGCGGGCTAACGCGGCATCAACGTCACGCCGAAAACGCCCCCCCCCCTCCCCTCCCTCCCTCCTCCCCCTCCGCCGCAGCCCCGCCCCGACATCGCCAAAGCTGCAGCAATCTTCCCCTCGGCGCGGTCTCTGTCTCTCTCTTTTTTTTTTTTTTTTGCCCTTCCAGCCACAGGGCTGCCCCTCTTCCCCCAATCTGCTTGTCATTCTAAACGTCGCGCTGAAACGATGTACTAATCTACGGCTGGGATCCCGGATTTCCGATTCTACTGGTGACCGCTAAGAGGGCGTGCCCTTTCCCCTCCCCTTTCCCCTTTCCCTTTGCAACCGTCGGCACACAGTCCAACCGTGGCTTTCAATTTCCTTTGTTTAACAGCAGCCTGGAACTGACCAAAACACGAACCGGCAACTTTCGATTTGGAACACCAAAAAAAAAGTGAAATGGCCGATACTAGACAACGAGCGGCGCTGTATTCCACTCGAAATAAAAATTAAAAAGCGATCCCGTCGAGGACCCCGTCAGTTAGACACTCACGCTCAAGTCAGTGCGGTCGTGGACGTGGAGTATCGACGGGTCAATGTTACCGTTGATTAGTGCACACAGCAGGAGCCTCCCGCGCGGGAACTCGTCCCGGCGATACTCCTCGCTTGAGTAGCTCGCCGAATCGCGGAGTATCGACGATGTCTCCCTTCTCCTGCACTGATAACACGGACGCGTGGATGACCACCCACGCACTGCCACGCACGCGGCACGCTCCGCCCTTATCGCATTTTGCTTTTTTCTTCTTTTTTCCCTTTTTCTTCTTTTTTTTTATCGGAGCCGCTTTAATGCGCGCGGCCAATCCCGGACTTGGAACGCCCCGCCCCGCCCCGCCCCGCCCCGCCCCGCCCTAACGGTGTCGTCGAGGCGAGGCCCGGGGAAGCCAAAGCCGTGACCGATTCTGCTGACCACAGGACACGCCCACTAGTATGCCGCTCTGGCCAGCTCGCCAATGTTTTTTTTTTTTTTTTTTTTTTTTTTTTAAACAATGGCAAATTGTAACCACGGTCCAGACAACGCGGCCCAATTGACAGGCTCGGCCTAGAGCGAGTCGGAGTGTGTCTGAACAATTGGATTGGGCAACACGAGGCCACACTGTTAATTTTCTTTTGTTTTCATTTTATTTTTTTATTTTTTTTCATTTTTTTTTTCGCAGTGCCCCTTCCGACGCCAACCGGGTCCAGCCAGTTACAGATAGGCCGGGTGGAACCGCGGATTAAAGTAACCTGCGGAGACGTCGTAACAATGCCGCGGGACAATGTGGGCACGCTATCTGCGGTGACAAATTCTAATCTCACTCTCGAGCGCTCTCTGTCGCACTCGCGCGCGGGCACGCGCGCATGCACATCGGGATGGACTGTCCTTGCACGTTCAATCAGTAACGTGTTGTCACAGTGCTTTGAGCACCATTGAGGCGATGACACAGACACACCAACAGATTTCCCAGCTCGAGTAAAGAACATGGACCCCCGGACTCGAATTTTTTTTTTCAATCGAGCTTATTTTTGCGGGTGTAGCGCCTAGTATACTGTAGGGAGCGACAGGCGGCATCCAGCTTGACGCTCCGCTCGCCCCGCGCTTCGCTCCGTCTCTGTCGCACTCGCTGATTAGACTGCGAGCGACGCGACGCGACGCGAGACGTGCAGACAATCGGGCGGCCTGCCCGCCTGCCGAAGACTGCCGAAGACGAAGACGGACGAAGTCGGAAGACGACGCGACATCGGCGTAATTAGAGCCAGGCGCAGCTGGTTGACACTGGCAGTGCCGTCTTTGGCTGTCTCTCTCTCCCCGCGGCTAGTCATCGCCGAACAGTGCCGAACAGCGACGCCGACGCCAGCGGTCCAGTCACAGAGGAACCGACGTCGCGTCCACGCATCCACCCGTTCGCCCTCCGCTTAGTGAATCCGCCGCGAACCGCCGTCGAGTCGAACAAGGCCGTCGCCGTCGCAGTTCGCCAGCACGCTCCAAGAGCACGAGACGACCGCCATCGCCGAGGGCCACGTCGACGTCGCCAACCCAGCCAGATCCACCCCGGTCCTGATCCAGGACCGACAACCCATCCCGCTCTGAAGTCTCTTATGGAGTTGAGGTTGACCCGGAGACCTAGCGCGTCCCCCCGCCATGACCGGCGACGCTACCCCCGCCGCCCCCGCCCCCGAGAGGGCCCCCGGGGGGGCAGGGCCGGCCCTGCGCCTCCCGTTCGGCCTCCTCGGAAGGGGGCGCAGGGGCAGCCCCCTGGGAGCGGGCGTGGCGGGCAGGGCGGGCCCTCCGGGGAGAGGGTCCTCGGGGAACGCCCCAGCCTCCGGCACGGCCTCCGGCACGGCCTCCTACACGGCCTCCAGCATGCCCAGCGTCCGGTTTGAGTACACTCCCCCAGGTGAGCCACATGGAGAACGGCTTACACAGGGCGCTCCAAACCACTGCCGCCACTGCCGGTACTGGGGAGAAAACGGGACCGAAAATGCAAGCGTTTTGAGCGTGTTCCAGACGCAGAGCGTGCCAACCCATCGCGGTGGCGATGTCCCTCCTGGCTGAGGTGCCCTCGCTGCCCCTGCTTCGCCCGACTGCTCGGCGTCCTGCAGTGAGCATCGCGAAGCATCGCGAAAACAGCTTTGTCCTGTCTACCGGTGTTTGACAGAGGACCACGCACTCCAACGACATTGTCGGCCCGCAGGGACTGCGCGGACGGCTTCGGGGCCTGGCCGTCGGGGAGGTGGGTGTCCTCCGTGCTGTGCCCCGCCGTGCTGCTGCTGCAGCTGTGGGCGCTGGCCTACTGCTTCCTGGGCGCGCAGGCCAACGTCGACGGCCAGCTCTTCCACCTGGTGGGCATGTTCGTGTGCGCCAAGCTGGCCGGCTGGATGGTGCGCCGCCTCGCGGACATCCCCGCCCTGGTCGGCATGCTCATCATCGGCGTGGCCGTCAAGAACACCGGGGCCCTGGAGCTCGACGTCGAGTACCTGGACCTGATCGCCAACCTGCGGTGAGCAGCCGCGGGGGTTGTTCACGATGGCCAGGTGCTCGTAGTTTGCCCGACCTGCTTCTTTTGTCCGACCTGGCCAAAATGCACCTGCCCGTGAGGCGGCTGAAAATTTTGAGTGACCTTGTTTTGTTGTACGACCTCCGTTTTGGGCGATCCGTTTTTAAGAAAATTTGAGCGAGCCTCGTCCCGTTCCAGCAAGGTGGCCCTGGCCATCATCATGCTGCAGGCGGGGCTGGGGCTGGACCCCGCCGCCCTGCGCTCCCTGTCGCTGCTCGTGATGGGCCTGGCCCTGGTGCCCGCCATCGTGGAGGTGGGCGCCATCGTCGTCCTCAGCTACCTGCTGCTGGACTTGCCCTGGCTGTGGGGGCTGCTGCTGGGGTGAGTGAGTTCGGGCACCGCAAGCTCCTAACCCCCAACTTGGCTGACGTGGGTTCGATACCCGGCGCCGGATCTGCCGGAACGCCGATGCATCATTTTGTGTTAATTTATTTAACAGGCTGGTGCTGGCCGCGGTGGCGCCCTCCGTCGTCATGCCCTGCTTCGTGCAGCTCCGCGCGCAGAGGCTGGGCGTGGACAAGGGCATCGACACCCTGGTCATCGCGGCGGCCTCCTTCGATGACGTCATAGCGATATCTCTGTACGGCCTGGTGCATGGCCTTATTTTCAGTGAAGGTGGGAATTGGATTTAAATTTCGAAGTTGACTCGGCGTTTTCGCTTCTGTCTCACTAAACGTGCGTGCCTAGGTTCGTCCGTCGAGGAGATCGTGCAGCACCCCCTCGGCTTGGTGTTCGGCATCCTGTACGGCGTGGTGCTCGGGAAGGCTCTTCAGCTGGTGCCCATGCGGGACGCGGTAAGGCCAGCGCAGCCAGGGACCACGCCGGCAACTCTCCAAAACTCTAGACGCGTTTTGAGCTCCAGAGTCGCTGAACAGGTCTCGGACCGAGCGTGTGACCGTGACCCCACTGATGACTTCCTGGTTCGGAGAGCAATCCGTGGGGTCACACGTTCGGTTCGAGTCCCATTTAGCGACCCTGGCGCTCAAAACCCGTCCTGGATTTTGACCGCCTGCACCGGTCTTCTGGCCCACTGTGCACACCTCTCGTCCGCCCGCAGAAGCACTTGCCGCTGTGGCGGTTCGTGCTGGTGCTGTGCGGCGGGCTGGTGGTCATGTTCGGCAGCGACGCCCTGGGCTTCCACGAGGCGGGCTCGGTGGGCTGCATCACCACGGCCCTGATCGCGGCGGCGGGCTGGCGCACCAGGGAGTGCCCCCTGGCTGTGGTGAGTGTACACTGTACAGGCCGATGTTGCCGACGGATTGCCTACTTCGCCTCCCTCACACCCCGCCCCGCTTTCCCGTCCGCAGCGCCAGGTGGAGCAGATGTTCGAGATGCTGTGGTTCGTGTTCGAGCCGATCATGTTCAGCTTGATCGGGGCGGACATCAACACCACGGTGCTGGACGGCGGCATGGTGGGGCTCGCGGTCGGCTGCATCCTCATATCCTTACTGGTACTGTATTCTCGGCCCCGTTTCCAACCCGCTGTGACTTTCGTTTCGGCCCCAGTGCAGTGTGTGCATTGCGTGCATGATCTGTCTGTCGCCAGTTCCGCACCATTTCCACGTGGGTGCTGCTGCTCGCCGGGAAGAGGTTCAACTGGAAGGAGCGACTGTTCGTGGCCATGGCGTGGCTTCCCAAAGCGGACGTTCAGGTGCGTTTGCTCTCTGGTTGAGTCTGTCTGCGTCTTTTGCCCCATGTACTTCGTGATGCCGTACTTCCCCTGTATACCCGGAAATGCTGCTCTTGAGCCCTACCCTCGCCTTCCCACCCAAGGCCACCCAAGGCCATCCAAGGCCACCCAAGGTCTCCGCGTGGCTCCCCGAGCTTATGGTTCAAGGTCGGTGTGACACGGTTTGCAGGCCGCCCTGGGGCCGCTGGCCCTGGACACCGCCCGGCACATGGCGGAGGCGCGGGCGGCGGGGGCGGCGGGCAGCAGCGACGGCCTGGAGGACGTGGACCGCGCCAACACCGTGCTCCTCGTGGCCGTCCTGTCCATCCTCCTGACGGCGCCCGCCGGCTCGGCCATCATAGCCACCCTGAGCCGCCGCCTCCTCACCCCCGCCCCCGCCCCGGACAGCGCCACTGGCGGCGACGTCGACCCGGAGCGAGGGGGCGGCTTCATCCGCGAGACACCGGCATCGAATGGGCCGAGTGACCGCTTCTGAGATCGTGTGTTTTGTGTTACGTTCTTCCCACCCCGCACCCCTTGCCAATCTGGGGTGGTTTCTGGATCACTCACTGTTGCTCAATGTGATTTTTTTTTTCTCAAAAAGGGGCTAGGGCAAAAAATAACTCGTCTGGCAATTGAATACTTAACATTTTTATTTTGTTCTTGAGGATTGTAAAAATATTTACATTCATCATAATTAAGTGGTGAGAAATGCATTATAAAGACTTGGCAAAGGAAAACAGACCATCACCCTGAGGCCAAGTTCCTCCCAAACGGCTGACAGAATGAAGAAATAACAGCCACCAAGCTTACAGTAACATGACTTTTCTTCAGAAACTACATTGATAGTAATATTTAGTTAAGTCACTGTCAGTGTTAAAAGAAACATAAAAAAAAATAAAAAAAATCTTTAAACTGTAATAAAGTATTGACTCCAAAACCTCACTAGAATGTATTGTAAGAACCAGTACAGGTCTTTCATTTACAAAATTGTACAGACTGTACACAAGATAGGGATAAAATGTAACAGCGCACACATCAATCTTTGTACACACTCAGTCCAACTGTACACAGCTTTGCAGTTTGTACTATTTTCATTTATTACATTCTGCATTATATAATAATCTATAGCTCTATGTAAATATGTATACTGTTTTAAATTATAATAGGCGCTATATACACATGTCATAATTACAAGAATCCCAATCCCTAAAATTGTTAAAAATAAAAAACAACAAAAATGATTTAATCAGTGTCTAACATATTTTAAAAGATACAGTATGTACGTCTACACTGGTAGAATGGTACTAGAGAGTAAGTTAGGAGTGGACATGGGTCGGTTGGTTCATTAAACAATTAAAAACAATGATAGGTACACCAATTCATAAGTTAAAACACATTGTCTCATTAATACCATCTTCACATATGTGCTTACACACACACTTACAAACACACACACACACAGACAAAAATGTCTTCCTTCAATGGTCACTTTAAAGTGCAACCCAACGATTCTGAAACCAAACCTCAGACATCTCAAACCAAACAAGAAAAAAAAAGGGAAGACAGCAATTAAATTAAAACAAAAGAGAAAAAGGATCTAGGTCAACAGATTCAAATAATAGCTAGATTCAAACAAATTAAAACTGATGGTCATTTTCAAAAAATTGGCTTTTCATGAGATGATAAGAGGTTTGGGTTGGAGCATTTGATTACAATTCAACTTGCACATTGAGCTGGAAACTTTTCACACACTCACATTCCATAATATTAATAAAAGTAATAATAAATAAACACAACTTTTAAAATCACATTTGGTAAAGTGGTATGACTGAAAGCATAAGCAAATGGAGGCTACCCAGAAAGTCAACTCCTATCCTGTATCCAGCACCATTTACCAAAATTTGTCACACCTAGAAAAATAAATTCCACTTATCCTAAGCTGTGAACAGGAGCTCACAACCATAGTTCATTGCTACAACCCGTCACACATTGGAGGTCATGTGAGGGAGCATAGACCATCGATCATCCCAGTAGGGATAACCATCCAATGTGCTGGGAAACAGGATACTAGTTCATTATCCACACAGTTTCGACTTAAAGCAGTACAGTGGAGATCCAACACCCTCTACCTCAAATACTGTATCACAAATTGGATCAATCTGAATACTGCATTGTACACTTACTGGAAGTTCATTCAAGTAGTTAGAAGATTACATGATTTTACCATTAACTTTGACATTAGGCAGCAAGTTCGTATGTTTGAAATGAATGCCTGAGCTAGTGGTTTTGATCAGCTCAACAGCTCAAGACTATCTGCAAGGAAGACATCTCCACAGCACCACAGCAAAGCAAAGTGCCAAAATTAGGCACTAGTCCCACCCCTTTAACCCGAATACAAATTGACCTTCAATAATTTTGATAAATGCTGCCTATATCAGTTTACGCAGAAGTCACAAGAGTGCTCCAAATAAATTAAACTTAACATGCTCCAACAGAGATAAATTTAATTGTTTAAGTATTGAAAATTTCATAACAAGGCAAATGGTCTTACACAACATGGATAGATAGATTTCAGTCATTTCTACAATTTAAGCAGCTGCCAAACACATAATTGTACTCAACTATTACGATTCTCTAGGCTGAACACAGTGATAAGATAATATCTCCATTTGTAGAAATATGAAATAAACATTGTATAAGAAGACGATACCTCACTTCAAGAGTGTGTGTGGAAAAATTGAACTATATTTTGTTTGATAACAAATGCCATCATCTAGGCTCAATCAATAACATTTCCTAATAAAACTGAGATGGTTCACACTTTAGTACGGCAAAACCTCAGTACAAGAATGTTCACCTAAAATTTGTCACCTGAGGAAAGCACACAGCAGATTTAACATGAAAAAATATTTTGCTTTAGAAATGTCAAAAGCAAAAAATACAAAGCTCCACTCATTCCAAACTAAGTACTTGTGTGTCAAAAACAGCCTACTAAATTTTAAAATGTTACTATGTTAAAATTTAGGCTGTGCATAACCTGGAAGGTTGTTTGTTAATCCTCTCTAATATGTCTACAATTATTAATTTAATAGTAAAAAGAGAAAGAAAGAGAAGAGGAGAAGGCAGCTCAAAATAAAATTTCACACCTGCATATACTGGCAGGGGTTAAGTTCATGAGACCATCAACAAAATAAAAGTTAAATAGCACGTTTGCATACAAATAATGAGAAATTAGCTACAAATCTAAAATTCATTCACTCAAGCTTTAAATAAGCGAAGATAAGACAAAAGGCACAGTGACTTGAAAGATCCTGCGGATTCACAACATTGCCCTCAAAAAATGGGTAAAACCACAAACTACTAAAAACCATTGTAAACTTGTAAAAGATTTTCATCATCATTAAAAGTTCTAAAAAAACGGGACTTGTCCAAGCTGATGATATACATACTACTAGCATACATACATTCAATTAAACATACATAACTGAAATATACACAATAGATAGATATAGATATATTTGTATGTATATATACCTAAATATATAAATAATTACATAATTTATGGTTTCAATTTACTAAAGGAATAACACTACCACATTTCATTGATCAATTGGTAGCACGATTTTTTTCTGATCAACTATCAGAAAAGAAGCATACTGGCACCTGGATACGACACTCCAATATTTAAAAACATGAAACAAACTAGAACTCACAAATCTTTAGGATTGGACATCTAATGCTGATTCAGCCACTCCTTAACTTCTCTAGACATAGACTTAATACCATATGTATTAACACATTACAGAAACAGATATTGGGCCTTATCCACATTTTCAAATCACAGCTAAAATTTGGTGAGGGATTATAATTGATTGCTAATCACTTAGTTTGGGTCAAACAAGTGATGATGTCATATGATAAAGTTGCATTAACACCTGCATGTGAACTGGGAGGCATGACAAACGGTCATGGGAGTTGGAGTCCAAACCAAGCCACGAAAGAGAATTGTAGCCCTCCAAGACATATCTACAAAGGAAAGAAACATTGTAAATAATGTGAAAATAATTTAAGGAATAACCAACAGTGGAAACCAAGGCATACCTCAGGACATCTGTTGTGTACTGGGAGTCCAAGGGATGCAGACTGACTTGGGTCTGCTGGTTGCTTAACAAATCATCTGAACCATGTTGGCTTGAATTCAGGTGAAGCGCATTCTTCAAGAAGCAGGGGCAGACATTCTCTAGATGTGGGCAGGACGCCCAGAACCATGATGGCATTGGTCCAGTCGGGGCAGTTGAAACCAAGTAGCCCAAGGCCAAAGGCTGCTGAAGAACATTACCAACCTCCTCTTGGGGCTCCCCTCCCTGTAAACCAAGCACCAAAACTAATGTAATCACATGTTTCAAAAAAAAACTTGTCATAAAAAGCAAGATGCCTCTACACCTACCCTGGCTGGGGTGTGGCATGGGTATGGACTTCCAGATGCATCAGGTGTTGGACTGCTGGGGTTCATTCCACTTGGAGAGTCTCTGCGAGGTGAATTGCCAGGGCTATGCACACCTGCTCCGTTGTCCTGCCAATTGAATATGTCAAAGCCACCCAGATCGTCAATGCCCTCTGGCATATCGTCTTCTCCAATGAAGAGCACATCACCCAACTCTCCTGGACCATTGATGTGTTGCTCTTGAAATGCTGTCTGTGATGACTGAAACATGGAAGAAAATTCAGTAAGTACAAAACAAAAAAAAATTAAGTAAGCCATAAGCATACTTAAAATTCAAGCCACTTGAAGTACCTGTGTTGTTGCTGATGTGGGAAAGACCAAAATGTGTGTGCAAGTGACATCCTGAGGAGTTGATAGTTGGCAGTTGACAGAGGTTTGGCTAAACCGTTCATCCGGAGTAAATTGGTCAGGCATAAGTCTCAGAGCTGAGTCAGGCTCTAAGGAAACCAAACATGCACTAAGGATGCCTGGTAAACTACCAGCCTGCATTAAATTACACTGGCCACAAATTTCTTTGAGATGTTTAGAAGCCTTCACTAGAGCCTTACGGCTAAGCAGGCCACTCCAACCTGCACAAATAAAAAAAAAAATTATTGGAAACTGAGAAGCTAACAAGCAGCTGTCACATAAAGACAGGATAGCTGAAGACCATCACCTTTCAGTTCACCATGACCAATGCGTCCAATTCGACCAACAACAAGACGCCATGGCTTCACACTTTGAGACATCACTCCTAATGTGAAGTCCATCAGCTTCTGCAATCCCATACGTCTCGCAGATGCCTTTTTCCGTCGGGAGCGGTTGGGGATGTGGATATTTATAACTGCTGTGTCCAGTATGGCTCCACGCTCGTCCGTCGCAGAAGCCAACAACCAGCGCTGATCCTCTGACAGGCAATAGCTGAGGTAGAGGACACAGCATTCCTCTGATGCCTCAACAGGATCTGACTTCTCTTTCACTGGTGCTAATACGAAAGGAGGCGAATACAGCCGGTATGGTGCACGGTTCTTCTCCTGCTGACAAGTTAAACGGTAAATCTCACATTCATCCATCACACACGACATCACTATAACATTAACCATTCACATATTTTTATTGCCTACATGGGTGAGATAACTTACGTCATTGTTCTTCAGGAAGAGGTCTCCAGTGGCGGCAGGCCCAAATCCAGTGAGGGCCTTCACGTTCGAAGTGTGTTGCATTACACGGCGACACTGAGAATACACCGAGAGAGCAACACTGCGCATGTAGTCACTCTTTGCACAAGACTTGCTTTGCTCAACTATACTCTCCAGAGAAACAACCTGAAAGAACAACAATTGTTATTATAATTATTGCACTGTAAATTTAAGTTATCTTTGATTGGAAAGAGCAACTGGCTTTATTACAATACCTGAACGGCCATATTGTTGCGAAGGTTTTCAGGCAGAGCTTGGACCACAGAGGAGAAGCACTTGAGAAGTCCAATACATGCCAACCGTTCGACTTCGGAACTTTCCGAGCCAACTGAGAAGGGCTCCACCAGGTAAATGACCACAGCTGGGGGTTCTCTCTCTTCATCGTCAATGTGGTTTGTGTCTTGTGAGCTGCCAATACCCGCCAGCGGGTCTCGACTATTATCCCCATCATGGTCACTTTTTGGTGTATTAGGACCCTTGTCCTCTCCACTTGGAGGAGGCATGGGAGGAGGAATAGGTCTTTCAACAGGTTTAATTTGTGGTCCGTCTGAAGGAGATTCTAATAGTGTTTTATCAAACGCCATTGTCCTCAGAAGAGGAACTAAATGATGTTGACAAACCTAAAAAGAGACTTGTTAATTAAAATCAAAACCCAATGAGCTTTAATAGCAGAAAAGGCACAAGAACTCACTTGAGCATAAAGCCGCAACATGTTTGAAGTTGGTGAATCTCCAAGCATAGAAAACCAATCATCAATTTTTTCCTTGGCTAATTTCATTGCAGCTCCACTTCCCACACGTAGTATTCCATCTCTCAAAATTTTGGAAATTGGACAGTGTCTACCTAGTCTACATACCTGAAAACGATTGAAAATACATTTGAAAAGAGCTCATACTGGTGAAAAATCTTAAAACAATCTTAAATTTAGAGAACTTACTTCATAAACAGTACTTAGTTCCTTAAAAAAGACTTTCGCTCTGTTAATGACAAAATCATTGTCAGGAGCAACAACAATGTAAGCCACATCACGAGCATAGGAATAGGGCTCCAGAAGGAGTTTCTCCCAATAGTGCAATGCGTAGGGAGATAACGATAACCAGTCCTTCTCGTAGCCCACCATCATAGACGGTACAGGTTGAGGCTCACACCTATCCTCAGTGCCTGAAGAAAAGAAGTGTGATATTAGCACCTCTACAAACACACACACAGCAACAAACTCTGAATGAACGATTGAAAAACAGCTGAGAGAACATACCCCTTCCTGCTAGTCTGTGGAACTGCCTCCAAGTGAGGGGTCCCGACACAGTGTAAGGGGCCTCCCACAGCCTGGTGGTGCACTTCTTCTGCACTGCCTCTTGAAGCTGCGGCTGCAGGGACTTCATCACCCGCACGATGTCTTGACTGCAGTCTGGTCCGGACGCGCGAAGGAAGGGCCACCGGTGCATGCAGGGCACGCGTGCGGCGGACACCATCAGGCCTTGCTCCATGGCCACCCAGCTAGCCTCATTGCTGTCTCCTAATTCCAGTGCATCCACCGTCAGGAGTGAAGTGGCAGAAGCACATTTCTGAGCTGCTTTAGTGAGAGCACTTGCAGGGCTTCGCACAATGACGCCGCACTGTTCTTTCATCTGCAGGGAAAATTTCTTTTAGCATTCATTCATTGAATAAAATGAGGAAATTGTAAAGAAATGACCCTTACCAAGCTGAGTACATCAATAGGTCTAACTGTGTCATTCATATCATTGGATAATCCAGAAATCAGTGTCATAATATCAAGAGCTTGAATTCCATTCCGCACATTGGGTTCATCTGCTAGACCAGTAATTTCAAATTCGTCTTCATAAAAAAGACCAGATCTGTGAGACAGCTTTCGGTTGACAACAGCAGAAAATCCACAGGTGCATCTGGTGGAATCCTCTTCATTCAAGGGATGAGGTCCGTACGGGGCAAGATATATTCCAGCATCAGCACCCCGAATAGTACCTACCACCTGCAAATGCACATCAAGTGTCAGAAAACAATGTAACATGAATACATCAGGCCAACCTTGCAACACTCAAAACATTTACCTTGGGGTCAACGTTACACACACACAGAGTGCAACTGTCAAAGTTGTGATCGCGGAAAATATTTAGTGCTGTGTCACTGAGGAGTATGTTCATTAAAAGTGAATTCACTTCAGTATTGCAGACTGCTTTAGGGTGGTACGATGAGACGGAAGTCATTGAAGCAGCTGGACTGTAGGGCGGTGGAGGCCCCACAGGGGCTGGTGGAGCTGGAGGTGGACACACTGGAGTGGCTCGGTGAGACTGGAGCACACTTGGGGACTGGGGGAAGTGAGTTGCAGGGGAAATGGGAGACTGGCCAGGCCTGTGCGGCATTGGGGACATTCCCGGACGATGAGGAGTCATGGGGTTTTGCGGAGTGAGAGGAGTCGTTGGACCTTGTTGAATCGGAGTGGGAGGCTGGGAGGGACGATGAGAATGAGGCACTGGGGGATGATGAGGGTGAGTTTGCTGGTTATTTGCAGAGGATATTTGGTGATGACTGGAACGCAAATAAAAACAAACAAACATAAATATTCTGTACAATATTTAGACTATTGACTCTAGCAGTTTTTCCAAAAGCAGTTTCATGACTCACCTGGCTGCTGCTTTTTCCTGGACTGGTGGATACAACCAGGAAGGTTTGTAAGAACAATTTCCTGGCAGCTGTAAAGCTGGCAAGTGTTGACTTGGAAGGTCTCTTAGTGGAGCATATTTGGAAGAGCCGACGAACTTGTACAATGTTGGTGGTCGGAACACAAAGGACCAGTCCTGAGATGAAAGAGAAGCCAAGATTGTAATAACACAGATAATCTGCAATTAAGGATTGCTATACAATTTAATATTTGGGAGAATGAGGCTTACATCAATAACCTCCTCTTGTGGACTTCCCATGTTAGGGTAAATTTCTTGCTTAAAGCGAGTCAGAGGCAACTCTGAATATCCACACTGATCAATGTCAGTTTGACCACCACAGGGGGAGGCAGCAGGATTATGTTCCAATGATGGAGGAGTAGGGAACATTTGAGAAAGTTCTTCAGGCCGCAAGATACGTGTGCCACGCATGTTGCATGAGTTGTCTTCATGCTTGGAACCTGGTGGTGTATGCACCGGCATCTGGACAGGAAAAATATAGCATGTTAAACCCACAATACATATAAGCAGAGCTGAGAAATAAAAATATTCAAGTTATGAAATGAACAAGCTTTGGTAAACATCTATCAAATTATTTTAAAAATATTAATTCTGATAAGAAATATACTTGCAGACCTCAAATATCTCTCTTTAATTGATTATCTATAGTTAAAACTGGCTTATAAGTAGTTTCTCCCGCCCGCAGACTTCCTGTAAACTTGGCTTCCATTGCTTCCTATTAGTTGAAAGGAAAAGCTATGCAATTACCAACAAGCCCCTCTAATAAAAACCCACAAAAAGGCATCGCCAAATACTTTTAAACACACACAGCAAATGAACTAGATTAAAGAATTACAGTACATAAACTCCCATGTGAAACAACTAATACTAACTGCAATTGCCAGGAAGAGACACCATAAAAACCTGAGGCATGCTAGAGCTTTCGGATTAACAACTGTTGATCCTTATAACATTGGCTACAAACTTACCCACATCAGAGTATTAACTAAAGATTATATCAAGGAAAGAGTAAGAAAGAATCTGAAGGTGAAAAATTGTGTGGTAGGTGTTAGCAGCTCCTGTTAAGCCTGATATCCCTCAATGACTGGAAGGTCTGACTTCAACATTGTGTTACACTAATTTGCTTTCAGAGTTAATTGACATGAGGTGCATTAAAGTGGACATTTTTTCCAAAGCTTCACCACTTTATATCAAACATTGTTTAGACAATAAACATCTCTGCAAAAGATGCTTACCGTTTCATCACTTGATGCATCGGAGTTGTCAAAAATCTGCTCGAGGTCACGATAGGAGGCTTGGAGGCCTTCACTGGTGAAAAGGCTACCAGATAAACTTTTCCCCGCATTGTCCGGTCGGTCCTCCTCCTGAGAGCACAATACATACATTTTCCCACTATGACTAAGACCATTTCAGACAGGTAAATATTTTCCAATAAGAGATGGGGACGAAACAACAGCTAACACAACACTATACAAGCAGTTCCTGACATTTTCTCTTTCTAGAATATAATTAAAAGCATTAATCACAAATTGCACTTTACCAGTATAAAAGAATTACTCCAGGATAAATGTACAAACATGCAGGTGTATAGGATAGGAAAGGTGAACAAAGCTGTAGCATGATAAGAAATATTGCCACTAGTAATGCACTGAACCATATAGAGAAAATGCTTTTTACCGGACATAATAATAGAAAATTTCCTTATAACGGGCTAGGAATACATATATATATACAATTGAAAATTTTTAAATTGCTTCTCAATGAATAAGATATTGTTGGGAAAAAAAAGTAGGTCTGGCCATGCTTGCAGAAAGTTGTCATGTCAACTATTGCACATACTATACAGATAACAAGTGACCAAAGCTTTAAGTTCCAAATACAACCAATTGAAAATGACTGTTGCATATACGGCCTTCCCTCGAATTTCCCTCTGAGAAACCCAACACCGAAAATGTAAAAACCTGGTTAAGTGTTAGACACAGTTATTGACAAAGAATTGTTAAGATAAAATACATCCAGGGGTTACTTTTTCCAAGAAATAGTCAGAATGTACTGAAATGGTTTTAAACACCAGGAGGGTTTTGATGGAACATTGACCAGAAATATATCACATGATTTTGAGTCATGTTCTGTGTTTAAGTCCGAGTACACAGACTTTGGTGCGAGCGAGAAAGTAACCAAAACGCACCTTCTCGCCATTATTTTGGCGTTTGAAGCCTTCCTTGGCTCCAGATGTATTGTGTTCCTCGTCAAACTCGTATGGGTCACTTTCACACTGCAACAGTCGTAAGATGTATGTGGGCCATTAAAGTATGTTTGGACCCCTACTTTAACCTTGATACGGCGTTTGTGAGGTAGTTGGTTGTTGTGGTAACATTGCATGCAAACACAGACATAATAAAGCAGCAACTTTTCAACAATCAACTAAACTACAATCAGTCAGCCAACAAAATACAAGCAAATTACACACAAAAGAGTAAAGAAGGGAACAGTTCTAATGATACTGGTGAAATGAAAACAAATATGTTAAGATAAAATCTTGGCATGCAGAGTTCAAATAATTCATAGGTTCATTGATAAATGAACACACTTTTGACTAAGATAGTAATATTGGTTGAATAATTTGTTTCAAAACGCGTTTACATCCGTATAATGAAAAGACAACACCATAAGAAGGAAGGGGAATAAATAAATATCGAAACCAGAGAGGCAAGTATTCCTCATAAAACAAATCTAAAACTACTCGAAAGGAAACTTCATGTGAGGCACAATCCACTTACCATTGGTTCCTGTTTAACATCAGCCTTGACAAACGCAGGGGCCGCTGGGGATCCTGGAAGGCCATTTACAGGAGGGGAGGCAGCTGGAGTTTGGACCGGTGGGTAAATATCTGCTGAGTTTGACGATTTGGGGGGCTTCTGTTCAATGTCAGATGGCTTAAACTTCTTCACTGGATAGTTTAACCTGCAAAACACACGTTCCATGAAAATTTGGCAATGAAGAAAAAGACAAGACAAAAAAAGGCAGGTGTGCTTGATTTACACCTAGTTTGACTGTCCCATTTCAACTTATTTGTAGTTGCCCAATAAACTTGCAGGCAACTTAGAGGTTTGACAGACCTCGGGAAATGAAAGTAATGTTGCGAGGAAAAGATTGCAATATCAAACGACTCCTTGAATCACACCTTTGAGCCTCGCCTGGTCAACTCAACGCAAGCAGACTGTCACTCACCACACGTCTAGTTGGGAGTAGTCGTACAGCTGGTCCGAGAGTCCCTCGTCGTCGTGCATCAGGTGCTCGTGCTCCTTGGCCACGAGCACGGGCCTCTTGAGCGTCATGGGCTGGTGCTCGGCCGGGGGCTGCGACGGCGCGGCTCCACCCCCGCCGCCGCCCCCGCCTCCGCTCCCGCCGCCGCCACTGCCGCCCGTGGTGGGCGGCGCGCTGGGCGGGCCGCCAGTCATGCCGGGGTTCTCGACGCTGGACACGGAGGCAGCCTGGTACGGCGAGTACACCTGGTTGGACACGGACGACACCGACTTGGGGCCGTGCGAGTCGACGGGGGTGTGCGCCGGGGTGCCGGGGCCGGGCGCGGGCGGCGGCGTGGCGGGGATGGAGTGCTGCGGGGCCGGCGTGCTGGACGACGGCTGCGGCGACAGTGTGGGCATGGTGGGCTCGGCGGGGGGCACGGACGCCGGCTGCACCGAGTTGGGGTTGGGCAGCGGGCTGGGCGCCGCGGACTGCGGGGACCTCTCCGGCATGGGCGTCGTGTGCCCGGCTTGACCACCGCACGGCATCCGGCTGCAAAAACGGCAGAGCAGAGAGTCGGTCAGAGGGGCTGCCATTGTCGGCGGGCCCGGGGGCGGCCCAGGGGCTACCCCGGGGCTCAGGCCGGCTGTTACGTCAACATCAAGCGACAGCAATTTTTCCCTTCCGTGTCCTTCCAGGCATCCAGAGTCACCACACCACTACATTAAGGCTTTGGAACGAAGCACAAGTCGTCTTGACCATGGGCACAATAGGCTGTTACCTCCCAGAAAGAGTGCAGACAAGCATAGTTAGTAGTGGGCACATTTACAACACCAAGCATGATGTTAATACCCTTGACGCACTCTCAAAAGTTATTTCACTATTACTTCATTTTTAAGTTTAAGGTATAACACAGAAGGTAAACTTATAGACAATAAAAATAATATGTCACATAATATGAGCATGATTTATCAAGTTCCTTATTCAGAACATATCCAAGTACGCATCACAAACACAAAACATTAAATCATGCAGATGTGTGCAAAATGCCTTACAGCAAAAAGAATCCCGTGCATAGACAAAAGAAAATTGATGAAATACGAATTTAATTCATTCAACAACCCTCATTCCTTTTTCATCAGAAATTCCCTCCAGCCAAAAACTTCCTCTCAATAAAAAAAAATTGCCACATTTTCTTTTGCACAGGACCTGGCTTACGCTAAGGGCTGTGCTCAACGAAACCTGCCATTCCAGTATTGTTAGTGGTTCATGCAAGGTATGCGGAGTGGGGCGGAGTGGGGCTGAGTGGGGCGGATTGCAGATTGTGCGGTACAAACCTGGCAGGCTTGGCAGGCTTGGCAGGCTGATTGTGCCGCGGGGGCGCCCGTTGATGGAACGGAATCAGAGCCCTGGGGCCGGGGCCCCCTTTGCCCTCAACTTGTCTACACCTGCAAGGCGGCAAACCACTACTATCAAGCTGCCGCCAGTTTTGCCTACATTCAACTCGTGATCACCACCTGTTCAGTAGCCATCCACAACAAACGTGCCCCTCCACAATTTTATTTTAAAGATTAAGAGCAGTTATTTCTTTTAATGATCCAAGTAGGAGCATTCCAGTAGAAGAAAACGAAAGACAATGAGGACGGAGCTTCTTTGTGGATGGCATTTTGTCATGTTGTTGAACAGAAGAGCTCACTCCCTGACTACTCAAATCAGTCGCTGTGCCATTTTTCAAACTCAACCAAACACATAAACATAATTTGTTTTCAGAAATTTTCCGAAACACATGTAATGAGAACCATGTAATGAGAAGAATGTGCATTTTTGTAAAAACAAATCCACAAAGTGCAATAACACACATACACACAAAGAAAAAAATATGAAAAATAAAAATGTGCACAAAATAGAGTGAAAACAAATACTAGCTGGAAGGTTTCAAAATTAATTTGCTGCTCCCTGATAAAGTGCAGCATAATTGTAGTAGACAACAATGTTTGGTTAAATTTGAAATAAGAATTGATTGCACAGTAAGGAAACATAAACAACACATAGGAGCAGCAACAATAAAACATTGACAATAGAGACTCAAAAGATTATCAGATTTGAATGAAAATTTGAAACGGGAGAGAAACAATCTAAATTTATCCGAAGTATTAGCAAAAGTCTAGTTATGCTATTTCATGCTGAACTCGTTCAAAACAAAGCTGAAGACTGCCTTTAAAAATGCGTTTACAAAGCATGTATTTTTATGCAACAGCAAGCTCAAGGGAGTATCTGACGAATCTTGTTGCATGCTTCTGCATTTTAAAGAGCACTTAATTTTGGAATAAATATAAGTGAATCATGCATACAAAGAATCTACCTTTGTAATTACTCAAGACCAAAAGCCACTGTCAATAAAAATCTTTTCAGTGTGTACGAGATCCTTAATGTTAATGAAGAACACAAAAGGATGTCAAATAGCAAACAGATAAGATACATACTTGGAGCAGGAGCAAAGTAATTTTCTTGTTGGGTCGACAAAGTCCCAATGGCCTGGAGGTGCATCAGATGGGTCGGAAGGTGGCGATAACATACTCTCTTGCCAAGTTATTTCTGCAAGATTCATAGGAGATGGAGGCTCTTGCTTGATCCATGAACTAGCAGATGACTGTTGCCGCAAACAGGGTGACTCTACTGGTGGAATGGGATCTATAAGAGGAACAGGTCACATAAACATTAATAAGAGAGCCTCATAAATATAACAACAGTTTCAAAATAAGGTGACTGATAGTAAAGCTGTGATAAGTAGATGCGAGGACATACTTGGTTCATCTGCAGGCAGACCAGCTGCCTTTTGTGCTGCATTGCCGGGAGTTTCATCCATATCAGTCACCAGTACATAACATGAAGGATATCTCATCTTAACTCCACCTAGACAAAAATAAATAACAATGACATGTTAGAGAAGAGGATTAAATGATTAGTTGGAGCAAGTATGCAAGTTGTTCCATTAGTACTTACCCACTATTACTTCAACAGCCTGTGGTGCGGTAGAGTCATCACAATTACTATTTCTGCTATCTATAGGGTAAAATTGTTTCCAGTCTTCTAGCAGGCGGGATGTTCTCTGATCAACGGATTTGTATGACTGACCAGTCAGAGAGCCCGCCAGACCAAATGGAGCTAAAATTACTGTGAAAAGAAAGGAAAAACATGAAAATCCCCAGTAAATAGATCATAATTGCGAAATTCATCACAAACATAAGTCTATCCAACAAACCTGGAACACCGGCCTGGGAAGATTGGGCTTGCTGGAGGACTTGAGATGAGAGAGTGCGAACAGGAGGGTGTTGCCGAACATCGACACTTGCACACACTGTACTCTCCCCATGAACGAAGAATGAGAATAGGAAGGAAAGATGAGGGCTTTTTCCTTGTACTTCTTCTGTTCCTTCGTAAGGAAGAACAAACCAACGCCCTAAGCGGATAAGATCCCGAGAGAGAAGACATCTGGAAAGTAAATAAACATTAAAGCAACTCATTTAACTTCAAAGTTTTAACAACCACACCGGTAGTAGATTGCTATTTACCTTTCAATTAAGTTATGGAGGGCTTTAAAAAGTAATGATCTGCATTCGTAGGAAAGACCACTTTCCCATGACCCCTGCTCACTCTCTGCAAGAAAAAACATAACAACATTATTAATTAACTGTGGGAAATTTGTTCAAGTAGAGAGCTGCATGGCTCCATCAAGAGTAAAGACGAATCAGAATTTTTAAGTAACGCAGGCGAGAGTTCTTTTTTTTCCGTAACAGAGGAGAGTGCTCCTTGTGGCAGTAGAACCCAAGTCACCCTCTCCACCTGTTGACCCGAGCCATTTACTACTACAGTAGTTTGCCACCCAAGACGGCCGCCAAATCCCGCACAGCGTTTCGCCGCCGTCTCTCACGCACCCAGGCGGAGCGTCCCAGGAGTGCGAGAGAGACGGATCACTCGGCCGCTCAGCGCCCGGCCGCCGCGAGATACCGTCCCGGACGCACGCCCGGCCGCCGGGTTGCCCGCCACACGGCGCCGAGCCGGCCGCGTCGACAACTCTCCTCCCTTGTCCAATCCCGTCCGACCCGACCAAATCGGATCCCCTTCGAAGTGCATCGCCAGAGCTTTAGGCAGGCATAGCATAGCCTGCGGCCGCATCGTGGGGTCCTCGCCTTGGAGCAGCTCGAGTCAAGAGGGTGACATGTGCGGAGGGGGAGGGGAGGGTCGTGCGCGTCACACACAATCGATTCGCGCAAAGGCAGAGTGTGGTGCGGCGCGGCCCTTGCGCCCCCTCGCCTCGCAAAAAAACACACGCGGGGCGGGGCGGGGCGGAGGGGCGTGCCGATAGAGGGCGCTGCCGAGTCACGTGGCCGCGGGGGCCGCGGGGGCGCGCGGAGCGGCGGGGTGGCCTGCGGCCTGCGGTCTGTGGCCTGCGGGGCCGTGCTAGCCGTGACTATTTCAGCGTCGATCGCATCGCCTCCAAGGCGGCGAGACTGTTCGGCGAGACGGACAAGAGAGCGCGCCCCTTCGACGCTTCGCCCCGCCGACGGTACCGGGGCACCCCCGCTGTCGGCGGGGCGGGGGCCGCACGTGGATGTGCAGCGGACCCCTTCCACCCCTCCCCCGGGCAGCCAAGCGGATGTGGAGCCCCACTCGACAAACGGCGTAGAAGCGCCGAGCCAAACCAACTGGCCAACGTGTTGCCAGCGGAACGCAGAACGCAGCCGGCCCCGCGCGGCCCCGCGCCGTGGGCCCTTGCGATGGGTCGATATGCTTGCCATGGGCTCTACGGCGAGGAACGCGAGGACCACTGGGCACGGCTAGCGCCCCCGCTAGCGCCCCGCTAGCGCCCCCGCTCCTCCCGCCGCCCTGCACCGGACAGGACAGAGGGAGGCTGAGACCTTGGGGGCGCCGAGGAGGGCGCCGAAGAGGGCGCCCCGCCCCCCGCCCCTACGCGACCGGGACCCGCGAAGGCTTGCTCACTTCATCAGCAGCCACGCCGAGGAGCCGCCTGCCCCGAGATCGCCGTCCCTCTCGCCCCAAAAGGTGCAACAGAGACAGAGCGACCAACACCAGCCTTCGCAGACAAACGTCGCACGCCCCCACCCCACGCCCCTCTCACCGCGACTTATAGGCAACCTGTGGTGGGCGGTGTGATTCCCTGATTGCCGCCGGCCCCACTCGCCGGCCGGGGCCCAGCCGAGCGTGAGCGCAGTGCGCAGTGCAGGCACCGCCACTCCGGGCTGCAACTGCACCGCACGCCCATTTGGGTTGCCTTCGCCGCCTTGGCCAGCGCGGCAGAGAGCGCGGCAGAGAGCGCGGCGCACCGGCGGGCCGCGGGACGAGGGGTCCGCGCCGTTCCACTGCCCTAGATATCCTCCGGCCGGCCCCCCCCCCCCTTTCCTCTTTCCTCTTTCCACCTTTCCCCTCGCGGCAACGACCGCCTACCCGGTTACCCCCGGGCTAGGCCAGCAGGAAGGGGCTGGCCGGCGGACGGGGACGCTAGCGAGCGGGCGCGACGCACAGAACCCAAAGGGCGCGCATCCCGCCAGTCCGGTCGCGCTGGTCGCCGGGCAGAAGGTAGAGGCGTAACGATCGGCGCCTTGCTCGCCTTGCGCACTTTGCGCGGTGCGGTGCGCCAGGGCGGCAGGGCGGCCAGGGCCACGCGCCGCTTCGGCCGCTCCTCACGGGGTTGGTTTGTTCGGTCTCGCGGATAACGATCGAGCCGGTGCTGCCGTGCCTGCCGCCGCGCACGGGCCAGGGCGGTCGGGGTGGCCGGGGCCGCGCAGGGCCGGGCAGGGGGTAGCGGTTAGGCCCCGGAGGGCTCGGCCGGCTCGCAAGGCTCGGGGCCCTTCAGCCCTTCAGGCAGAGGGTGCCGAGCGTGCCGCGCAGGGCCGCGCAGGGCCCGGCAGGGCTGGATGGGCAAACAGGGGTATTGATTCCGCCCGCTTGACTGCGACACCCGCGCACCGCCACGCCCACGCCCACGCCCCGCCCCGCCCGTCACGGACACCAGCCCTTTCCCTCCCCCCACCGCTGCAAGGTCGCGCCAACCCGAGGGCCGAGGGGCTTGCAGGGCTCACGCGGCAGCCGCGCAGCCGAACAGAGAAGAATAAATTTATCGAGGGCGCTGCACCGTTAAGCCCAGCAACAATAAGCACCTGCTCCAGTTGAAGCCTGGCGACAAAAAATAATTCCAACAATGTCCATAGGCTTTGAATTGGATTAGACTCTTGTGTTGTTGAATGTGTGATTCTAATTCGTTGGCCCAATCGCTGATATCGTTTTCGACTCGGCTCGGCAGCACGCCGCCACGCCGGCCGGCGGCTCTGTCTGCCAGACCGCCGCCGCGCTTTGACTTTGCCGCGCTTTTGCCGCGGCCAAGGCAGGCCAAGGTGGAGGGGGGACACGCCCCCCTCCCCGCCCCCCGCGGGGCCCGCGGGGCGCATGCGCACTTGGGCCCCAGCGAGGCAGCATACGGCGTAGCGGCACGCAGCGCGGTGTAGCCGCGGCGTAGCGGCGTAGCCACGGCCCAGCAAGAGGCCCGGGCCCCGGGCGCGCGACAAGGACGGAAGACACAACACGACACGCTAGAGTCCGCGCTCCGCTCCGCGCCGACCGCCACCGCCGCGACCGCCGCGCCGTCGGCACCGTGCCGCGCGGCGTTGCCAGCTCGGCGCTGTCCTGGCGGCGTGGCGCGGCGTGGCGGCATACCGCACCGGCACCCCGTCCGCCCGCCCCGCCTCCCCCCTGGCCCGACCCCGCCCCCACACACGCCGCCGCCTAGCCAGCCGCCGCCGCCGGCCGGGGAGGTCCGCGATGTCCGTGGCGGTGCTGCTCGCGGTGCCGCGGTACCGCGGAGGCGAGGGGGGCGGGGCCGCGCCTGGGCTGCGCGCTGCGCGCCGCGCGGCCAAGGATAACAACGGGACAGACGCCTCTCCGTGGAGCCGCTAGAGTGCGCTAGGCGCGTCGCCGCCCGTCCAGGGAGTCCACGGCCCAGCCCTCGCGGCCCGCTCAAGCAAAGCCGGGCCGGGCCGCGCTCCTCCAGTCGCGAATAATGATTGGCGGTGCAGTCAAGTGCATCGCGGGCCGGCTAGGCCGGATGAGCGCGGCTAAGCGCGGCGGCGGGGTCAACAACTCCAAACTTCGATCATTTTGATCGAGTTTCAATCCTCGGGCGAGCGTACACCGAATATTCAGAGTAGTTGACCGCGCCGCGGTGTGCAGCACCCGATGATGCTGGGCGACGAGTCGAGCGGCGGCGCATCAAAGCAAAGTCGGCCTGCCTGGCCGGCGGGACGGAGGACGGAGGGGGCCCAGCCGGCTGGCTGTAGAGGCCCGCACGCACGTACGTATGCGGACGTGAACGTCCCGCCGCCGCTCAAGTCTGGCCGATGACCAGACCAGCCGGCAGGCGCAGCCCGGAGCGCGGCATCGCCATGGGCAGCCATGGGCACCGCGCGGCGCGGAGGCGCGGGTAGGGGTGAACGTACGGAGCAGGGCGAGCAGGGCGAGCAGGGCGGCCCGGCTCGGCACGGCCCTCCCGACCGACCGGAGGAGAGGCAAGGAGAGCGTGGCGTCGACGGCTCGGCGTCGGCCCGTTAGAGGGGCTCAGTGCCCTAGGCCCTAGGGACTCCGCGCTCTCCTCGGCGGGTTGCAGTCCCTGTCACGGCCGTGGGGCCTTCGGCCAAGCCTTCGGCAGGGGCGCGAGAGAGACGCCGTCGCTTGCTCTCTCCCTTGGCCCAATGTGCGGCGTCCTGGCGGCGTCGCGGACACGACCCCCGCTTCCCGAGGCCGACGCCGCCGACACCGCGGAGCACGTTCGGCCAGGTCGTCGCCCCCATGGCCGCGGTGCCGCGGTCAGTCGCCGGCCGGGCCCGCAAGACCGTCGAGGGCCACTTCGTGACTCGGCTAGACTGGACTCACCTGTGGAGAGCAGCTCGGGGGAGACGAGGCTGGTGAGGTCGGGCTCCTCGCCGTACCAGAAGATCCACAGCTCCTTGGCGGCGTGCAGGGCGAGGGGCGGGTGCACCACGACCTGGGGCGCCACGGGCGGCGGCGGCGCCCCGAGCGGCGCGTCCAGCAGCGCCGAGTCGTCCGGGGGCGGCGGCCGGCGGCCCACGCGCCGCCACACGCACAGGATGTCGGCGTGCAGGCATCGCGAGAAGCTCAGCAACACGGGGTCCAGCACCACCTCCCCGGCGGGGGCGGCGGGGCCCTCGGGCCACACCAACTTACGCCATTTTATGCCGCATAGGTCCGTCTGCAACAAGCAGGGCAACAATCAACAAATGGAACAAGACCGCCTCCGAGCAGAAGCGCTTCCCGCTCACTTTCACCGTGACGCACATCCCATCACCGCCCTCACTGGCGCACAACGGCAAGCTCGATCAATTGCGGCGCGAGCGAGCTAATCTTCCCCGATCTTTTATTATCTCTAGAGTGAGTGGAGCTCGCCATGTGCGCTCCAGCTATATTTCGCCCCGGCCCTATCCCAGGGTATCGCGGTACAGTAGCCTCGTCCTCCACGGCCCTAGGGTCCCCGCTTGTCGCTCGGCCCTTCAGGCCCTTGGGGCCCTTGGGGCCGATCGGTGCTATTTCGGGCCCTGCTTCGAGGCACGCCACGGCGTGCGGCCGATGCGGCGCTCGGTGCGGCGCTCGGTGCGCGCAACGCCGCAGCACCACTCACTCCATTTCCGGGATTCTCCGAGGGCACGGGGGCCTACACTGTGACACTACACGCGTAAGGCCCGCGAGGCCACCCCTCCACCGGAAAGACGAAAAAGGAAAACAACGAGGAAGGCAGGCCTGGCGTGGCCTGGCAGGCCGACTGCACTGCAATGTGGCCGTGACAGCACGTGCGTAGTGCAGGTGTGCATCCTTACAAGGAGGAGGGGGGGACGCGTGCCGCGCGCCACACCAAACCGCAAAACGTACAAGCACCGCAAAAAAGGAAAGAGACGCCGAAGGACAACCAAGTGCACCCTTTCCCAATAAGTACCATCGCCTCATTCATTCACTGTCATCCATTCATTCGTTCATTCATTTATTCATTCATCCATTCGCTGGGCCAGCTACGTAGTTCTCTGGGATTACGACGAGCGGCGTACCCCACACTGTAAGGCGAAGACAGATTCGAGACTCGCGTCTCCGCCTGGGGCTTTGCGATGTCAACAAAGCGAGGATGGCGCCTCGCTCGGGGCGCGTGCTTGTGCAGTGCTGTGTGCCCAACCCCGCGGTTAGCGCGCCACCACGCCTGTTACGGTGTGCCGGTGCCGGTGCACCGGTGGACCAATTTAGCCAAATGAGGCACACCGCCACCTCCCCGGCGGCACGGCGGCGGCGTCTAGGTCCTCGCACAACATTGGCGCTGGCAGCGTTGCCGCGCCGGCGGTCCCCGCGGTCCCGTGCGCGTGACGTCACTGATAAGCGTCATCGCGGCGAAGCGTGCAGCGTCCTCACGTGGAGGCTCGCGGGGAGGGAAGGGCAGTCTCTCTCTGTCGCACTCATGGCGCGCCCCGTGCGGGTGCGAGAGAGACAGAGCAGCCGCCAACATCGCCAGCATCCGGACGGCCGGCCGGCCCCTCGGCGGCGCAGTTTCGCCTCCACTGTGCAACCGGAGCCATTTCGCAGCCGCGGCCGCTTCAGCTCGGCGGCTTGCAGGCCTTGCGGGCGGCTCGGCAGGCTGGGCTCGCCACGGCCCGGCCGATGCGATACGGCTAGGCGCTGCCGCTGCGCTGCGCCGCGGTGCCGCCGTCACAACACCCCAACCCTACCGCGGCGCGGCACGGCGCGGCACGGCCCATTCATGGAGCCGCGCAACAGGTGCCCAGGCTTCCCCCTCCACGCCCACCGCGCGGCACCGCGGCCCGCCGCCGCCGCTACCCGCCGCCCCCGCGATCCAGAACATTCCGGTCCCGGTCCGCGGCGAGGGGTGGGCGGGGTGGGCCTCCAGAGCCTGGCAGCCTGGCCTGGTGGGCCACCCGGGTGGCTGCGGCCCTCGGCGGGGAGGACAGGAGGGCCAGGTCGCCGGGTGGGTGGTGGCGGTGGGGCGCGGTGGGGCGGCCCCGCACCGTGAGGCGCCGCCTGCACCCCGTTCGACGCAGCGTCACCCATTCATCCAAATTTGACAAAAAGCGTCGCGCCATTCATTTCGACGTGCCCAAGTCCACGCGGCGCCGCCGTGCCGCTACCCCGCGCCCAAACGCGCCGCGGCCTGGCTGCGGCTGGCTGGGGCCCCAAGGTTGTAAACACACGGCGGGTGCCACTCGCCCAGTATTTTCGTTCCGCAAGAGACACGGGCCGCGCTGCCGCCGCGGCGTGCTGTGAGCGCTGTGAGCTACGCGAGCTGCGAGAGAGGGGAGAGGAGGTGGCTCGCATGGCTCTATGAGGCCCCCGCCAATCTCTCCTCTACTGTACCCATTTCGCAAGTCCCCGCTTTTCTCCTATCCCCGCGGCCCGCCGTGCCGCCACGCCGCCAGGGCCGTAGCGTACCGCTGTGGGTCGCGGCGAGGCGAGGCACGACGGGGTGAGGGCGGGGCGGGGCGGGGCGGGGTCGCGAGGCGTAGCGAGGATCGATCCCTCTCCCTCCCCGGCGAGCCATCCCGAGCGTCCTTGCAGCCCTCTCCTTATTGGCGGCGTTCAAACCACGTTGTTGCGCGGTGCCGCCGTGCCCGGGCCGTGCCCAGGCCGTGCCCAGGCCGTGCCCCACACGGCGCGGCGGTGCTGCCATCCCGGCCGGGCAAAGCGCTAAGCGCGGCGGAGCGGCGGCGCGGCCGCGGGGTGGAAAGGAAACCGGGAAGAACGGTACCAAACGCGGCGCCGTGCCGCCGCCTGCCGCCGCCTGCCGCCGCCACGGCACCGCGGCGCTGCGCACTTTGAGGCGCAGTGCTTTTCGCCGGGCCGTGCCGTGCCGCTCCGCGCCGCCGCGGCCCTCAAGGCCCTGCAGAACCGGCGGCGCGTCGATACAGCCAGCGATGGGGCGGCAAGAGTGGGCAAGAGCAACCCCTCCCCCTCTCCTCCCACCTTCACGCGACCCGCACGTGCCGGTCGGGCGCCACCACAATGTAACCACTACGCACAACATGACACGCCTCGCTAGACATCGCGCGAGGCGTACAGTTTGTAGTGCGCGGCGCACTAAAGACGTCTGTATTTGGACTGGTTGCGACGACTTTCTGCAAGGAAAACGGGCAGGGGGCGCCACTGCGAGTCTTCCAGCGGCATGGCGGCGCCGAGCACCGCCAAGGCCTTCCCACCACGCTCCGCTCCTCGCCGTGCCTGGCCGTGCCTAGAAAGCGTTGCGCGGAGACGGCCAGGCACGGCGAGGCGGCGCGCGGATCCGCCCGCCATGCCCGCCATCCCTCGCAACGCCAAGACGGACAGCCGGGTGGTGGGGGGCAAGTGCGTCAGCGGGCACACGACCCACCCTCGCGCCCCGCGCCCCGCCCTCCGCGCCGGCGGGGTGTGGGACTGGGGAATCGAACCGACCGCGCCGACCAGTGCGTCGTCGCGGAGGACCCTCCTCCGACACGGCCTGCATCATCATCACACTGGACGAAACGGTCCAACCGACCAAGCAGCGGCAAAACAACGGCCCGCCGGCGAGGTGTCGGAGACCGGCAGGATAACGCCGGACCGCCAGTTCGCAGCCGCCAACAAGGAGGCCGTCGACACCCTCGCAGCACCCTTCCAGTAGGGCCGTTGTATCGACCCCCAGCCGCCCTAGCGGCCCTAGCGGCCCTACCCCCTCCCTCCAGGCGCGGCCAGGCGCGGCCCACACCGCGGCGCCGGCCGGGAGGGAAGGGAGACGCGCCCAGCGAGGCCCTCGCCTCGCCCGCCTCGCCCGTCAACCTGATAACCAGGCGGGAGCACAGCGCCATGCCGGGAGAGGGGGCTGGCCTGCCTGGGCCCTGCGATCAATGCCGCGGCCTGCGCACGTGCCAGTGTGCCAGCCAGAGGGACTTCCCTGCGGCCCAAACCCCGTCGCCCACTCGGCCACCGGGGCCAAGCCCAAGCCTGGCCGGGCCTGGCCTCCACTTCCGCCGTCGCCGAGGGTCAACGCCCCAACCGGGGCCCAACGCCCCGAGCGAAGTGAGCGAGCCGCGAGTGCGCTGCCGGGCCATGCCGGGCCGCCACACTACGAATCGGGTGCAGGCGTACCCCGGCCCACTAGAGCCACCGGGCCACCCAAACCGGCGTCGGGGACCGTCACTAAGAACGCTTCCGGCTCACATTCCCACACCGCTCGCTCCATCGGCCGCGTGCTTTGCGACGGCCCCTGGCCGAGACTGGGCCGAGACACCGTCGAGACAATGACAACATTATCAGTGCCCGGAGGTGGCGGCCAATCACAAACGCAGGGGGCGGCGGGGGCCCCAACCTATGACAATCTCCCCGAGCGGCGCGCGCCGTGCCGCCGGTGCCGCCACTGTTGCCGGCTCGTTGCCGTGGACACCGTGGACACCGAGGGCCGCCGCCAGCCGCCAGGCACCGCCAGGTAGGGGTGTCGCCGACACTGCCGCCGTCGCGGAGGGCGGCTGCTTCGGCTGCTTGCTTCCCACGACTCGTTATCGGCGAGGTGAGGTGCGAAGCATGCGAAGCGGCCGGGGGGCGTCGACCCCGTCCCACCGGCCGGCCTCACGTCACCGCCTGCGCGCCGCCGCGCCGCCAGGTTCGGGTTGCGTCGCGCTGTCGCGCCGCGTCGTGCTGGTCGTTTCGCACTAATGACCCAGTGCACCGATAGCGCACTGCGGCGGGGCAGGCCGACGCATCCCGCCAAGGAGTGACATAACGCATTTAGGTCACTGTTAATGTGGCGGCGGAGTGACCCACTTCGGCCACTAGGCCGCGCTGCCGCGCTCCGCGCCGCCGACGGCCGACGGGGGACTCGCTACCAAAACAAACCGAACAGACAGACGGACGGATGGACCGCGAGCGGGCGGACCGACGACGGGGAGGCAGATTCGCAGTCAATGCCAGAGGCGCTGCTGCAGCCTGCAGCAGCATTCAATTAACCAAACGGACCGGCAACGTTGCGCCGCTCGCGCCGCTCTGGGTCGGCCCGGCTTGAGTGGCTTGGGGTAGGGTTGACAGTTTTCGACGACGGAAACCTAGAAAAGGGGGGGGCACACCGCGGCGCGCAGCCTCAGCCTCACAGTGCACCGACAGTGCACGCACGCCCCGTGAGGCCGCGAGGAGCAAGGTTATCGGCAGAGGCGGTGACACTGCAGCTCACCGAGCGCCTCACCCACACACACGGACTCACCTCCACACATGCACACGCGCTCCATCTCAACCTTGAATGTGATAGGCTCGCGGACGGAAATAGCGGCGGCTGCACGGCCGGGGCATCGGGCCCAGCAGCCCGCCCGGCCACGCCGAGGCAGCGCGCTGCACAGTGGGCCAGAAGGCCGGTGGAGGCGGCCAAAATTCTAGAAGTGTTTCGAGCTCCAGAGTCGCCAAACGTGACTCGACCCGTACGTGTGACCCCACCAATGGATTGCTCTCCGAACGAGGAATCCATTGGTGGGGTCACGCGTTCGGTTCGAGTCCTGTTTAGCGGCTACTTGAGCGGCCGCCTCATGGTGCTCGCGCAGCTCCCGCCGAGCGACAACCCCTTCCAATGCCTTGCGCTGGACCCGTCCGTCGCCGTGCCTTCGCCGAGAGCCCTGGACCCGGTCCAGCCGGTGCGCGCTGGCCGGCCCGGCCCGGCCAAGCCCGGCCCGACCGGATCCGATCGCGTCCTTCCTGAAGGCGACCTTGCCCCCGAACCACTCGCTCCACTCCAGCGCCTTTCCCAACGCCACCGGGACCACGGCGTCGTCGGCCTGCACGTCGGCGACGTCGGCGCGGGGACCACAGGTGGTTTGACACGTGCAAGGCGTGCACGGCGGTCCCTTCATTTCTGTCTCAATGGCGTCACCTGTTGAATGGCCGAATGGCCGCACTAATCGCTCGCCTCCACTCACTCATCCATTTTTCGTCGTCGGGGAAAGCCGGGACGGGACGGCCGGGCCGCCTCAGCCCGCTTCGGCCGTGACGGCAGCGCAGCACGCTCATTCCGAGAGTCGCCGTCGTCGCCCTGTCTCTCTCGCACTCGTGGGGCGTCCCGTACACGTGCGAGAGAGGCAGACGCAGGTCAGGCGCCATCCGGGCGAGCCCCATTTGGGGCTTCTTTTCCAGCCCGGGGCAAATTTAACGTTTGGCGTTCCCCAAGAGGCAGGGCGACGGAAGAATACGCATTCGTGACCGCTCTGCTCGTCCTGCTGGCCGTGTAGCGCGGGCGGCCTTATCAAGGGCTGCGACAGGAGAGCATCGGTCAAGCAGCTCGCTGCGGCCGCCGCGGCCCGGTTCCCGGACGAGGGGCGAGGGGGCGGGGCGGGGGGCGGGGCGCGGGGGCGGGGCGCGGGGGCGGGGCGAGGGGGCGGGCGGGGGCGCGGGGGCGGGCGTGGCTCCCAGGCAGGCAAAGGAGTCAAGGAGCCGCCGTGCCGCGGGGCCCACCCTCTCATCTAAGCACGCCGAGAGAGTAGCGAAGAGCGAAGCGGAGCACCGAGACGAGAGAGACAGAGAGACCGGGAATGCGCGAACGGAGAAGCGGCAACACGGCGGCATGGGTTCGGTCAGGGCTCGGGACAGCAGGCAGGCAGCAGGCAGGCCAGGCCGTGCCCCCGCCGCACCGCGCACCGCTGCTGCTCCACCAGCCGCCAGCACCGCGACGTCGAGCCGGCCCGGCTAGCCCGGCAAAGCCAGGCAAAGCCCGGCCCGGCCCGGGCGGCTGATGCTGCTGCTGCTGCTGCAGCGCGGCTCGGCCGCTGGGTGGCGTAGCCGCGGCCGCGTAGCCGTGGCGTAGCGTACGGCGTACGGCGTCAGCCTCAGCCACCGCCGCTGCAGCCCGCTCGACCCGTCCCGTCCCGTCCCGACCACACGGCCCTCCGCGCCGAGGTGCCGCCGTGCCGCTGCCGGAGCCCAGCCGGCTCAAGTGCAGTCTCGCCCCTCTCTCTCTCTCTCTCTCTCGCACTGCAGGCCCACAGGCAGCCCGTTAGGCCAGAGAGAGAGAGAGAGAGAGGGACAGCCACTTATTACGTCGGCGTGGCGCTATGCAAGCTGCACCCCCCGCAGCTACACCACAACCCTCCCCTGGGCCCCAAGCCGAAAATTTGACACTTGAAAAGTCAGTTTGACAGGGAGCACAACCACAGGGAGGGAAACTTTAAGTCGCAGGGGTGGAAATGGAAACTTGGGGGATGAATGGAGTGTTCACTTGCTCGGCAGATCAACAAAATGAGTCCCATGAAGCACTGCGCACACATTTAAGCATCTGTTGCTGGATGCAAACATGTTTATCTGATTAACTGTCAAACTAATGACAACAGTACCAGTCATAAATATATCTATTTTAATTTTTCAGCAAAATTGAGCTGTGCGAAGATTTTTTCTTCCTCAGTAACACAAGCCGTTTAGATTGAAGCACTTGGCGCAACTCTGCACAGTCCGGCATAGTAAATCAACAAGACCAAACACTTAAAAATCACATGGTTCAGATTAATACAAAAAATAAAACAAAGGGAGAATATTCACTTTGTAAAATGGCAACAATACTGGAATGCATAGAAAATTTTCCTCGTAGCCACAAACTATTGGATTACCTAACCTCACATTCAGGAAAGAAAATGGTAAGAAATAAAAACCATAAGTTAGGATCAATCTTTGTTTAACTCCTTAGGCTGGTACAATCAATGAGGAACAGTCACAGACTGCTAAATTAAAAAGCAAGTGAATAACAGTGAGTGTAAACAAATTCACTGCACCTTTCCAACAGCAAAACTCTTGTTTCATAGTTTTGGGACCAAAGTTTATTTGAAATGTAAAAAAGCGAAGGAAGAATTACATCCAAGAGAGACAACAACATAAAAAGATAAACAATACTGTCAAAGTGTACAGCAGTTGACAAGCAGCTCTATTATGAGGATGCTTGACATAGGCCCCTTCCAAACCAAAATATGGCCCCAAGGAGAGACCAACCGGGGAAACTTTCCGAGCCCAGGGATACTTGTAAAAGAGTGAACTGATTCTGATAACCACAGAGATTGAATAACAAGGTTAGGGTTCTCAGCAAGCAATGATCGTGGAGAGCAAGCTGGGGCGGATGACCTTTCAAGGCTCAGCCTGACACCATTTCCACTTCGAGCTTCTACGCCTGCGTTACGCCTGCCAGACATTTGTGTCTCAGACCAAAGCCTCAATAATACGAGGCTCGCCCGTTCAAACAGCGGCTATGCAGCTGACACAGGCTGCGTAGCTAAACTAGAGACTTGGGGCATCGCTCCAGAAGTCTTACGAACCGGGGTGGGCAAAGCGTGACACTTAGGCAGATGAAAGTTTCTCACGGTATAAATACAACACCAAAGAACATTTCACAACCTACGCCCTGCATGTTTCCCCCAGACCAAAGCTAGGGCAGTTTATTTTTCAGCAAAATGTAGATAAGTTGACAGAAATTTCGTGGTTAAGATTTGACTTAGATTCTTAGGCCTATAGATGATTGAAATCAACTTACCAGAGCAAAGAAATTTGTGTGGCAATCCTCCAAACTAGCTCCGTTTGTTTGATGGTTGGGATGTGTCATGGCTTCGCCATTTTCTTAAAAATGTTTTTAACCACTAACCACACAATTTAAGTAACAATATCCACACGAAACCCGCCGTATTTCGGGACCATAAAGGACGAATTTCACCTTTCAATGGCGACTGTAAAATGGCGGATACGACAACAAGCGCAGGAGGCTCCTTGGCACTGATTGGCTCTCGTTGGTCACGTGAAACAGGAGAAAAGCAAGATGGCCGCGCTCGTGAAACGAGAACCGCTGCTGCGGGAATTTTATTTAGCATTTGCAGGCGGAAATGTTGCCAAGGTTTGTTGTTCTCACATCTGAGTATGTTCTGATTTATATGCTGTACGATTGGCCGTCAGTTACCACCATTGTCTTGCCCTCCCGACTGAAAATTTGGTAGAAAATAAGCATATTGTGTAGTCACAGCCTTCTGTGAAGGCACGGTTTGTATTTTCGTGGACCTTTTAACCTCAAAATTCTTGAAATTATTGCATCAATTTGGAGAAAAGGGAGGACACCGACACCCTCAGGACTCTGCTCTGTTTTTTCTTGTTATCAAAGTTCACTTTTATGTCTCCTGTCCATATCACTTTGACTCGTAAAATGGGCTCTATCATATAAAAATTTAACTGTAAAGTTATTGGCTCTAGTTGTGATATTCTGCTACTTACCTATCCATTTTATTTCTCCTTTCTCAGTATTCAGCTCTACCTCCTAAGAAGAAACCACCACAGCCAAAGCCGGGACCACTGATTCACCACAACAAACAGAAATTGGAAACAAGGGGGTAATTGACTTCATTTGTAAACTTGCTTTTGATGTCGAAAAACTGGTTTTGTGCCTAGGAGCACTGCTGAAACCCCATTTTTTTGTTGCAGGTACTTACGTCCGTTAAAGGCATACACTCCACCAGAAAATGTTGAGGAACAACTCAATAGTATCCTTGCAACTCATGCTAAAAACCTTTCATTTGAGTCAAAAATTGAAGAGCCATTGCTTCGATTTAAGATTTTAGAAGCATGTTTTCAGTCATTCCAACATGCAGTTCCCAACTCTCAACTTCATAATATGAACAGTGTTGGTAAGTCACAAACTCTGGCCCAGACAGCGTTGTTATTTTAATTTCTGTATTCTTATATGACTCTTGCGTCGACTGAAGTTTGGTAGTTTTTTGATAGTTTGTAGCCACACACCAAGAGTTTTGCTGCTTTTAAAATGAGTTTTTCCATTAATTTTTTTTTTATTGTAGGTGATATTCTTGAATTTTATCAAACTCCAGTTGATAAGTTAACTCCCCTTGAGCACCTCAAATCTTCAAATCTTCCCCCAAATCTACACATCCAACTTGAGGCCAAGAGATTTGACCCAGGTAAGCCCAAATTTCTGCGAGCTATCAGATATACCTATTGTTCAAGCTTTGTTCATGTATTTTACCTACATGCCAGTGTATTTCTGTAGGCAAGATTAAAAATTTTGACCATTCCTCTCATAATTTGGTTAATGATATCATCGTCTAAATAATGATGTTGCAAATTTATTTTTCAGATGATAAAGATTCAGTCCATGGTGGTATAAGTGCTTTCCCTCAGAGTCCTACCTTTATTTCAAATTTAGATGCGAAAAGAAATACAAGCCAATACAAGCACAAAATTGGACCAAAGACTGGAGAGAGAAGGCCCTTGGCTACATTAGGTGGTAGAATTTTTCTTTAGTTCTTAAGCGTAGATTTCTGAAGGACCTACGTGTATGTTGTTGATAATGTTTGCGTATCATGATTCTTGTACCTTATTGAACAAGATTCTTGCATCAATAATTTGTACACTTAAAATAAATGCTGTTTGATTTACCTTCAAGTGTTTACACTTTTCTTCCCCAAATCTGAAACAATACATACAAGATGAACATAGATTGTTGCTGGTATTATCATTAAAATAAGAAACTTCGGTTAGTTTCTTCCTTGAAACCTAGCTTTCATGGTTTCAAACCAGCCGCCAAAAGAATGCTGAAATGTAATCGATACCAGTTTCACCAACATTGTTTTACAGGGATGAAAAAAAAATACTCTTGTCATTTTAGATTGTGCGCTCTGTTCAAAAGCAAGGGAGAGAAATTTGACAAACTAAGTTCTGCAGACATAATTTTTTATTATGACTGTGACCACGTTTAATTATAAACTATAAGGACCTCTGGACAGGTTGCCGAGCGTGTGTGTCGTCTGTCTTTCTGTTTATGAAGTAAACAATGTCCTGCTCTTGCACGTTTTCAAGCTGACAGTCGATTGACCCGGTTGTATGAAATGGAGTTTATATTCCATTGACAAATCAGTTCCAGTTCTTTCATTTATTCCTGTCGTTGTGATATAAATTTGGATGATGAAACTTGTGTAACAAGATAGTCAAACCTCACGGATGGATTCCTTAGTTCTGTCTCCACGTTCTTCTCAAATGGTTTGCAAATTGGTTACGTAAAAGACGTTTTAACGAAAAAGCATTGGTTTGTATCGTTCTCACAGTTCCTTACGTCTTCCTTCTCTTTTCTAGCCTAGCTTTCATCTGTTAAATTGTTCAGAATGGAGGAGATCCTTATTGGCAATGAATAGCACCATAACCCCACTTGGAAAATTTATAGGAAGTCATGCTAATTTCATGAAAATCGATCCTTGCATTCTTCTTTAAGTATCCAGCAAACCGTACCAAAAAGAAACTTTTACACGATGTAAGTACAACTGATGTGACAAGCCTTTACAATAATGAGTTCTGATAACTTGAATAAAATTTTAATTACATCATAGGATGTAAGCCCATTCACTCAACCATTGATTTAGCATTGCAATATTCCGAATTTTTGTGTGTTTATGTATACTCTATGGTGAATTTCTTACTAATGGAAAACATTGCTTTATGTCTAGGTTCCTAATTTTGTATTGTTTCACTTTTTGTCTTTTCCAGCTCATACACCACCAGCATACAACAGCCTTACCATGGATTTTCGATTGCTACCAACTGTGCAGGAAATTTTAAATTCCACGAGCCCAGATTTGTTTCCCAATATTATTAAAGGGGAGTATCCTGATGTGGATACCTATTTGGACATCCACTATACTCTTCAACGTGAAGATTTCATCCGACCCATCAGAGAAGGCCTTGCTGCTTACAGAAAGACTCCTGACAATGGAAAGAACTCCAACAGTTTAAGGATTTTCCACAATGTGCAGTTTTCTAAAATAGCCAGAATCAGTCACGAATTGGGCATTGATGTCCTGTTTAACACAGATGACTGTATTGATGAAGATTGGGAAAATTCAAAAAGATTCATGCGAGGCTCACTCTTAATATTCACCAAAGATGATTTCAAATCTGTGATTATGGGTACAGTTCTTCAGCATAATCCGGCTCAGCTCAGGAGAGGTTGTGTCACAGTGCAACTGAATGATGTTAGCCATTGTTCTTTGGAAAAAAGTGTACACAAGTACACTATGGTTGAACCAGACACTTACTTTTTGCCTTACAGTCAAGTAATGAAAGTATTACTGAGTCTTGATGAAAGGTCTTTCCCATTCCGTAGTGAAATAATCTATGCTTATAAGGGAGGCTATGAGCTGGAGTACATAGACCCGTCTACACGTTTTGAATTGCCATGGGGTGCTTTTGCACCTGCTATGGAGATTGATAGGCACCTCTCAGCTCGAGATATGTGTTTGAATGAATCACAATTTAAGGCTCTAACTGCAGCTCTCACAAACCGTTTAGTTCTCGTCCAAGGTCCTCCTGGAACTGGAAAAACTCATGTTGGAACTAAAATTGTGGAAATCCTCCTGCTTAATTCCAAAATTTGGAATAAGAATAATGAGACACCACTGCTAGTAGTATGTGCTACCAATCATACTCTGGATCAATTTTTGGAGAGGCTTCTACCATTGACAGATAGAGTAGTACGGGTTGGTGACCAATCTAAAAGCGAAAAGCTCGTTCCATACAACTTGAACACCATCCTGCGAAATGAAGAGGATCGTCAAAACCAGCCTGCTGCAATGAGAATTTCCTACAAAACAATGATGCAACAGTGGAACATTGTTGAGAAGTACCAGCAAGTCAGAGACAAAGTGGGGCCATCACTCGTTGAAAAGACCAAGTGGGAACAAGAAACACTTGCTCAAGAAAAGGATTACTATGACAGAGTTCAAGCATTCAAGGAGGTGCAACAAGAAAAAGGCCTTCAGAAGCTGCAGGAAGCGCTCATTGTTGGTATGACAACAACTTGTGCTGCTCAAATGAATTCAGTACTACAGAAACTGCGTTCGCCTATTGGTAAGTCCACTACCTGTCATGACATGTATGATTTTTTAATGTAACCTTCAGTAACGTGGTCTTTGCAATTGTCTGGTTCTTGCAGTGGTTGTGGAGGAAGCTGCTGAAGTCCTTGAAGCTCATATCATTGCTTCTCTTACACAGTATTGTAAACATCTGATTCTTATCGGTATGTCAAGTAGCATCAGCTCTTCTGTTTATTTATTTTTAATTAGGAGTTTTTCTAACTGCCTTATTGCTTTGTATTTTCAGGAGATCATCAGCAACTTCGCCCGTCGACAGCTCACCCATACCTTTCGGAAAAATGTCACCTGGAAGTGTCTTTATTTGAAAGGCTTGTGAACAATGGTGTTCCTTATCAAACTCTGAAAACGCAACATCGCATGCGTCCGGACATTGCTTGTCTGCTTACTCCAGTGTTCTACAGTGTACTTGAAAACCACCCTTGCACACTCAACCGGGAGCATATTAGAGGGATGAGAAAGAACATGTTTTTCATGTCTCACTCTTTTCATGAGAAGGAGGTAATTAGTTTTGTCCTCATCTTTGTATTGTGTGTGGTTTCAGAGCTCAAAATTATTCACAGTATTTTTAAGTTTTTCTCAATGGTTACACGCTTTAATATCTTTTTTTATCTTATCACAGCACAAGGCAACTCATGGATACTCAAACATGTTCGAAGCTACATTCATCATTGCTCTCTGTCAACACCTTCTGAAGCAAGGGTACAGGGCTTCAGATATTGTGATCCTATCCATGTACATCCAGCAAGTGAGGCTTTTGAAACAGGTATGTTTTAACAGACAGATATCTAATTTTATTGCTTAAAAATTGATAATTGTGCATATATTGACTTGTTTGATTCACAGCTGCAGTCAAAAGAAAGGGAGCTGAGTTCCTTAGCCATTACTTCGGTTGACAATTTCCAAGGACAGGAAAGTCCCATTGTTCTCCTTTCTCTTGTGCGCAACAACAAGGGCACTATTGGGTTTCTTCGTACATCAAATCGCACGTGTGTTGCACTATCAAGAGCACGAAATGGTGAGCACCCTAATATACAATCTTTCAATGTTCTTTCAAAAAATTATTTAAGTACTAATTTAATTTTAATAATATCTTCTAGGTCTATATATATTTGGAAACATTGATCTGTTGGCATCTCAGAGCCCAGTCTGGGAAAAATTGAAAGAAGTTCTCAACAAGCAGGGTGCAGTTGGACCAGGTTTGCCTGTTGTATGCTCAAATCACTTGACTTCAAACGTTGCTGATTTGCGCCATGTTGGAAACTTGTCATCATGTCCAAATTGCTCTTAGATTTTAGTTTTACTAGGTGGATATTTCCACGATTCAACAGAACTTTTCTTTCGAGAACCAACATTGTTTTAATTATGTTTGTTTTTACTTGTGTATATTGTTTCCAGTCCACAATCACACTATTAAAGGCATGAATTACTTATATGCCCAAGTGTCATATGGAGAAAATTGTTTATTTCATAGAAATTATAATGAACTGTAGCATCTCTGCATATTTGTTGTTGCATGCTTCACTTTAGTCAATGATGTAAAATTTCAAAGATTGTACGCACTAAATTAATAAATTATTCAAACATTAATTATTAAAGCAATGTTTATTCAAATACATATACCCTAATATTTAAATACTTGGGTCTTAAACGTCACTTTCTAGACTTTCCTTATGATTGTCAGAAAGTTAAAACCAACAAACCCAGAATTTTTATCACAGAATAATCATTACCTCACACATTGACACACCTCTCGCACTCAAAAACAAAAATGTAACTAAAATCATTGCAACAAATACTGATCCCATACTTGTAAAAATATTGGTAACTTCTGGAAGTCTACAGATACAAATAGAATCTTTTAAAAACAATGTGTTCAGTTTTTCCCCCTAATCAAACTATCTTCCTTTTTTTTTCAAAGAAAAGCAAAACACAAACAACATCTCATAATGATTCAAGCTTTAAAAAAGGGGGTAGATTTACCCCTGAAGTCATCTTAAACATGTACATAACAACAAAGGTACAGCAAAACATATTGCTCACAGATTTTCAAACCTCCTTCAATCACTTTGGACTACTTGGGAAATTTAAAAACACCTTTCTTTAAACTTTTGCTTTCGCCAGGCTGTAAATACCAAAAGAAAAGACGTAATTAAAAATATGTTCCCTTGCTTAAAACACATGACATTTTGACAAAGGAGTAGTTGATAATGCTTACCATGAGCTTGGCACCCAAAAGCATCCGTGCCTTGTCTTCTTCTTGCGGCGAAGGGGAGTCATCAGCAACTGCCTTCATTTTAAGTAACTTATGTTTGATTGCCTGAAATTTCAAAGATTGATAAAGTTTCCATCCAGAAAGATATGATAATAGAACTCAATTCTTGGTTTATTATGCAAACCTGAGAAACAATTGCCCTTCGACATTCAGATTTCATAGCTAGTAACAGATCAAGCCAAGTCCATGTAACATTGTGATATTCCATCATTCTTATGAGCAAGTTTAAATCCCTGACGTTTGATAAGCTCTTTTCCTTGTTGCCCTTGTAGCTAACTCGAACCGGAACCTCAGGAATCTTGATGTAGATAAATAATTTATTTTTTTCTGCTCTCTCCTAAATTATGAGAGAAAGGAAAACATAAGTAAAAATCCATAAACACTACCCTGATGTGATAACTTTCTTGTTCCTAAGAACACCTACTTTCATTTTTTCAACATCATCTTTATGCTCTATAGGGACATAAAAATTGGAGTCTTTCATTTTTTTCTGTTTAGAACTCCCAGAGATTCTTGAACTAGATGAAGCTCTCCCAAGACTTCTTGTATCAGCTTCAATATCCCCCATGTCAACTTGATCACCTTCAATATTGTCAGGGTCTCTTTCAGGAAAGCAGAACTTAAGCATTAAATTAAAGAATTTTTTTGTAAGTCCTGCAGAAAAAGAAAACTTTGGTATTTTAGAAAGAAACAGCAAGACAAAGATCATAATGTGACAAATACATCATCAAATAAACCATACCAATAGTAATTGGAACAACATTAATTTCAAAATGTTCCATGATTGATATGCCAGCAACTGGAGCTTTCTCACGACAAAATACTCTCAGAGCTCTCTGTATATAGAATGGGGAAAAAAGAAAAGAAAAATAAGCAAAAGATTTCCACAGTGAAAAGCATGTAGATGTACATTTCCTACCTTCCGATCAACAGGCATAATATTAGGACTTTCTGTTGGCACTAAAACTTCCTTATAGGCCTCATTGGGAAGCAGGTTCTCAACACTAATGTATCCTAATTCAAGCAAATGCTCGACAGAATCATCACTTTTTGAATGTTTGGTGTACCTTAATTTAAAAATATTGAGAATCAAACACGTGAGTACGATTAATAGGAAGTTTCAGAGTAAAGAATCAACACTTGTAGATACAAATACTCACAAGAAGTTGCTGAGGATGAGGTCAGCTATTCCAAGTTGACCATCACTATCAGTTAGTTGCCATTTAGCATGCTTAAAACTAATTTCAGAAGCTCTGACAACTGTAATAGGTTTGTCATTTCTCGATGTGGCAACTTTCTGAGTGGTTGACAGTTGTCGCTCCTTGTAACATGACAACATCATATCAAGTTCTTCACTTTCAGCAGACAAGTGCTCTTTGCACTCATTTACTGCATCTTCAAGATCTTCCATTTGCGCAAGCAGACTTGGTTCATCTGGCTCTTCTGCGAGAGCCCGTTGCAGTAGATAGGTTTCCTTTTCCAGACGACGGAGTTTTGAAACCAGACTTCTTACATAGTTTTGTAGTTGTTGAATAGGTTTACGCTCATCCTCTTGGCGACTCAATAATTGCAGCTGGAATCGTAATCGTTGAAGCCGATCTAATCTTTCCTTGCGATGAGGCTCAACATACAACAAAAGATTGTTTATAATATCCAAAAGCATTGCGTATTGCAGTGAATTTGTGCTGACATTCAGATCGTGGTGCATCAATGTAAATGCATCAACCGCCCTCTCTCTTCTCTCCCAGGGAGCCCCTTCATCTAATGGTAAAGGTGGTACCTGAGCTTCCCCTAGAGTACTCGGATCAATACTACTATCTCCATACCCAACATAGAAAAACTCGCAGTTGCAGCGAGAGACAATTCTTTGTAGTTGAATGGCTGGGTTCTCACCCGTACTACTTCCTCCAACAGTTTCACTGACCACTCCACCAACAGACTGGCCACTTCCAACTAAATGGGGCAGGTCAGGTAAGTCTGCTATTACCTTAGAATCTTTTTCTTGAATATTTTCCACAGAAAGCCACATTATATTTTCTGTAGTAAAAAATGTCAGGAAATAAATCACTTGAAGCATGCTCAAAATTTTGGTATATTACAAATAAAAAAATATCAAAGCTATAGTTACTTACCATCAATGTTATAATTTTCGCCAGCACTTACAGTTGCATAATACTGCATACATTCCAAAGATCCAACCCATGTAGTTTTGGATACAAGGGTGTGGTCTTTCCAAGCAGGTCTATGGATTCTTTGAAGAACTTCAGCTTTGGCAGCACTTATAATGACATATCCCTTTGTTTCACATCCCTTTAGCAGAACTTGACTGTTCACCAATGCAACTATAAAAATCAAAATAGCAATCAAACATCAAGAATTGTTTGCTTTACTTAAACTGAGAGACAGAAAAAAATCTGCGTTGATAGTCAGAACCACCAAACTACATACTCAGCCACTTTTTGTGCACCACATCATCTTCTTGACAGGCAGCAACACCTTGCAAATTCTGGTCTCGAGTTTGTGTGGAGAGATCATCACTGAAGACAACCGACTTTTTGTCAGCTTCAGCAATTAGTTGTTGAAGCATGCTAGCAGCATGCCCAGATTGGATTTTAGTCATTGGTGAGGGAGTAGCTTGCATACCAGCAGCCTGTTAAAAGAATGTAAAAAAAATAATTTTGGAATAACATGACAAGCTTAAGTCTGACTTAATTGTCACTAGGTGTTCTGTTCCAGAGGAGATATTTGATGGCCAACATAAAAATTGAATTCTTACCTGAAGACTAGGATTAGAAGGTGGTGTGAGCTGCCCATCAGTTGGGCGGGTTCGTGTTTTCAATGGAGTTGTTGTGTTTTCTGATCTGAAGCCTTTCAGAGCTTCAGTTGACAAGTTCTTCTTTAATTGCTGCAAAAATTGAATGATATGCATATAATGTTGATCCATTCAAAGACAAGGTAGGTGAGCAGAGCATTTTAGTTTCATCTTACCTTGGTTTTGACAACGGTGTCAAATAGGGCAAACGCCACATCCCGATTACTCTTGGTCCACGCACCCTTCAGTCCATGTACCACCAGCCTATGAGTTGGTGTGTCAACTGGGCGTTCGTTGTGAGGTATCACAGCTTCACGTCCATATGACACCTTGGAGACACTTAAAAAGTAACACTTTTCGACTGGCTGGCGATGTAGGATGTGCTGCAAGAATAACAGTTGTAAGCCATCTACATGCACATCAACATTAAATGAAACTAAGACCACAAGTTGTTAACTGTACATCGATTGAACTCAAGAGAGACAACATTTACCTCTTTGCTCTCATCCCCCAATAAAGCACTCTTAAGCCAAGTTTCAGCATCATTTGATTCACAATTCATGTACATAACTGCCCATTCTGATCTTGGGCGGTGTTTAAGGCCATCATCCACAGGAACCATAGATAATGTATGCTCTGTCGGGACAGAGAGGCATCTTGTTATCATCATGTTGCTCACATGATGTAATCAAAACTACTGCTATTTTTATCTAAGCCAAAGCACAACACTGACCTGAGCTACAGGTAACCCTGCCCCCAAATACTTCAAACCCACGCTGCATAGACGATGACATCCAATAGGATATGTGGAACCGATGAAGGACTAATGATAAGTGCACTTTACGATAATGCCTGCTAAGTTGCTTTTTCTTTGGACGACTGTTTTTGAATAATGCTCCTCGACGAGTAGGCCTTGTCACTCCTGACAGAATTAATTTTAAGCTTTCAAACCACCTGAAAAGGGGATTACACAATTTCAGATTGATGTTTTTGAAAAATTGAAACAAGATACCAACATACCAACACATTTTACCTCAGAGTGCTGCCATATAGCAGTATAGTAGGGTCCAGCTTTGAAGGCCCATTAGGACTTTGCTTGGTCTCCATAGAGATGCTCACGTTGAGGTTTTGGGAGCGAAAAGCTCTGTATGAGTCATGTTCCTACAGTAGGAATCAACGCTAGAGTAATGATAAATAATGAAAAGTAATAGTGAAGATTAAATTGATCTGACGCTCTACCTGGTTACTTGAGTACTCTGGTAATTTATCAGGGGCACAGGGCATGACAGAATGATGATCATTGGGATCTGCTAAACAGACCCAGCCCAGTTTCACTGTCATTCTCAAATCAGGTAAGAAAAGAAGGCGGCAGTCGTCATACTTTGATGCAGTCCGCACATATACATTGAGAGACCCTTTGAAGACAACTTTTGCTAATTAACATAAGAAAAGCAATGCATTAAAAATTCAGAAATAAGAAGAGTTGTCAAGTGTTGGTCAAGAAGAATAGTGGGTGCCCACCATTGGTCCAATCTAGGGCAACGTCTCTCCATGTCAGCTCCATTTCTTCTGTTGTGTTGTAAGGGTCCAGTGAGGCATGCAGAAGCACAGTCAATGTTCTGGTCACCATAGTTAGTCTGCCATGAAAAAGAAGTCTCATTTTGTCCCAGAATGGGAGGGTTGGGCTAGGATCCAAGGAGGGAGGGGAAATTTGACCAAAGCTGAGATTGCATTGGGCAATGACTGGTTCCCAACATGGTCCAAATGCATAACTAAATGTCTCCACATCACAATTAAAATCGTGATAGAATTTTAGTGACGTCATGCTGCGGTCTACTTCGACTTTACCCCATGGATCACCCAAATCAATTGATACTCCTCGCTTAGCACGCTTAGGTGCTACTTGTTCAGCTCCCACCAATCTGCCCCAAATGCTTAGCTCCTGTATAAGCAAAAGAGGTTGAGGGAAATCTCGGAGCTGAAATTGCCACTCTTTGCAACTTGCAGACACAGATCGGCACCACAAAGTTGAGAATTCAAGGCCATCTTCAGGCCATGGGCTATCTGGATCAATTTCAGTCATGTTCTCGACTACGTTTTCTGCACCATGAATAGAAGGATCAGCCAGGGCCATGATCTCTACATCTGTCATTAACCAGGCAAAGAGCCTAGTACGAGGTGGGGTCTGATTCATTTGTTTCGACCGTTGGACATATATCTCAGCATTCTTCATGCTCAAAGATGTGTACAGTTCATCAACTTTTCCAGCGGGCATTAGGAGATGTTCTTTACATAACTCTTGAACCTTTAATGAGATAAGAACAAGTTTTTAAAAAATATAGGATCTTGGTGATTTTACAGGGATTTAAAAAAAAACCATAATAATTAATTACCTTGGCATCAAGCATTTTTTGACGCTTCAAGCTTTCTTTATACTCGTCCTCTAGCAGTTCAAAATTATCACGGAGCTTTACTTCAAAAGGATCATCACTCATCTCGAACAAAAACTCTTTGACCTGAAAATTGATACACACATTATTAACAACAACAGGCAAAATCACACAACATGGTACAAAGTTGCAAAGACAAACTATGCCATATACCTTGATGACCATGTCAGCTGGCAAAGGACTTTTGGATGTGAAATCTGACTTTTGCCTATGGTGAATCAACTTCAACCACTTAACAATGCTGACTAGCTCTTTACGCACTGCTTCTGCAAAGTTGTGCTCATAGGGGAAAATTGCTCGAAATGATGATATAGTTGTTGACCTACACAACATATTTTTCAAGAATTACTCTAAAGCCTTCTCCTGGTTACACAACACATAATAAACCACATCAGGAAACAAGACATTTTAATAGGAAATTGAGTCAAACCCCACCATGTCTTGTTCCACTCAAGGGTGAAACCTTCCGTATTTTGCCTTTCAAGACGGACATCTTCTAGGTCCAGAATCATCTCCATGAGGAAATTGTCAATGTGGAAAATATTTTGATCATCTACAGCTATGAGAATAGTGTTGGCTGAATAACCACTAGTTTCACTTCCAATACGCAGAGAAATGTCACCTGGAAAGAAAGACATTGGTTGACATGAAGATTCCTGAGCATCGCAAACTACTTAACACAAAGTATCATTTAGCTCACCAGTTGTCACAAGCATGTTGTGGTTCTCAGAAAGATCTATGCCTAACTTCAGTTGCCCAGGAGCAGTTATTTTCACCTCATCCAAGACATTCCAAAAACCTTTGTTTAAATTCCCTTCCTCAGATGGGGCAGAGTGCTTCTTGTCTATACCATAAAAAAATAAATAAATGTACCATCTACCAAACAAGTGACACTCATGTATAAGAAAAAATAATCAAAACTCACACAAAATCTGCGAGAAAAACTGAACCAGATCCTGTCCCAAAGCAAGCAACCTTAGATGAAGATTAGTACTCCATGTAGCAAAGATCTCTTCCAGCAGTTGAAGTTCCACTACTTTATTTTGGTATTGGACTCTAGCTTGTTGAATATGAGCATAGGCAGCCTGGGACCACAAAAAACAGTATTGTAGAAATAAAAGAAAGTAGCCTTAGTACAAACAAAACCTATTGTACTTGTAAGTACCAACCTTCACTTCTTCCGACTTCAAGCAAATGAATGGAACTCCAGAAGGTGTAAGAGAGACAGCTTTGCAGCCTTCCACTGACATATTAGACTTAGACCCCTTCTCAATCATTATGGAATCCAAACGAAGCATAACACCCACTAACAAACAATAAAAGAAATTATGTCATTTTTCAATGAGAGTATAGTATAGTTCAGGAAAAATAGAAATAAATTATTCCTTTGTTACCTTGAGGATCTTTGATAAAAAACAAGTTAGAATTTGTAATCTTTGCATTAAGAGAGCAAGAGTTTATCCATGACAGTAACTGAGAGTTGGACTTTTGATGGCGATTTACTTTAGGAGCTCTGTCTTTGGAGTCTTTATAATCCCCATAGCACCTGCACCAGATAAAATTGTTGACTTATTACAACCAGATTAAATTCAGCCACGAATAAAAATGCTTTGTTGGGCTATACATACTTGACAGCATGGATAAGAAATGCAGCCAACTTGGGGCTCCACTCGCCACACAACATGTTCAACATTCCATCTAACTTATGAGGGTGCAAAACACCTGCTCGCCCTCGGACATTCAAAAGCATAACGCCAAGGAAAAGTGGGGTTCCCCATACATGACTCCGCCTTCTCTGATAAATATCAACATCAGTATCATCACGCAACAAACCAAGGCGGCACCATAGGGCCTCAACCAATAATTCACCAGACCAGTCTTCCATAGACTGAGCGGAAGTATGACCTACAACCAATTTGGAACTATTAATAAAAAACAATCCTTAATCAAATTTAGAAAGAAGAATTTGTTGAGGATGTGAGTGAAAACTGACCTTGTAATGTGAAAACCTGATCAAGACCAAGGCGAATGTGATTACAACCGATGCAGGCACTGCCCTCTGAACTAGACATGCGCAAATGGGTTGACACATCAAACAGTTCCACACTGCCTGACACTTTACAGCCACTCAAAATTTCATGCATCCAGTTACGACTAGGGTATTTGTGAGAATGATCTCTTGCTTCAACTTCCATATCCTTAAAAAAATTTGAAAAAATAAAAATAGAACATTGGTAGCAAACATCGGTACAGCATCAATGACAGGGTTGACCCTTGAAACTTTAAATACATAAGTTGTTTCCTCACCTTCGAATAAGAACTACTATGCGTTTGTGAGTCATGAGATGAGGGGAAGGAACGTGAGGAGTGCAAGGAACGAGAAGTGCGAAGAAAATTCGTTGACACCCAAGAGTGCACAGCCCGGTGGTTGTAAGTGCCTGACAGCGTATTTAATCGAAGATTTACCTTCAATAACTTCCCCTCCAGCTAGTTCAATAACAAGAAGTTCAAAGTTATTATAAAGTGAAAGCTGAAGCTACAAGAGTATATACACTGTGAAATAAAAATTAAATTTGAAGCAAAGTCCAAGGTCATGCAGCAAGAATCAAGAGAACTTACACCTGCTTTTAAAGTCATTCTTTGTAATAAGAAAACTTTCTCTCTCTCATCACGAACGTCCAGATCATTTAATTGCAGTCCTACAGATACCTCTGGAACTACTGATTCACCATGTATTCCTAATTAAGAGAATAATAATGATTATTATTAAATTTTACACTTTTTTGTGGAGAAGAGTCAAAACAGTACAAAACTTATTTTCACTGATTTTACCTGCTAATTTTAAGACAAAGCTGGTATGAATTTCCAAACTGTGAAGAGAGGCGCGAAACTCGGTGCTACTGGCAGCTCTCATGCCGGTCAGATGGGAATTTTCCACTTTGAGACTCATATCTTTTGGGATAAGAGGGGAGAGGCTGGATAATATCATAGCTGGGCTGTACAGTTGGGTCTGAGACACCAATACTGAATCACTAGAACCTTTCCTCTCTTTGCCACTTTTAGAATCTTTTTGGGCCCCCATTCCAGTCCTATACCCCTCTTGCTTCCTTCTTTCAGCAGCAAAGGTGTAAAGGCCATCATTTATCACAGCTTTTAAATGTTCTAAGGACACATGAAGTTTCTAAAATGAAGGAGAAAACAGAGCTAATATCAAGACTTACTTAGCATCTTCAGAGACACATACTCTTAAGCAAGAAAATTTACCTCAACTGATAAGGACCCTTGGGCAGCCATCATTGCTTCAAGAGAAACACCAAATGACAATTCTCCAAGACAAGTTTGGGTCTGGGGTTTATTGCGGTCTGCTGTAGATGCATGCCTGAGTAGTTTGGCTGAAGCATTAGCAAGCACCACATTTACTAAGAGTGATCGGGCACTATGGACCACACTACCATCTAAGTGGACTTCAGCTGCTGTCGCATGAACTAACCACTCAGGCGACTGCTGATGCAACAGCATTGCATTCAAGTTCGTTATGTGAACTGCCATGAACTGTAAGTAAAAGATTTACTCAGGTATATTACTAGGCATCACAACAGTAGCAAAGAAATATGTAGGCAAAGTAAGGATTAATAAATATGTCAAACCTGGGCAAACGTAATTATGGAGGGTGGTATCTTCTTGTTCCGAAAATCAATATGAGACCAATCATCAGGTAAATGACGGGATGACTTGGCACCATCCGAGCTGTTTCCCACATCTTTGTTGATACGAACATCTCGTAACACAACAGCTAGTAATTTAGTCACTTCACTGCTGAAAAAATTGCTGCGGAAACCTACTTCTTCTATGTGCTGCAAGATACCGTCACAAATTTAGTATTGAAAGAAACAAATTAAAGGGACAATTTATTTCATACAGAGCTTTTAAAATGGCTGACTTACCACAGAAAATTCATTCTTCTTGATGTGGACATCTTGAAGTCGGAAGTAGAGAAAAGAGATTTTCCCTATGTGAACCTCTACATGAAAACGTTGCTTACAAAGCCAAGCAAGTAATTTTGGTAAGAGTCTGCGAAAGAAAGAGGAATTAATGGCAATGACAAACATACTTAAAAATTGAGTAAAACAACAGTACAATCGTCAGGGGAGGCAATCAAATTTAATGCTATAATCAATCATAAAAAGGCATCTCAACTACTTTTTTCACACATTCTGATTTTTTTGTTATTTTTTCACAGGAAATGACTGAAAGCAATGTAACAACAAAATCAAAACAAATGTCCAAAACAAACTTAACCAAGTAATTAGAGTCCTTGGATAAGAATATTAAGTCGAATCAGTTCCTAACAACACTTACGATGAAACAAAGTAGTATATGGTAATGCAGACCACACAAAACACCCCTAGCCCAGCCATTCATGCTGTTAAATAAAATAAATCCCGAAAATTTAAGGTTCAAGGTGTTGTCTCAAAAACCAACAACAAAAACAACAATAACATCAAATATTTGTCATACCCTTAGCCTCAGCTCCTGTCTCTCCATTCGGATATGAATATATTTTTCCGAGTAGAAGAAAGAAAGATTGCAGTTGACTGTTTCTGTTTTTTCTTTTGTTGATGTGTCTTTGTGGCGTCTGCTTCGCCGCTTCTGCTGCGACACTTGCCAAGGTTTTGTTTACTTTAGTTCATGTCTTCAAGCGTAAACAGCGTTCGAAGGAGTTCGAAGCGGCGTTCTTCAATGGCGTCCTCTCGATCCCTGTTGAGACCAGCAAGGGGATTCAACTTGGCGAAATTGGCAGTAACTTTCAAGCAGGAGTGTTGGTTGATACCCGGCTTGTCAATGTGGCTGCTCGCTACTTTTCTCGCTGTCAGCAGTATCTATCTGGGCTTGACATATGCTACTTTCGAATATATGTTTAAAGCCCAGCCAGGCCCCTATCTGGACGAAGTGTTTCACATCCCCCAGGCTCAGCGATATTGCAATGGAAGCTTCTCTGAGGTATCTTGTCCACCCCACTCGCTTATCCATCTGCGAATATAAAACCAGAAATTTCAATGTTGTTTTAAATTTTGTTTTCAGTGGGATCCAAAAATAACAACTCTCCCTGGCCTGTACTTTTTGTCAGTTGGAATGTTGAAGCCAGTGTCATGGTTTCTATCAAACCCTCAATTCTGTTCATCCGTATATGCCTTGCGTTGCATCAATATGCTATTGAGTACAGGATTGCTCTATGTAGTGTATAGTCTTTTACGACAAATACATGATTTTAAAGTGAGTACTGTTGCTAGTATATATAATCTACACTCTGAAGATACTACTTAATACAATACAATGAAATTCTTATTATTTTTTTCCCGTTCTCAGGATGAGTTGGAGGTTGCACAAGGCATTTTAACTGCTGTTAATATTTGTATATTTCCTGTGTTATATTTTTTTAACTTCTTATATTACACAGACGTCATGTCAACTTTTCTAGTTTTATTTGCATACTTATTATGCCTTCAAGAGCGCCATGTTTTGTCAGCAGTGACTGGTAAGATACGTTGAAATATTGTTGGAAGCCTGAGTAATATTTTGGGTTTCTGGTCAGATGGCATACTACTTCCACCTTTATTTTCCTAGGTTCCTTAGCCGTTTGTGTACGTCAAACCAATATTGTGTGGGTAATGTTTTTTGGGCTGCTTAGTTTAGCAGAAACTTTAAAACAAAATGCTTATATCAGCAAAAAGAAGTTCACACTTCCTGTTGTAAGAAGTTACAAGTATCTGGAGGTGAGTATTACCCGCCAAAACTTTTAATGGGTGAGTTGGATCTAGACTTCTTCCATGACTAAAACATTTTATAATCTGTTCCAGCTGCTGTGGTTTAGCAGTTGTCGAGTTGCATTGGCTAACAGCGCGGCATGCAAGACTCTTGCTGTTTCGATGTTACGCAATTTGACTGGTTACATATTTGTTGGTGCAGCATTTATTATATTTGTTGTGTGGAATGGTAGTATAGTTGTAGGTGACAAACAGGCCCATCAAGCATCGATTCACCTGACTCAACTTTTGTACTTTTCTGCCTTTTTTCTCTTTTTTATGTTTCCTGTAGCAGCGCCTTATGTTTTCACACTTCATGTGACACTTCGCCAGCGGGTGGTTCCTGTTCTCATTGGTATGGTTATCATTTTTACCATCGTCCATTTCAACACTGTTGCTCATCCTTACTTACTTGCTGACAATCGACATTACACCTTCTACATTTGGAGGCGTATAATTGACCGTGCTTGGTGGTCTCGTTATATGGTCACACCGTTTTACATGTTAGGGTGTCTTTTAATTGGAAGTATTCTGAAGCGCACAGATTTTGTGTTTCAAATAGGGTTTATATTTTGCCTCATAGCCAGCATAGTTCCTCAATCTTTACTTGAATTCCGATACTTTATTATTCCGTACGTGTTACTACGACTCTGTGTCACAAAGCTTGAGATCTGGCAACTTTTTTCAGAGATGGGCTTGTATGGACTTGTGAATGTGTCAACCATTATGATATACTCTCTCAAAACCATAAAGTGGCCCAATATGGAGGAACCACAACGGTTCCTTTGGTAAATCCAATATTTGAGACTGATTTTGTTTATTCTATAAAGTTATTATTTTAGTTATAGGAAAGCTCAATGAGAAAACTGTAAGATGTTTTAATTTTTTTTTAATTTTTTTATTTTATTGGAGGTACTGTATGTTTAAAAATTGTAATGTATCCTACACTGGCTAAAAATCTTACAAAATATCACAAATTTTATGCCAATGGCCACAATACAAAAAGGCAAAGATAAAATTGACAGTCTTTTACCCTCATTACTCTTACAGTGAGTAAATGTGTCTCCTACAGTCTAAATCGCAAGAGAAGAATCACAGGTATAGAAGTTGAGATCCCTGACAGCCATCATCTTTTAGGGCGACTTTGTGCTTCATAAAATACCAAGCACTTCAATTTGCTGACAGCTTCCTCTGCTGCCTGAAACAGTTGATATGTAGTTTAGTGGACAACAAAATATAACAACAGAATTTCCCAAAACAAATTTCACATATTGAAATTAATCTTATAATTAAGAAATGATAATGCCGACCTTGCTTACAAGATCACTTGAGTCATTAAGTAGGCTCTCTAGGGCAGAGCGGAGGCCTGGTGACCAGGCGTTCTGTAAAGCACGACATGAGCACTTTCCAAGTTGTCTTAAAAGATGGCAGCATCTCGAACGCAGCAGTGGGCAAGTCTTGTTTTTTAAGATGCTACTAAGGCCTTTTCCTTTCTCTCCTAAAAAAAACAAAACATGATTAACACATGCTGCTCTTCATACATTTTCCTCGCAACATCATTGATCATTCTTACCTTCAACAGAACCAAGAGCAATTTGTTCAACAATTAGAGCACTTTCAGGTAATACTCTTAAAATATGGGCTAGAATTGCCAGTAGATCAGCTACAATACGTGCTTTTCTGCGCCCTAAAAGCAACAGCTGTCGTAGAAGAGCTACACAATTAAATATGGCTACAGCATCACAGAACTGGGTTAAGAAATCAATAGATAGATGTGTTAAGTGGCACAGCAACAGATAGATGCATTCAATTGCCTGATTGAGTAGAAATAGGAATCGATTAGTTTCACTTCTCACAGGAATAATAATAATGATAAAAATACATTATTAAAAAATACTTACTTGAAGTTCATCAGCACCTAGATCAGAGTCAGTTTCTTCTACATCAGGCTTGTTGTCTGTCATTTTGTGTTGAGTCAGTAAATTGGATGCATAAACAAGATTTGGAACAACCTTAACAACAAGATAAACCTGAAAATGACAAAACAAAACCATTTGAATAAGGCGAGCACCTAATAATGAGAATAGTAGTACTTCCGACACTTACTTCCTTTATCCGTGTAAGTGCGTCATCATTTACACCATTCACAACAAAGGGCAAGGAGAGCAAGCATGCCACATACTCAACAACTTTGCTAGATGCATGAGGGTTACGCAGGTGCGACACTAACATAGCAATAAAATTTTCCTGCTTCATCATATCTACCTCTCCATCCATGACTTCTTCCATAGTTTTTTGAAGAAAAACCAACCACTCCTCACACTCAATAGGTTGGGGGTTGTCGTCTGATATCCAACTAAGAAAAGTCTGTCCATCAAACTTGTCAGTCTTGGTAGTTGATAGATTGGAGTGCTCAACCTGACTGGTGGGTACAGGTGACAAGTGTTCAATAGTGTTTTTATCTTTATCTCCAACATTATCTGAATCTAATGTAGGAACGATTTCACTGTTTCTATCTGACTTGTGATCAAAAGTTTGAACACCAGCCTCAGCCTTCAACAAAGTAACACCAGGGAAAGCAAGTTTTTTTTCTGGAGTATTTTGCATAGGAATAACAGCATCATTCTGTGTCTTGTGCCCAACTGCATACATCATAGGACAAGTTCCATTGTTTCCTAAGGTTTGATTTTCAGCACATTCAGGACTAGCCATGCAGACCCTTGTTTTTGGATGTGATTGCAGTTCCTGTAGAACTTTATGCTTATTTTCTTGTTGCTCTAAATATTTTGCAGACTCAGCATAACTCCTAATAAAAGAACAAAGAGTGGCCATGAAATTCAACAAAGCAAGCTAGTACACATTGAGAGGGATCTAACATTGAGAGGAAGAACAAACCTCGGCTTTCCTGCTAGATGGCAAATCAAGTCTTTTTTTTGTTTTTCTTTTGCCAATGCCTGGGAAGCTGTCAGAGGGTGAGTAAGAGGCACAACCACTGCAATATTAAGGATTACATGATATAGGACATATCTTAAAACCCTCCACTAATACTTTTTTAAAACATTAGAACAAATACCTGCAGCATTGGAAGGAACATTTCCCAAATTAATTTTGGAAAAATCCACAAAGGGATGGTGAAGAAGATCTGGCCAAGACAAGCGCTTAGAAGGGTCCTTCTCCAGCAATCCCCGTAAAAATGACAGGCAATCAGGGGACACAGACATAGGCCACTTAATTTCTCCTTGTATCAAGTTTACTAAGCGCAAAAGGGCATTAGTGTAAAAGGGGGGAGATCCAACAAGACATTCGTACACTATGCAACCAAGGGACCTGTTAAAAAAATTCAAAAGGAGGCTTATTACTGCTGTGGATTAATCTTTGATTTTTTTTTTTAACTTTTTACATTTTTTTCTAGTCTGCACTCACCAAAGATCTGCACTATGATCATATGGGCATCCGTCAATGATTTCTGGAGCCATGTACAATGGTGTACCCTTGATAGACACTAAAACATATGTGTCAATACTCATGCTCCTTGCAAAACCAAAATCACACAGTTTTGCAGTGCCATTAGCTTCAACAAGAATATTTTGAGGCTTCAAATCTCTAAAGGATGGGCACAAAGGGACTTAATTTGAATCCAAAAGAAAAATTTAATAAAAGCAATCAAAAATAAAATTGAGCCGCATACCTATGCAAGACACGGTGATAATGCAAATAGTACAAGGCTGAAAGCAAATCACAGACAACGGACTTCACACTTTCTTCAGAGAGTTGTCCTTTTTCTTTTAATTTCAGCGAGAGGTCTTGAGGAGCAAATTCAGTAACAACAATAATCTACGGATGACAAATAAGAGAAATAACCGTCAGAAAACTGCATCAATATCCTCTTAAAATAAGATAGAAAACATTTAAAAAATTCATACGTCATGATCCGTTTCAAATGAATCTAGCATGCGGATGATATTGGGATGACATAATGTGCGCTGGATTTCAAACTCCTGTCGTAAATTCTGGATGTCCTTTTGATTTTTTTTGTGCTGAAAGTAAGAGGGTTGAGATTATTTATCTAATATATTTTACAAACCTCCTTTAAAAAGTGCACTTGAAAATTATTTTTCTAAGTAATATTTGTCAACATACCTTGGTAATAACTTTCAGAGCTACAACTTGGTCAGAGTTTTTGGAGCAAGCTTGGTACACAGTTCCATAGGAACCCTGTCCAATGGTCCTAATAACCGTATATTTATCCATAATTGAAGTTCATTGAAATTTAGAGCTGACAGTGTGATAAGGTCCCGATGAAGGTTTTCCCAAGATGATACATGCTACGTGACAGTAGTGTCTAAAGCATAGCTAGTTCATGTGAAGAGGTTTTGATTTGTTTCCAAAGTTACTTGAGAGGTTATGTTTACTAAATGCGTGGTGAGGTTGGCAACACAGTAAGCTACCAGGCTGGCAAAAAGTGCCTTCGAAATTCGAGGATTGAGGGTTGGTGAGTGACGGCCCGTCGCTGCATATCGTGAAGATCCAGTACAGCTTTTGAGCGGAGAGTCCTTGAGGACGTCCCAACAGCGATAGTTTTTCTCAATTATGTGAGAGGGGTGCTCAGAGTGCTCTTTTCACTGTTTATTGGGTTAAATAACGCGTGTGGTTCAGATCAAAGTGGGCAAGGTAAGAGTCAAGGAATTTCCGATTCAGTCCGTAGGAAACTACTCTTCTTGATAAAATGTATCATGTTTCCTCCCACAGCATCTCATGTCCTTTTATTTTCTGAATAGCGTGACACGGCTCGTCGAGGTACAACTTTTGGTTGATGCAAGACCTTATGTTCTTGTTTTAGTCACGTTTGCATCCTTGTCCAAGTCTCACGCTTCTGCGATGTGATTGGTCCATTCGGGGTGGTGGGGGCTTGGTGGGCTGAGCTTAATTTTGCGCATGCGCAGTGAGGTATCGCAAGCGACAGCGTTTTTGAGTGCATTGTGTCGTTGTTTTGAAGGTTTTAAGAGAGTAATTTCTTGTTTTTGTGCTGTTACACTGTCATGAAGACTGAAGAAACTTGAAGGGCAATTTTCCGAGGATTCAAAAAAGTAAGACACATGTCTGAGTTCTAGTACGGTTGTCGCGGACATCGAAGAAAGGTGCGGCTACATCTGGGTTATTTTCAGGCGATTCTCGCGCTAATCTTTGCCGTGTCGCAGCGTTACACACTTGTTCGACACTCTATTTTTGACGAAGGCCAGCCACCCCTGTGGCTACATTTCGTGTCATTTGATTCCTCAGGTCGTGCAAATTCTTTCTAGCCTTTAGTTGATTCTCTAGAAATTAGAGTCCGTTTTTCTACATTAGAACGGTTTAAATTTCGGCGGACGGGTCTCGTCTAGTCGCATGGACCCCCTTTCGTTTGCGAACAGAGGCGCTTCTCAGGCGGCATGATTTTTCAAGGAAACTGGTTTCGTGTTGATCCAGGGAAGTTGCTTCTTTTGCAGGGCGCAACGTACGTGGTGTCGCTATCGCCGACGGATCAACAGTCGCCTTTTCCTCAACAGCTGATGCGATTGACTGGCAGCACTGACGGCGTTAAGAAAAATTAAGGTCCGTCTCTCTTCACTCGTCCTTCTCTTTGCCTCTCCCGGCGCCCCGCGACTGCGGGGAACGCTAGCGAGTCCTTCACGCTGTTCTCCGACTGCATGGTACGCCCCTGGAGCTTTCTTTTCGTCACCCTGGCGGGGAGGCTCTCCGTGGTGTCGTTTTTCGTTTTTCCCGCACGAACGTCGTCGCCGACCAACGACTCGGACCGCAAGGTTGGCAACACGAGCGCTACTTTGAAAAGAGCCTAGCCGCGGACTGCACGCCGCTAAGCTGCCTACACTATTTTCGTCCCGATTGGGGGTCGTAAGCTTAGCGATTGTGTGTCAGTGTTGGACAGGGGCCGGTCCTGGACTCGTGGAGTGTCTGAACGAGCATTGCAGGTCGTGTCTCGCGTCTCCTTGCGCAGCACGCGGAGTGGCGAGTGGCCTGCGAGTGGCGCCCGATCGGCGTGACGTCACGCACTGCCTTCGTCTTCTTGAAGGCTAGGTTCCACACCCAGGGTAAATTTTGCATCTCCGGTGTGGTGCGTGCCCTCGGCTCGGCGTTCGAAACGTTCGAAATTGAAGAAATGCAGGTGGAACAGACAGGTGACAGGCTGAAGCAAAACTAGAGCCGACGGGGGGTGCGGTCTGATGGCTGGTTCTTGTAAGCTGTCCTCTGCTGCTCGCGTAGGGTAGCGTAGGGGGATCCAGTGTGTTGGTGCATGAGCTGGTACTCAGTCGGTCGTGTGCCTGACAAGGGGGCACCGTGTTTGAACTGATCGACTTGCGGAGATAATAGCAAAAGACAATGGCCAGTTCACTCTGATTTCTGGAGCACAACCAACTGTTTGGCAGTCTCTTCTATTTCTCTGATGAGGACCTTGACATTTAGTTTCTAAGTCCATATTCTTGTTCTGTAACAATAAAGGGGTGAAAGGTTGCTGCAGTTCACATTTTTATTTGGAAAAATGTCTTTGTTGCTTTATTTATGCATTTTAAAATTTCATTCCAGTGCACCATTCTTTGAACATTTTTGTTTTTCTATTACAATTTTTAAAAAAAATTTCTATTGTTTAAATTTCAGGATGAATGCCTCACCACACCATCTGTCCCAAAACGAGGCAAATTCTGTACCCAGAGAAATAATCGGGACATTTCAGTCTCCAAATGGTCAAATAGTGAGGCCAGTCTTGTCAAGAGGGCCTGTTGCAGTATCCTCTCCTGTTACTAGTTCAACTGCAGCAAATGGGAGGGTTCTCCCAGTGGTCTATTTAAAAATGCAGCAAAGAGAGGTACTTTTTCTGATCCATTGTTTTTTAGGAGCAGTTTTTGGTGTAAGTTACTAATCATTCCATCTCTAATCTTATTTTTCAGCAAGTTGTACCAGTTGTCAGTAGATCTGGCAATTTAATATCAACAATTGGTCCCAAAATTTCTACTGCTCCAAGTGGAAACATAACAACATCATTATCAGGAAATCAATCAAGTTTTGTGATTCAAGGACCAATTCGAGCTGTTTCTCAACCATCAGGAAATCAGCCTACTCAACCACACATAATTACACTCCCCAAAGTGCCTAACACGTCATTGGCACTGTCCAATCAGCAATTGATTGCTCTTCAAAGTCTTGGTCCAGCTAACCAAGGTGGCCCTGTCCAACAGCAGCAATATGTTACGATTCAAGCACCAATTGTGTCAAAAACCCAGCAGAACACTGGTGCACTGAATACGTCTCAGGGTCAACCTCAGTACGTGACGATACGTACTCCTGTGCTCAACCCTTCTGCAGGCGCAACAAGCTCTGCTGCCCAAAGCCAGTATGTGACTATTCAAGCTCCCGTTATGCAAGGGAGTGGTCAAAACACGCAAACTCAGACATTTATACCAGTATCCTCAGTTGGACAGTCTCCTGTTGGGTCTGTGAAGTCCCCTATAACCTACCAAGTTGTTAAATCAAGTGGTAAAACAGGAGAACAGCTTGTTTATCCAGGTATGAAATGCTGATGTCTTTCTTTTATTTCTGCTTAAATGTCAAAAGACATTTTAAAAAAAAAATTATGTGTTAATGTTTTGTGTTTCTTCCCCTTTTTCTTTTTTTCAGTTTCTGTTGCAAACATCATGCCATCTCAACCGAAGATGGTTTTCACTCCTGTGACAATGATGCCAAAGGTTTCTGTCGTATCTGCTGGCAGTACCTCAAGCTCTGAAATTATAAGCAACTCAAGCAACATTAGTGGTTTGAAGTTGAGCACTAGTAGTGGGCAGTTCTCAACAAAGCTGTTAAACACCTCTGCTGTGAACCTTTTGCAAGGAAAATCACTGCAAACTCTTTCTCTCCGAAAGGAAGGAATAATTTTGAATAATGCTGAGGTTTCGCCAAGTCAGTCAAAAGTTCTTTCCTTGCCTATGGGGATGTCTGTATCAAATACATCTTCTACAGTTTCCCCAACTCAAGGTTTTATTAACTTGACCATAGCCAATGGCCACATACAACAGAGTAACAAGCCCTTTACAGGTAAAATTTTAAACTATATGGCATTATTTTTTCATTATATGGATCTAATGATATTCTCTCTCCATCAGCTGCTAAAGTTTTGCAAGAAAGCCCAAGAACATTTGGGGACAAAAAGCAAACTGAATTGAATTCAGAAAATTCTTGGAATGCTGACACCTCAGAATCCTCATTGGTCATAAAAAATCAAGGAGGAAAAGACAGTGTCTCTCAGAAAAATCCTATCTCTGAAAATGAAGTTATTGACATCAAAAGCATCCTTCTGTCTGGAGGTTCTTTTAAAACCAACGAGGCTGGTGCTCTCCAACCCAATACTGCAGAGGCCACTAATGTGGCCAGCACTGAAACTGAAGGAACCGGGCCTTCAGATAATAAACAAGATGGAGGTGAAGAGGCTCAAACACCATCATCCCCCATCAATCTTTTCTGTGAGGGAGAAGAGGTGAGTTTTGTTCTTCCTTGTTTAAGATTTGTTTTGTGCAATGTCCAGCTGTGTATTAACTCCAAATCTCAAATTCCAGCTTGCTCACTCTCCACCTAATGAACCACCTCAGCCTAAGTATACTATAACAATGTCTGACAATCCAGATGATGACATTAAAATTCAGTTGGTGGACACTGAAGGGCCTAATAAAAGTAAAGAGCCAACTACTCCTCAACCAGATGACAGACCATCTGTCAATCCTCTCACTGGAAAACCATTCCTTAAGAAGAGTTCTCCTAAACTTCTCTCAAAAGCAAGTTCAACTTTAAAAGGGCAGTCACTCTTGCGGAATCCAGCTGCTACTCAAAGCACAGTGTCACCAAAGGCATCGAAACCAACCAACAAGGTTGGAGTGAAATCAATTTTAAAACCACAGTCAGGCAAGAAAACAGAGATAAAGCAAGAACCCTCAGAAGGTGATGACAATTCTCAAACTGATGTGAAGGACTGTCCTGATGGTTCAAACTCCCCCTTAACATCCTCTTCATATGAGGACTTTGATGCTATGGCTGCCTTGGAATGGAAAAATGGAGTTGGTCTTCTGCCTGGCAGTTCCTTAAAGGTAAAATATTTCATCAAGCTACTTACTTTTTTCACCTTTTGAAGTAGAGGTTCTTAGACCTTAATATATTTTTCTTTGTTTCAGTTTCGGATGAATGAGTTTGGAATTATGGAAATGGTTAGTGATGATGATGCAGTGAAGAAAGGAACTGATAAAGACACAAATTCTGACAGTGAGGGTTTAATGATTGATGAAGGAAGCAACAGTAGTGTTGAAGCGAAGCCATGTGTAGAAAACACTGAGAAGAAAAAAGGTTTTTATAAGATTTTCATCACCTAGCTTATTTTTTTCTGTGTTATATTTCTTACCCACTGATCTCCTGTGCAGAGTCCAAATCTGATGATGTTTATTGCTGCGAGACATGCAACGTCTATGGTTTGGCATCGGAATTCCTCAATGAGCGGTTTTGTACACAAGCATGTTCTGCTGCTTTTACTGTGAAAAAAGCCTGGCAATATAGACGAGAACAAGACTTGCGGGCCTTGCGGCTTAGGAGAAAGAAACGGCGTCTAGAGCAGCAAAGATTGGCCCGTGAAAAGGCAGAACAAGAAAGTCAAGAAAATGAGGATGTAAAGTCGGCTCCTCAACTTGTGTCTAAAGTAGGTGAAATCATGTCAAATCTCTGCACTCTGCCTTTATTCAAACTTCTATCAAAGTTTATGTGAAAAATTAATTCTTGACCATTTCTTTGAAGCTTGCCAAAAAATTCAAATCTGTGACTGCTGAAAGTATGTCTGATGGTGAAGACAGTGTGGATGATCCATCATACCTGGAATCTCCAATGCCATTGTCTTCCTCACCAAGTTTCAATGCCTCTGATAAAATTGGCAGCTCTGATGTTGCTCATGATGAAAATGGAAAGGTGGGGAACCTCACTGGCTTTAATATATTGATTGGTCGATCTGTTTCACCATTTGTTATTGATTTATTGTATTACTTTGTTTTTACAGAAACTTTCCAAGAATAAACAGGCAGCCAATTTTACTTGGTTTAAATATCTCGATATGGTTAAAGCCAAGGCAGCCCCTTCAAAACTTTTCAAAGACCCCTTTCCTTTTGGTAAAAATGGTTTCAAAGTTGGAATGAAGCTGGAGGGTATAGATCCTGATCATCCATCATTGTTCTGTGTTCTTACTGTTGCTGAAGTGAAAGGTATGAGATTACCATCTCATTCATCTCTCTTAGTTGAATATTTCTTTGTCAGAATGTTATTTGAAAGTCTTGATTCTTTCAATTTTTATCAGGTCATCGTCTCCGGTTACATTTTGATGGATATGCTGAAAATTATGACTTTTGGGTGAATTCCGATTCACCTGAGATATTCCAACCCGGTTGGTGTGAAAAGAACATGCGCAAACTCACACCTCCCAGAGGTTACAATAATTTCAATTGGAATTCGTACCTCAAAGTCTGCAAAGCAACTGCTGCACCTAGACTATTGTTCCACAACAAAGGCTCTGCTAATGTAAGTTGCTTGCAGTTTCATTATTTCTATTTTGTATTTCTGATTCTATTAATTATAATTTTATTTTTTAACCTTGTTTTTTGTGTTGAAAAATTAGGTTGTTTGCCCCAATGGGTTTAGAATAGGAATGAAATTAGAAGCAGTTGATCGGAAGAACTCATCATTGGTGTGTGTTGCATCAATTGCCGATCTTGTTGATGGTCGCTGCCTCATTCACTTTGATTCGTGGGATGAAATGTATGATTATTGGGCTGATCCATCTTCACCCTACATTCATCCTATTGGTTGGTGTGATGAGCATGGAGTTACTTTAACTCCTCCAAATCGTAAGTACTAAACTTTGTTTATTGAACGTTGTTTCCTTGGATCTACATTCTTTTGCAACGTTTACTAATCTCATTGTACCTTTGACAGAGTACAAAGATCCAAGCTCCTTTTATTGGGACAGGTATCTTAAGGAAACCAAAACATCCCCTGCACCACCGAGGGCCTTCAAACAACGACAGCCCAGTGGTTTTCGCCGTGGAATGCGTCTTGAAGCTGTTGACAAACGTGTCCCTCACCTTATTCGAGTTGCCACTGTTGATGATGTTCAAGACCACCAAATTCGAATCCGATTTGATGGCTGGCCAGATGAATATAGTTACTGGGTCGATGATGATAGCCCTGATATTCATCCTGCTGGATGGTGTCTTGAAACCAAACATCCTCTTGAACCGCCTCCAAGTATGTCCTTTTTAAAAAATTGACTCAGTTATTACAAAGCACTTTATGCCCTTAGTTCTTTTCAAATATTTGTTCTTGTTTTTAGGTGAAGAAGACATGAAAGTTCTTGCCAGATGTGGTGTTCCTGGATGCAAGGGAGAGGGGCACGTTAAGGGTTCTAAGTATACTAGCCATATAACAGCTCAGAACTGTCCATACTCTCAAGAGAATCTGTTGAAAGATGGACACTTACCTGATAGGTTGACAAGCGGCAATGATAGTGTGTCTTTGGAAGAATCACCTACATCGTAAGTGTCAAAGAAAGTAACTAGTTGGAACTGTTTGTATCTCAGATTTTTGTCTATTGATTGATCTTATGATGCAGGTCACATTCAGACAAGATTGATCAGAAACCCCCGCCAAAGTGGAAGCGGCTTTTGCAAGATGCTGATGAGCTTGACATTAAAAGGTAAGTTCCTTTTTGAGGTGCATCTCTTGGTCATTGACATGTTGACTATGTGCCATCTTGTAGTTTTATGCTATTGGTGGAGACTGTACAACCTATTGTTTTCCTTCTGTTAGACTGATTCTTATAAATAATTTTGTTAAATTTTAGGGCAAGATTGTCAGATGATGATGATGACGTTTTTCGGAAGAAACCATCCCTTATTGCAAGCATGCAACAAAAATTGCAATCTGAACTGGAACGTTCAGTTATTGACCCTGGTTATCAAATAGAAACTGGCCCAGGGCGGCCAGCTCTTTGGGCCAAACATTCTTATCCATTGCATTCATCGCCAATGGTGAGGGACGCAGTAAACCCTCAGGCATGGACTATTGAGGATGTCCTAGAATTTTTGTCATCAGTACCTTGCCTTGAAGAATATGGCAAAACTTTTAAAGAGCAGGTTAGTAAAACATATATGTTGCTTGAATAATTCATTTTCAGCATCAATAATCTAATGCTGTGAGTTATGTTCTTCTATTAAAACGTTTCTTCTTTTTCTTTAGGATATTGATGGTGAAGCGTTACTAATGCTTACCCAAAATGAACTTGTAAGCAATATGAAATTAAAGTTAGGCCATGCAATAAGATTGTACAATTGCATAGTTATCTTAAGGCAGAAGTGTTTCTGAAATATTCACCTTTATGTTTTGTTAAATTGATGCCAGTTTTTGGTGCCAAATAGTTATTGTTACCATGTGACCAGTATTTGTACATTTGTTGTAAATTTTTCCTGTAAAATCATTGTAAATAATGTTATTCTGTAGTCTCCTACCTGACAATTTTCTTTATAATTTTTCTTCACACATAGTGCTAAGAACATGATTTAATGTATAATTTGGATTACTATTTATAAACATATATATATTTATGTTCCTTAGAAGGAATTTTTGAAATAGTCATAAGCTCTTTATGATATGATTGATAAGGATGATATAAATTTCTGCTCAAATGATCTAGAACTGTTGATACATTTAAGTACTGAACCTGGAATAAAAAATCATTAAGTTGCTTGTAATAACTACTCCTGAAGTCTCATTTTTCTTTCAACCCGTGAGTTCTTTGAGTCTGAATATTCTTTCACTGAAATGAACACGAAACACGACACGCAATCATCTTGAAATTTCGCGGGAGGAAGTGACACCCAGCTACACTAGCGCCCTCTGCAAACCGCGCCAAGAAACCGCCAAGGAAGCGACGTGCTATACTCGTCCCAGCGTAACCTTTCCAAATCACTCCGCCAGTAGCCAGAGAACAGAAAATAGTCCCGCAGGTAATAGGATTTTTAAAAACCAATAATCAATTCTAGACCGTTGCGATCGTAATAAATCGTATAAGTAAACAACGTTGAAAAAATACGAACAATCTCAGACGTAATCACTAAGCATTCCGGGTTCTGCATTTCCGCGGGCAGACGACGCGCCGGTCCGAGCCCCTCAAAACACCGGTCTCTCGGACCCTCTTTTTGCACTAAGATTGAGTGACTGAAAGAGATATCATAATGACAGCTTGCATTTCTCTAAACCTAAGACGTTGTTGTATGCCCAGCTGGCCCTTGTCTTTCGAAATTGTGCCTTATTATTCAGAAATTTTGATTTGAGTGCACAAGGCTGGCTTCTCCTCTAGACCGAGCTCCCAACTTTTTAGATTATCTTTGAGCAAGTGAAAGAGATTCAATAATAACTGCTTATATCAGTGAAAGCCCCACACATTTTTGTCTGCCGGAATCGCCTTTATTTTGCGAAACTTTGCCTTCTTGTTTAGATATCCCGGATTGTGTGCGCGAGGGCGGCTTCTCCTCCCGACCGAGCTCCCGACTTTTTAGATTATCTTTGAGCAACTCAAAGAGATTCAATATTAACTGCTTATATCAGTGAAAGCCCCACACATTTTTGTCTGCCGGAATCGCCTTTATTTTTAGAATCAATACTTATTTCCTGAGGATTGTGAAATAAAATGCGCCGATTTGGGGAAAAGACGGACGAGGGGCTACTTTCGGAAAGGTTACGCTGGGACGAGTATAGCAGCGTCGGCCGCTCCCCCGCCCCTCCTCCCCCCCGTCGTGCTCCTTCCTCTAGACCGGAAGGGGCTTCGGTTTTGGTCGGAGTGGGGGAACCTCCGAGACCCGGAAACAGCGAGGATGCGGGGTGAGGAGGGGCTTAGAGGCCTCCAGTGGGGGAGAAACGCGGACTCTGTCGCCTTCATCTGACCGAGAGGTCCTCTCATACTCGTGACTTCCGGCCCCGCGGGGAGGCGGGGGGAGAAGGGGGAGCAGCAGACGCTGTCCTCCCTAACCTCACTTTCCGTCGGTTTTGTCGCACTGTAGCATGCTAAACCTAATTTCGCATGCTTATGAGTGTTTTAGAGCTTTGATAAGTCGGCCGAATCATATCGTACAAAAGTGGTGCATAATCAATTCTGATTTCAAATAATATGATAGCCTTAAGTCGCGGGGTCGGGGGGGCCCTGTGGAAGAGGGGGAGGAAGGGTGGGGGCCTTGGCCCGGGGCCGGAAACGACTAGTATGAGGGATTACACGTAGCATTTCTGGTCCCCGCGTTTCTCCCACTCTGGAGGCCTCTAGAGGGGCTGGGTTGGGGGGGGGGGCCCGCATGCCGCCTTAGCGCGTTTCCCCCACCCCATTTTCCGGGCCGGGTGGCTCAAACGGCCAGCCGTGCGTCCCGAAAGGCTCATCCAGGGGGCCCGGTCTAGCAGGAGGACGCGAGGGGGGGGAGGGGGGCGGGGGAGCGGCCGACGCTGCTAGCACGTCGCTTCCCCAAAGGGGGGGTTCGAGAACTCCACCCGGGGGGAAGGTGGAAAGTGGGGGTAGAGGGGACGCGGAGGAAGGCAGGGGGAAACCCCGATTTTTCCGAACGGCTGTGGGGGGAAACCCCTGATGTCGTCTGCTATGTTAAGGTTAGGTAGACTTACTGTTGCTGCCGTTTGACAAAAGATGAATTTTTTAAAACCTTCAATCATAGGTTGCCCCCACTATTTAATCGAAATTTGAGAGGAAAAGTTTCAAAACCCAAATTGAATATCAAACACAAAATTTTAAAATTTCTCTTCTCGGCACTTGTACAGCCGGAAAATCTGATAAAAGGGGGTTCTAAAGTTCTTGCCCGTTATCGTACAGCTTTTATAACTGTGATGAGATAAATTTAAAACCAAACGATGGTTATGCAAAATGGCCTACTTTCAAAAACTCGCGCCAACCACTCGCGTCCCCCGGGGCACCCACCCCGTCGAGCAAGGTGATCGGGGGGCCCCGGAGGACCACCCGAGGACGTTTTTCGGACGCCCCACCCGAACCTCCCCCAGGGCCCCCCAAGAGTTTTTGGAAGGGGTGGGGGGGGGCCAGAGGGGCCCCCGGGGGGGTTTTTCGAACCACCCAAGGCGAAGCGAAGGCGGGAAACTGCAGCAGATGTTCGAGGAGCTCGTCTTCAACATCAACACTGATTATTGAGAATTTAATTCGAATCAAAAATCATGTCCCAAAAATCGATTACGTGAGTACATAAGTTGCTTGTTTTTCCACTTTTCAATCACTCGTTTCAGTCAGTATTTGAAACTGTTGAGTAGCGCTTTTTGTGCCTCCAACAGATCAAAAAATAACCTAAAATAGAAACGAAATATTCTGCGTCGAAGAGTGAAAGTTTGCATTTACTTTTGTTTGATTACTTAAGATTGGAGTTGGATCGGCAGTTTGAGTTTGTGCTTCTTTTTCTTTCGTTGTAGGTCATTCTTCACGCGACAGCCACTGCAGAAAAAGGAAAATATTATCCAACCTGACAATGAGAAGTGGTAGGTCTTTTGACTCTTTATCTCCATATTCATCTTAGTTTCTTGGTGTGTGGACTATGTTACTTGTCACAAGAAACACATCACATCTTAGATTTTTGACGAAAAATTTGAGAATTCATCCGAAAGTGTCCATTTATAATGCCACTCAAAAGCCAGTGTGCCATTTTCCCTGGCTACAAAACCGTATGGCTGTTGCCAATACTTTGGAATCTACAGACCTTGCCTCACAAGTTAAAATTTTGTCCATGACCTTCAGCAGCAAAGCTGGTAGCGGTGCATCAGGAAAGAGCTTATCTGACACCGAGGAGTCCCCTGTGAAAGGGAATAAACGCAGGAGGAAGCGAGCAATAAGTGACAGTGATGACGACTCAAGGTAAATTATCTCCATCTGATAAAGTTTTTCATAGTGTTGTGTTCCTAGTTGATTTTAATGGATTTGATAATTTTACTTCTTTTTTCTAGCAGTACTAGTGAGACAGCAAAGGCAGCATCAGAGTCAGTAAAAGATGAAGTGAAAGATACTGATACCACTTCAAAGTCTCCCAGCTCTTCAACTAGTAAATCTGGTTCACCTAGCAGGAAAGTTATGAAAAAAATAACAGGTATGCATTTTCAACCCTTTTTTTATTTTTTCAAGTATATTGAATTGCAGTCAAAACAAATGGTTTTAAATATTTTTTCCAGCTCCTGTTACAAAGGACCCCAATATAGATCGGACAAAACTTCATCCTGCTATAGCCAAGATACTGAAAAGCGCGAATGATTCTGATGCTACTGATAATGATAAGCCATCGAGTTCTGATATAGCCATGGAATGTGAAGAAAACACTAGTGACTTTACTTTGAAAATGGAAGTGTCTGACTCGGAAGATCCACCTGCTGATAAACCGCAAGCTGCAAAGAAATCAGAAGAGGCACCTGCTATCAAGTTGGAAGCCGAAAAAAATCCTGTAGATGCCTCCTCTCCTGATGCTAAAGTACCGTACTCACCCAAAACTACAGTGAAACCAGAAACACTGAGTAGTCCTGTAAAAGCGAAAACTCCTACTAATAAGGAGAAAATCGAAACTCCTAAAAGATCAGGAAAAGCTAAAACTCCTAAAGGCTCTGAAAAGGAGAAAACGCCGAAGGGTACCAGGAGAGCGAAAACTCCCAAGAGTGGGGATAAAAAGAAAACGCCCAAAAGTTCCAAAGATATTGAGAAGAAAACGTCTGAAGTTTCCAAGGAAGCCACAAGTGATATTTTGAATGAGAAGTCCTCTCCTAAGACATCTAAAGCAACAGTGCACAGTTTCTTTTGTATGTAATTAGGATTTTCTGCTTTGTTTCTTTTATTGTCTCGTCCCTCATTACCTTTTTTTTTTTTAAATCCAGCCAAAAGTAACAAAAACGAAAGCACCAGTAAGGCATCTACTAAACCTGCTGAGTCAGAAAAGAAAGCTGAAGACAAGAAACCTAATTCTTCTGTACTCTCAAGTAAAAGTTCTGGTCCTGAATCTGAGTACAATCCTGCCATTGGCACATCTTACCATCCAGTTGATGATGCTTGCTGGAAACATGGTGAAAAGTAGGCTTATATTTCAGTACCTTACTTTCTTTAGGACAATTTTCTTTATATTCATGTAATCTTACTGTTTTCTTTCATTTCAAAAATAACAGGATTCCTTACATGGCTTTAGCCAAAACTATGGAGGCAATTGAAAGTGTCAGCGCACGACTTAAAATAATTGAAATTTTGGCCAACTTCTTTCGGTCTGTGATTGTTTTGTCACCTGAAGAGCTCTTGCCATCTGTTTACCTCTGTCTGAACAAACTTGCACCTGCCTATGAAGGTAATTCTGTTGATAATTTTGTTGTTGTTAAATAATTTTTGAGCATCTAGATGAAATAATTTTCTCTTGTTTGCATTTGCAGGTATTGAATTGGGAATAGCTGATCAATTTTTAATGAAAGCTATTGCACAAACAACTGGAAGGACACTTAATCAGATCAAGCTAGATGCTCAGGAAACTGGTGATCTTGGAATTGTTGCTGAGCGGAGCAAGAGTAATCAACGAATGATGTTCCAGCCTGCCAAATTAACTGTCAAGGGAGTATTTGATAAATTGAAGGATATGGCAACTATGTCTGGAAAGGAGGTACTTAAATTATGAACAGTTTGTTGAGAAACATTATTTATATTGTTAAATTCAATAACTTAAATTTGTCTTTCAGTCTCAAAGCAAGAAAGTTGATAAGGTGCAAGCCATGTTTGTAGCCTGTCGCCAAGTTGAAGCTCGCTTCTTAATCCGATCTCTTGCTGGAAAACTCCGTATTGGGCTTGCTGAGCAGTCTGTGCTACAGGTAATAATACCCTACCTAAGGGAACTCTAAAATTGTTTTTAATGCTTTCTTTACTTACCTGTGTTGTCTCTTTAATCTTTCTCATAGGCCTTAGCGCAAGCCTGCACCATGACACCCCCCGGCCAAAGCTTTCCTCCAGAAACCATTAATGCATGCAAGGGCATGAGCACAGAAAGTTTTAAGGCAGCAGTGAATGATCAAGCCCTAATTTTGAAGACAACATATTGGTACATTACTTCTGTTTTTGCTTTCTGTGTGAAAGAAAATCATTTATCATGTGTGACTAACTGGCAGTTTGTCTTACCTTTTAGTGAGTGTCCAAACTACGATAAAATTATTCCTGTACTGCTGGAAGGTGGCATTGCCAGCCTACCTGAACACTGCCACTTAACCCCTGGCATACCCCTCCAACCTATGCTGGCTCACCCCACCAAGGGTGTGCAGGAAGTTTTAACCAGATTTGATGGTCTCAAATTTACATGCGAGTGGAAATATGATGGTGAAAGGGCTCAGGTATGTTGCTTTCAATGTGCCTATAACACTGCTTTCTGACTTGTTGTCGTGTTTCTTTATTAACTTATTATAATTATTATACTTTCCAGATTCACATGGATGAAAATGGAAAAGTTTCAATTTACAGCCGTAATCAAGAGAATAATACTTCTAAATATCCAGATATTATATCAAGATTAGGTACTAAAAAATGTCTAGGTGACAATGTTAAATCCTTTGTGATGGATTCTGAGGCAGTGGCTTATGATAAGGAGAAGGGTCAAATATTACCTTTCCAAATTCTTAGCACTCGGAAACGAAAGGTATGTGTGACTTTTTCCATTAAGTTTTCTTGTTGATTGGATGGGAATTGTTTGAAAGTCTCCACTTTTTCCATTAGGATGCAAATGAAGAGGATATCAAAGTTCATGTGTGTGTCTTTATGTTTGATTTACTGTATTTGAATGGTGAGCCATTAGTGAAAAAGCCCCTTCAAGAACGAAGAAAACTGTTACGAGAAAACTTCAAGGAAGTTGGAGAAGAATTCCGCTTTGCATCTAGTGTAGATGTTACGACAATGGAGGAGGTTCAAGAGTATTTAGAAGAATCAGTCAAAGGTAGCCATAGCATTTTCTTTTCTGTAAATGAATGACTCGTGAAATTTTAGAAAAAAAGATTAATTGGTAATTAAATCTTCTCTGATCAGGCAACTGCGAGGGTTTGATGGTGAAGACGTTGGAGGAAGAGGCAACCTATGAGATTGCAAAGCGATCTCGTAATTGGCTTAAGCTCAAGAAAGATTACCTCGAAGGTTGTGGTGATACTTTAGACGTTGTTGTCATTGGAGGTTACATAGGACGTGGCAAGCGCACTGGAACCTATGGTGGATTTCTTCTTGCTTGCTATGACTCTGAAAATGAAGAGTATCAAAGTATCTGCAAAGTAGGTTTTGCATAAATCATGCAGACTGTAATTATTACCAACTATTTGCTAATCACCATCCCATTATTTATAGATTGGAACAGGTTTCAGTGATGAATCTCTAGCAGAACATGCTGAATTCTTCAAACAGCACGTCATACCAAAACCACGCCCATACTACCGGTATGACAGTAACCATGAACCTGACCATTGGTTTGATGCTGTTCAAGTCTGGGAGATAAAATGTGCTGATCTCTCTCTTTCACCAGCACACAGAGCTGCCCTTGGCATAGTAAGATTCCACTTAAATTTTTATCACATTCTATTTTTTTATTCTTTGAAGTGCAAAGTGATACAAATATGTCATTTGTTTGATTAAAATAGGTGGACCCTGTTAAGGGCATATCTCTTAGATTTCCTCGTTTCTTAAGAGTGAGAGATGACAAATCTGTGGAAAATGCGACTTCTGCCAGACAAGTATGCGAGAGTTTTAATTTTCTTTCTAGTGGTCGCCTTGTTTCCAACTTAATTAAATTTATCATCAATTGTGTGATTTCAGGTTGCAGACTTGTACCTGAATCAAGATCAGATTAAGAACCAGTCAAATTCTAAAGAAGTTGATGAAGAAGATTTCTACTAAGTTATGCCCAGAAGGCCCTGAACCTACAGATACCTTACTTTTCAACCCAATGAATTTTTAAAAACGAATTGCTTTACTCCCATGTGCCTTAGGACACTTAAGTAAATAATTTATTAAATATGTTTTATCATAACACTACAAGTATCTCATTACTATGATACATACTCCTAAGAATCAACTCAAAAGAGTGTGTTTAAGTAATCGGTGGTCCCAAATATATGTTACTCCTTCTGGCTTCTATCTTTATTTTTTGATGATTTGGATGAATGTTCTTTGCTGGACTTTCTTGCAGAAGTAGAAGCAGGCTCTGTATTTGACACAGAAGTTTTCTTCAAACTACTATCTGATGGGATGCGGGGTGTTACAGGATCAGGTCCATCTTTTTGAACATTTTCTAGCTCTGATTTCATTTTTTCTTCCTTATTGTTTTCTTTGTGTTCTGTTACTGTCTTACTGTAAGGAACCGAAACTGGCTGCTCTTTGTTTGTTTCCGAATGACTGGATTGGTCTTCTGGCTTTGTGTCAGGTTGACCCTTTGCTTCTGCATTGGTTGTGTTTGATTCATTGTTTTCTGCTTTTTTTCTAGAAGTGCTTTGCTTTTGATCCGACTTTTGTTGGGAAACTGTTGACTTGTTATTCCTGTTTACAAATTCTTCAGTACTGGGTGTTTGTGTTGGGGCAGAAGAAGAATCAGCATCCTCATGCATGAACATCTCTGTCATTTTCTCAACCACTATAGCATCATGCTGACTTAAAAGTGCAGGGTCAGTTTTATAGTCAGAAAATTCTGACCGTTTTTGGAGTTGCTTCCAAACCTTTTCACGAGTAAGTCCCAAGGGCGATTGGAGCAAAGTGGACCAGTCTGGAGACCAAGTGCCCGCTAAGTACTGGAAGAGTGAGCAGGAAGTTAGAGCAGTTGAAGAAACAAACAAAATTATAATGAATAAGCTGAAAGTTACCTGATCAAACTGTCTATTTCCTATGTGAAACATGGTGTGCAGGAGTGGTCGGGAAGGCACCACCAAGTAATCGCCTGCCCGACCGATAGCAGACAACGTCCAGGGAGCGTTCTCATGCATGTACTTATACATGACCTGGAACAGTACGCCATGCATTTCCACCCAGCGCCCAAGACGTTGGAAGTCATAAGAGGGACCTACCGTACCTTCAACGCTTGCCGACCATCGTTGGTAAGCAGTATTTTGGAAACGAGCAGCTCTGCTGTGGGCAGAGATTCCTCCACTGCGCGCCAGTCCCACGTCTCGTCCTCCGTGCTGCAATGCAATGAGGGCCATAGAAGGAGGAGGAGGAGGTAGGTCGGCACGGGGGCGTTTGTACTCACTATTCCTGCACGGCTCGCAGGAACTCCTGGACGCACGGCCGCAGCGTGTCGTCCTCGTCGATGCGGCAGAGGGCCTCGGCCAGCTTGCCGGCCGCGGCCGCCGCGTGCGCGCCGTGCCCGAGGCCGTGGCCGTGGCCGGAGCCGTAGCGCGTCAGGGCCTCGTACAGGCCGGCCAGCGCCACCTGCAGCAGGGGGGACCCGCCCACCGGGTGCACGTCGGCGGGCAGCAGGTCCCCGATGGCCGCGGCCGTGGAGCCGAGCCAGGGCGGCAAGCACGGCGCCAGCTGGGTGAGGCACGTCAGCGCCAGCGGCACCAGGTCGCGCGCTAGGGCGCCGGCCTGCCACACAGAGCCACTGGGGTAAACAGGACTGCCTCAAGCTTCTGTCCTCCCCCCAAGAAAGCCCTCCCCTCACCTGCACGGAGGCGATGGCGGTGGCGACGGTGGCCTGCAGCAGGGGCTGCAGCGGCGTGATGAAGGCGTCCATCCAGGGCGGCCGCTGCAAGTTCCACACTTGGCGGCGGTCGAAGGCGCCCGCCCAGGCGCAGTGCGGGTCGCAGGCCAGCACCTCGAGGGCGGGCAGCAGCGAGGCCGACAGCGCCTTGGTGCCGCCCACGCACGCGATGGTGTGCACCAGGGCCTTCTCCACCTGCGCCGCGCCCACCGTGGTGCACGCCGTGGTCCCTGCCGGGGTGGAGGCCGGCGCAGAGGGGCAGTCGCCGCGGCAGAGGAACCGTCCGCAGCCCGGCTCCGAGTCCGCGGCGGACGCAGAGGAGGCCGAGGGAAGTCCCGAGGTCGTCGTCGAGGCCGAGTCTCCGCCCTCGCGCAGGATGAGCCGTCGCAGCAGCAGTTTGGCCACGCGGCAGTCGCGCATCATGAGCACCTGCACGAGTAGGTCGGGGCCCCGGGTTCGAATACTGACGCTTGAAATACTTACTTGAGTTTGCTGGAGTTACCCGCAGCAGCAGGGCCCACGAAGGCTGCGGCTGGGCCAGCAGCACGGCCAGCTCCAGGGAGATGGCGGCGCCGTCGTCCAGGTCGAGGTACGAGCGGGGCCGGGTCTTCGCCGGCAGGTACTGTGGCGACACCAGCTGGACCCACGGCGCGGGCCCCGTGCCTGCGGCGGCAGCCCCGCCCTGGTCGCACAGGCCCTTCCTCATGGCGCGGAGCAGCGCGTCGAGGGGGCAGCCGCGCAGCAGGAGCGTGGTCAGCAGCACGTGGCACTTGGCGTGCACGTCGCGCATGATCTTGGAGCGCTGGACAAGGCCAGGCCGGCAAGGCACAGCCCGCGGACTTGAGCTTGGGAACAGCGTCAAGTGTCGGCAACGCAGACTTGAGGCTGCGGCCTGCGGCTTACCTGAGAAAAGCCCACCAGCTCCGCCGCGTCCGCGCACACGGACACCGCCAGCTCGCGCGTGCAGAGCAGCATGTTGACGAGGTCGGTGACGAGGAGGGACGCCCGCGCCGCGCTGGGCTCCGCGGCGACGTAGCGTGCCACCAAGATGGTGAGGGACTCGTTGAGCATGCCGGCGAACACGCGTTGCGCCGTCCGCGGCGGCACCGTGTTCCACAGGTCTGTCCGCGTCCCTGTAGCAGCACAACGGCGTGGAGGAGGCTGGTGTGACGCGGGGCTTGCTCCTGGGACGGGGCGCGCACCTTGCATGTACAGCCACCACATCTGCACCGTGACGGATCCGCGCTCCCCCTCGAAGAAGGGGCGCGGGTCCTCCCAGTGTAGCGAGTCTGCGTCCTGCAGGACGTACAGGGACAGCAGCCGGCAGTGCAGATCCAGCAGTCGCTCCGCCAGCGCCTCGGCCATTGAATGGAACTGCTTCTGGCTCGCGTGCAGCGACAGGCTGCCAAGCATCCCGACATTCAAATGAGGCTGAGTCAATTTGCGCATTGCCTCCAACGTGGTGTAATACGCACCCTTCCTCTCGAGCCTTGACCAGCAGCTGGTGGTAGCACCACAGGCAGGACCTAAGCAGGGCTGCCGCACCCAAAGTGGCAGCCAGGACGGTCAAGTCTGCGTGGTCCAAAGCCTCCTGGGACAGCGAATGCAGGTGCTCGAGGATTTGCTCTCCCGATTCTGCAGTGAGCTTCACAAATTCCTTTGGGGCACTAGTCTTTGCTACTCCCCCACAGCCTCGTTCCAGTGATGGGTCAGAAGCAGCAACTTCTTGACCTCCAGAATCCTTCTCCAACAGACCTGAAGGCTTACGAAATGCAGCTTGATATTCTTCTTCCCACCAGAGCACCAGCTTGTAAGCCGCAAATGATGCGTAGTGTGGAAAGTCAAGTAGGCCACCGACTATACCAGAGCATAGGGTCTCGTGTAGAACTGTCTGATGTGCCTGGTTACATTATGATATACACAGTGGTGAGTCAACATGTTGTTTTAAAAAATAATATTTTCTGGAGGTTTACTACCAGCCTTACCTGGTAGTATGCCATATCTCGTTGCAATAATATCCTCACTCTGTCCATTAAATTACCTTCTTCCATTACCTCCATGATTGTTTATTTAAGTTAGTTACCTCTATTTGAAATAATATTTATTCTTGAATTATATTTTTTGCCTTAATCTCCTGCAAGAAACAAAGATTCTTTTAACATAGAGGGTGATTAAGGAAGTGGTGCATGAACAGATATGGATGCATGGGTGGAGAAAAAACTACTCAAGTGTGCTCATGTGCAAGTGTATTTGATGCTAAAATATCAATTTTGACATTTTCTACTCCATTGTTACTATCACATTTACACAATTAAAAGCTGGGTACAACATGTGAAAATTAAAAACATAATTGTTGACACAACTAAGTACATAGTGTGGTTCATATGACTCACCACTAACAACTATTACAATGACTGGTGAGTCCGTTTCCTGGAAAAACTAGCATAAAAATATTGAATTATAAAACTTGGTACAATCACTACAAGAAAACATGTAGAACCATAATGATGATATTTACAAAAACACAAACAAATAATTCTTAGAAAAAAAAGGTCATTATTTTGCCCTACTTTTTGCCACTATGACTGCATTGTTTAAAGTCTATATCTTTCTTGACAATAATAGAAATTTCTTTACTCAAAAGTTCATGAAGACTAACGCCATCATGTCGATAGATCCATGAACCCTCTATATAGTCATATCGTTTAGGTCCACTTGTAGGGGACGAGAGCCAGATTTGCTCATTTGGAGACTGGCGGTTGATTACATAGGTTCCATGCGGATCACCAAATTGTACGGTCAGCACCCCATCCTGTTAAAAGGAATAGCACATGTAACTGGAGTTAGTTTATCACAAACATCGCAACCAGAGGTACTGTAATGATTCTTACACTGTAGTTAACATCAGCTCCTGAAAGCACATCTGTACTTTCAATTAGTTCTTCAAAGTGGTCTGTGAGGGAATCTAATGTTTCACTACATACTTCTTCAAAGACAGCCTTGTTGGGAAAACTGAACAGAAAGAGTTGTATGACATTAGAAAATTAAATTTCCAAGGAACAGATTAAAAATTTTATTTAGTATGGTATGGTTTAGTTATCGAACTTACCAGGGCGACTGCGCGAAAGTCCGGTTAGAAAGATATGTTGAGGTGTTGGAGGCTTCTGCAGGAGCCTCTAACCTCTTACTCAAGGTAAACAGCGAATTCCTGCCAAAATGCCTCGCCGACAAGTATGAGACTAGCCGTACCGATCGAACGCTATGTAAATTAACCAACTTGCGAAGCATGACAAGAAGACACGAAGGATCTGGGTCAATTTTTCTGCTCAAAACATGAACTTCGCAAAGTTTGATCTTTCAACAACTTCCCTTGGCAACAAAGCAGTATACGCACCTTTCAAAACCTGAAACGTGATGCAGCTTAAACAGAATTAAACAGCTTATAACTGCTTTAGAAGACGAAAAGTGAAAAAGAAAAGACAAATTTGGAGGTGTTTTTTTAAAATTATATAGTGATTCTGAGCGGCCAATACTAAAATTATATTGTTGTGGTATTAATTAGGTTGGTAACAAAAATGTAATAGATTTTTCATAGTTCGTCTGCCGTTCATTCATAAACAAAACCAAACTTGACAGAAAATGAATTTATTTAAGAATCTCGATAGTTTACGTCGGTTTGACTCATTCTCAAAAACGATAGAAGATTTCAGAGTAAAAACTTCTGGAGGTGGCCTAGGTATGGTGTAATTTTGCTCCTAAGTCAAAGTGACAGCGGCACTTTGGTTATGTTCAATGACAACACGACAATTCGGCAGCACAATACTATTCAAGAATACCACAAACTATTATTATGTGATCAATCGATTGATTCATCTGAACTTACATTTTTTCATCCTGTATCATGGTCTTGTGTGCAAGCATTTTTTGGCTCATTGTAATGTAAAACATTAAGGTAACAGAATGCTCCATTGCTTTTCCAGTCACTTTATTAAGTATTTGGTGCATGGTGGTGCTGTTCTATGCCGAAGTGAAGGACTACATGACCCCGGGTATAACGGAAGATTTATTTGTTGACACCTCCAGAGGACCTAAATTGCGTATCAATTTGGACATTGTGATGCCCACAATATCATGTTCATGTAAGTATTTTACTACGTATTGCCAATTTTCAGCATGCTCGTTTCTTGCAAACAGTTGCAGCATTTTGCGTCTCACAATGGAGTGATCATTTGTTTTACTGTTGCAGTTTTATCTTTAGATGCCATGGACACTGCGGGCGAACACCACCTTCACATTGATCATAATGTGTACAAGAGGCGTTTGGATTTACTCGGCCAGCCATTGGAGGAGCCACAGAAAGAGGGTATTGACGGTGTATTCATAACTACCAAGCAAAAATGTATGGAAATTCTACTGTGTAATTGTTCAATGACTGTCTTGAATTTCAGACTTAACTACCAGTACTTCTCTGAAAGCCACCACTGAAAAAGCGAATGTTACGGTATGTATGCAATAGTTTATTTCTAATCTTTGCGTTTTGGGATTACTGAAATTTGTCTTGTATTGTTTCAGGGGTTGGCAACTTTGAATGAGACATGTGGTAGTTGCTATGGAGCGCCTAAAGAAGTCATCAAGTGAGTCTCAAATTGCTTAGAGCAGCTCATGTAGAATTTTTTGTTATTTGGTGTATGGTGACGTAGGTCTGTGACCATTCTCTGGAATTTAACTAATTACTTGTGTCTTTTAGGTGCTGTAACACCTGTGAAGATGTAAGAGAAGCATACAGAATCATGCAGTGGAGGTTTCCAGACCCAGACGATATTGAGCAGTGTAAGAATGACCAATCAAATCTCATGGCAAAGGGAGCTTTCAAAGAAGGCTGTCAAATTTATGGCTACCTTGAAGTAAACAGGGTGAGTAGAGACATATATTTCCAGGGCACTAGTATGTGAATGCATTAGGATTTTTAATTATGTATTTCTTGTGTGTTTCAAGGTGGGAGGAAGCTTTCACATTGCTCCTGGAAGGAGCTATTTGATTGATCATGTTCATGGTAAGACATTAAATAGTGGCTGGAGTATTATATATTTTACTGACCAATATTCTTTAATCGCTTTTGATTTGACAGTGCACGATGTGCAGCCATTTTCAGCATCCTCCTTCAATACAACACATACTATCCGACATCTCTCATTTGGCCTTAATATTCAGGGCAAAACTAATCCCATCGATGGCATTTATGTAGTTACTCCAGATGGTAAGTAAAAGCATGAAAATATCTAATTAAATTAAATAAATCATCTTTATAATATTTAAATGAAAACAAATTTGTAATTCTAATTTAACTTTGGAAATTCACAGTATACATAACATACATTAAATTTGTCTAGCATCTGATGCCAGTTCCAATAGCCATGAATGTTCCAAAAGTGCCGCCTGCTTGTAGCATAGCTTTTCCTGCACTGTTGACCAATTCTCGCCCTCGCATACCGTATCTGTAGACAATGAAAAATCGTAACAATGAGTAAAGAGGACATTCTATTCAACTTTTTAAAAGTAAATTGTGACAATCAAAGGACAACCACCCCTTGATGTTGTGCGTTTACCAACCTTAAGGCGGAAAAGCCTCCGAAAATTGCTCCTGATGCCATTCCTACACAGAAGCCAATCATGGCTCCCATCTTCATTCGGTCGAAACAGGACGGGCCTTGTTGGCCGTACATGTTTCCTGGTACTGCAGGCATTGTTTGTGGGATTGTTCTGGAGAGCAGATTGCATATTGATTATACGTCTGAGTTAGACTAGTGCTAAGCTGATGAGGGAACTTGGGTACTTGGTTTAGAGTAGAGAACCATGTACATAACAAAATCTGACTGACAGTTCATTCGGGTTTAACAATAGACTGGATTGAATTTTCAGCTCTTTCCTTTCAAAGGAAAGGAAAATTTTTGTTTAAAGGGACTTTTATTATGGCAACTTAACCTCCAATAGCCGGCTCAGTCACCATTGATTAGCGACTGAGACTCGCAAGATGCAATGTTGCCTTGCGAATCAACACCTCTATTAGCTTTAAATACTAGCCTGTGTTATCAGTTCTTCAAAGGATTCTTTCAATAGTGTCAAACACGATTAACGATCGGTGAACTTTGATTGCTTTCTGGTTGGTTACTCGTGGGGGGTGGTCATATCTTATTCACCAGATTAGCCAACTGTAAGATTTGGACAAGCTGACTTCCTCCTCTAGTCCACCTCTCTAATCCTAGACCTTAACGTCAGTTTCAGTTCCAAAATTTGATGCAGTTTTCTCTCTTTCTGCATTTTGAAGTACCTCATGCATTTATGAAAAGTCTTGGTGACGCTGTAAACAGTTAAGACTTACAGCGCTTATCGCGGAAGGTTTCCCACCCCTGTCAATCTTAACGAGGGAACGTTTGAAAGTGCTACATAGTTTTCTGAAATTTTCCAGGTGCTACCATGTTTCAGTATTACATCAAAATTGTTCCTACCACTTATGTCCGGAAAGATGGTAGCGTCCTACAAACTAACCAGTTTTCAGTTACCAAGCACAGAAAGGTAAATTAAATTTTTTATGTCATGGAGTGGGCTGACTTTTTTGAAGAAAGACATTGATTGTAAGAATTAATTGCAGGTGGTCACTATGGGGCATGGGGAATCTGGGATGCCTGGTGTGTTTTTCAATTACGAACTGTCACCTATGATGGTGAAATACACAGAGAAGGAAAAGTAAGTACTGATTACCTTGAAGTTGCTGTTAGAAGTAATTTGTGGTCCATTCTACGAAAAATAAGCATTTTCTTATTGTTTCAGACCCCTAGGTCATTTTCTCGTAAATCTTTGTGCAATTATTGGTGGTATTTACACAGTGGCAAGTATTATTGATGGAATCTTATACCATTCTCTTAGAGCTATTCAGCAAAAGATAGAGATTGGGAAGCTTAGTTAAATTTCCATGTAATAAGAACAACAAATTTATGCAGTATAAATCTATATTTTATAACACAATGTATTACAATGTATTCAGCTCTGTAAATCATGAAAGTTTTCACTCATTGATCAGATGAAAAGTCGAATAAATAAGTCATCAATCTAAACATAAACGTAAAAACAATGTTGTTACACAATTTATGAATATTTCAAAAATGTTTCATAGTCATTAAATGTGCACTTGGCAGCTTGTACACAAAACTCTTCTATGGTTCCTTTAAATAACCAATCAGGTGAAGTATAAAGTGGATCAGCACAGTCAAAAATATCACGTTTCAAAAATTTAAGGAACTCGTACCGTGGTTTTATGCGACTAACCCTGCATAATAGAATACCAGCATGCTTGACTAGCTGAGTATGACTTAAACCTATTTGGTTGTGGCAATAATTGAATGCCTCTCTGACAGTGTCTGGTTCTGTAATGGAACAAAAAGGGTAACGTGCATTCCACACATACAATACCAATCATCACAACTGAAAAGTGACTCACTTGTGTAGCAGCTTCCTCTTTTCATTAGTAGCTCTTTGCGTTCCCAGTGGTTAAAGCCTAATTCGCGGTCCATCAGTTTCACTGAGTCCTGGAAAAGAAAATCTACTGGTTTGAAACCGTCTATTCATCTTAATATTCATTCAAATAAAAATCTACATACCACAACTACAGCCCATGCCTTGTTTCCGAAGGACACCATTTTAGGAGAACTGCAGACGACCTCTCGAATTTCACTTCCTTTAAGTTGGAAGGCTTTCTGAATAAAACCCAGTCGTGAATCTAATTCCTTTGTCCTAGAAAGGAAGAAAGTAGGTGGCCACAAGCTTTGAAAACGGGTTGGGCAAATAATATTGATGACCAATAAAACTTACGGAAGTGTTAGCCAATTAGGTGCCCGATTAAGAATTTTGCTTATCTCTTCTTTGGTAAATTGTTTGGCTTCCAAGTAATTAATCCGCACTTGAATATCATCTTTATCAGTCCAGATTAAAGGTGTGTTGACTGTAAAAAACGTTCCTAAATTTTGAGGATCAATTCCAACATCCACAAGAAACCTGAAATGATTAACATTTTTACGAAGGGTACAGCTGTTGAATAAAAAACCAAAGAAAACTGTATTTGACAAATGTTTATTTTCAATCCAACATTTTTAGCCCTTACTGTATTTGTGGTTTTAATTGGGCTTCCCAGTCCAGTTGAAGTAGCCTTTCAAGATCTCCGTGTCGCTTTACTATCTTGGAAAAATCCACTCCTAGTTTGACCAGCTGTTTTATTTTCTTACTACGATTGGCCAGTTCATGTAGAGGCATAGGACCTGTGGCTGGAGTTGGAACAACTGCACGTGCCCATGCAGCAATTGCTTCCTCCATCCTGGGATCAAGCATTATATCTTCTCCTGGCTGATTTGATTGGTTTTCTATCAAATGGCTTTCCCTCTCTACGGTGCCAGAAAGCTCATCTGAACCAGACGCCGTGAGAAAAAGTCGTCTTGCCTGTGTGGTATCACCTAAACTCATAATAATAAGCACAAGTCTAAATAAAGGTGTTTTTTTGAAATTAGAGTGTCACAGAACACATACCAGCTATCATAATTGTCTTTTGAAGTGGGGGAATGTATGGAACAGCTTCAATATCTTCGTATTCTTCCGCTTCGTCTTCATTTTCTGCTTCTTTAACGATGTCTTCCCACTCCGAAGTGATTGGAGGGGCTTTAGGTAGAGGAGTGTTTATCTCGGCTGAAGGGTCTATACGGTTTTTATGCAATGTTTTGTTATTGTCTTGATCAACAAGGTCATCAATGAAATCCAGGTCTTCGACTGATAGAGGAGGAGCTTCTGGCAAATCGTCATTCCCAATAATTCCATTTCTGAAAATTTGGGACAGTGACCGACATGGCCATTTTTGGACTGAGAAGGATGTCGAATTTCGCAAGGTTCCATTGATATTGGCCTTTAAGGCTAAGCCACACACTCTCCCCAACATTACTGCTCTTAACATGACTGTTTAACAGTGATCGAAACGGGCGATAGGAAAGAGACAGATTATCGAGGTTTATGGACTATGACACTAACAATTTGTTCCTTAACAGACAGCTTTCATTCACAACCACAAAGAAAACATCGTACACATAAGGACCTTAAGGTTATGTTGGACTTCGGCTCTTCTGCTGTTCACAGCCTTCTGCTGGTCGACCTCATCCAAAAGTAAAATTGATTCCTCGCTCTCTCAGAATGAATTTGATTCAAGGTGATTTGCTTGTGAGGATAACCAAAGTTTACAATCCTAGCATTGTTCAAAGTTCTAGACAGTAATGGCTTGAAAAAGTCACAAATTTTTGGGCTTTAAGGTTGTTGCAACTGGCTTCTGACGTTCCAGTTTAGAAGGCAGTGTAAAGTTTGACAACTGGGCTAAAAGGGTTATGGTTGTTGTTTGTTTTTAAGCTGATACCCCTCAAAGATGGGGGTATTTTGCTTATCTTAGTCGTGATTCCAAACCGTAACTATGTTCAACAAAGTTAGGAGTGCTTTGTACAACGTTGTCGGTGGTGTGGAAGCGCTGCCGGCTGTCGCGGAGGGGGAGGATCAGAGCAGATTACGGGTCCCCAAGTTCCCATACGCGAGGCCCCATTTCCTGCTGTTTCAACAAGATGAGGTCCAAGTGTCTGCCGATCATCAAATCAGACCCATAATTGTGCCTCGAGACATCACCAAAGTGCCATGGCAGAGCGGATACGCTGAGTGAGTTCTTCAGCACTGGCTCTATTGTTTGTCTGGCTAGTCCTTGCTCACAAAAACTATCCCTTTCACTGTAGAATTTATGTTGAGGAAATCTCTATCTCTCTCCCTCTTTCTCCTTAAGTCTTATTTTCCTTCTGGGACTTTTTTGCACAGAACGGTGAATGCAGGGAAGTCAGAATGGAACGAAGACCAAGCCTGTGTGCAGCAGAGATTGTTGGTGCGAGAATCTGAGAAGCACATTCCTGGAGCAGGGATGCCATATACGTACTTTGCACTCTTTGATGGACATGCTGGATATGGAGCTGCTGTTGCTGCTGCTAATCAACTTCACAACGTTGTTCATGTGAGCCACCTGTCATCGTGACCTAGTTTGAGATACCTTACCAATGTTCCCCTAACATGATTTGTTTATTTTAATTTAAATTTTTGTTTTCAGAAAAAGTTGATGGAAGTCATCGATCACATTCTACCCCCTCTTGAACTTGGAAATACTGGAGCTCATGGCCACATTGAATCCTCAACACCTCGGGGAATGGCTATGTGGTATCCAGAAAAACCACTTCCTGCAGATGTTTTCATCAGTGGAGCTCTAGAGCTAGCTTTCAATGAAATGGTGTGCATCTTGCTTAAATTCAATTTTTTTTCTGTCTATCTAATATTTTTCTGGGTTTTTCGCTATTTGTCTCTTTCTCATACTGTGTCACCTTTATTCAGGATGCTCTAATTGGTGAGGACAAAAGGAAGTACATCATGAAAGGTGGTTGCACGGCAGTTGTGTCCCTTTTCATTGCGGGCAAAGTCTTCGTTGCAAATGCTGGGGATTCTAGGGCTGTTCGATGTTCTTTGAGCAAGCCCTATCCAATGTCAAACGACTTTACACCCAGTACAGAACGGCGCAGGTTGCAGCAATTGGTAAGACGCAACTTTCATTCCTGATATAAAGAAATGGAAATTTGTAATATTTATCAATTTATTGCTGTTTTACAGGCTGCTCACAAACCAGAACTTTTATCAAACAACTTCACTCACTTAGAGTATAATCCTCGCCCTGGGCGAGCTTTAATGGGCCGAAAAATTCTTTACCGTGATGTATTTATGACTGGGTGGGCTTACAAAATATGCAGCCCAGAAGATCTACGCACTCCAGTAGTAACAGGCGAAGGGAAAAGAGTAAGTTACATCGTATTTTCATCTTATTTATTGGCTTGTACTATGTCTTATTCTCTTTTCTCCCTCAGAGTCGTCTCCTAGCCACTATTGGTGTGACCAGGGGACTTGGAGATCATGAGCTTAGATCTATCATCCACAACACACCTATTAAACCATTCCTCTCTTCCCAAGCTGAGGTTTGTTTATCAAAATCACAGTGTGCTTTTTCCTTCAATTTCCCAATTTATATTTTAAACCACCTTGGTTTTCCCTCAGGTAAAACTTTATAATATTGAAGCCCACAACATACATGATACAGATGTTCTGGTCATGGGCACAGATGGCTTGTGGGATGTCACAAATAATGAAAAGACAGCAGAAATAGTCCAGAATTCACTCACAAACTTCCCATTTGGTGACCAAGAAAATTCTAAATACAGGTAACATTGAAATTGTGCATCCTAGTTTTATATTGTAAAGTCCTAAAGTACTTCATTAATATAATTGTTTTAGTTTCAAGTTTTGGATTTATTGTGGTATTCTTGATTTCTTTAGGTTCACATCTGCTGCTCAGGATTTGGTCATGCACTCAAGAGGAAAACCAGAGGGTCACAACTGGCAGACCTCAGATGGTGCACCAGGCACTATTGATGACATTTCTGTTTTTGTCATCCCTCTTGCTGCTTACAAAAGGGAGTGGGAAGCGTGGAAACAGCAGAATGAAAAACTGCGCCAGAGCAAAGCTTCGGACCAGATCTCTAGCAAATCTGCCCAGACTGCACAATCGTCCACCAACAGGTACCCTGCATCAGCTAATTTATCCAACATGGATGGCTGGTTTCCTAGCTTAGATGGTAAAACTCCAACTACTCATCAAAATGGAGGAACTCCTGCCAATGTGCCTGTTGAAGTTGGTGTCCCCCACTTAAATGTCTCTGACTTGCCTCTTGCTGAGATTAGCCTTGAAGCTGAGGAAGTTATGGCACCTGAAGACACACCCAGTAGAAATGTTGAGACTATTGATTCTGAAGAAGGTCTCACTCCTACTATTGGTAGTTCCATTCCAGAAAATGGAGATAAGGATAACACAGACCCCTCTTCAACAAACTACTGCGAGCGATAAACGTATGAAGTAAACTTATTTAGTAAAATGTTTGATTGTCCACTTGAACTGACTTTATACTATCCAACATTTACATTTTTTGCACAAATTGCATCCTAAGAGGGTGTCAAAATCATTTTTAAATATTTTTTTTTTTCATTATGTCAAGTGATTTGTTTTTGTTTGTTACAAAATGTAAAATTGTACTATTGAATGGGATTGTAGAACATGTGTATTATGTGGTGTAATACTTTTCAAAGGCTGTGCGCTAAAGCTTTTTTCCTTACAAATGTTTTTGTTTTTCTAGAGTGCAGGCTGACAATTTCTTAAAGTTTTTAATTTGGTCTAATACACAGACTAAGTTGGTTATAGTGAAGGGCAGTGTAGCAAAATTCCCTCTAATCATCCCACAGGCGTGTTTACCCAGACTGGGAAAAAGGAGGGGGTCATGTCACACCTTTTGCCTTTTAACAGGCAGATTGTGCGACAAAGTGCCCACCCGTCAGGTGTGTGAAAAGTGGGGAGTCAAGACCCCCTGCCCCCTTTTTTTTCCGCTCCCCAGGTACATGTCTGTTATCCCAAAATTAATCTAAGCTGAACTCCTGCTAGTTACAAACCAAGTTTGAATTTCCAGGTAATTTGCTATAACCGTCTTTGATACGTAGTCGCTTTAATACATGTTTGGACATGCAGAAGGGCCCATGCTGCTTTGTATTACTAGTAAATGTATTCCCTATTAGTATATATTTAACTTCTGTGGCTTATGTTGAATTTGTTGAGTTGTTTTTGTCAGGCATTGTAATTACATTGTACACTGTAGTGTATTTTCCTCTAGTCTTATGCATCAAGGAAATATATTAATTCATGCTGCTCTATGGTAACCTTCCCTTTGAATTGAAATTTGGTTCAAAGAAAAAAACTTTTTTAAAGTATGTAAAAAAATTCTCTCATAATGACACGCTTCTTTAATAAGAAAGAATCACTTAAATAAACTCTGTTTCCGATGGTTCAGTGATTTGTCATCTTTCAAATTTTTCTTCTTGTCTATGAAACGTATGCTCAACCATGCTATGATCGCTCAATTACCCAGACAGGGTAATAAAATTGTCCTATAAATATTCTTACTTGTATTCCTTGTAGAAAAATTATTCCATCAAAAATTTTACAAGCTTTATGCTGTAGATTTGGGTGTTATCTGAAGAATTTTATTTGTTGACATGCTGTAACTAGATACATTTCACTGAATATTTTTTGGGTCTAACAACTGATGCAATTTCATTATTGTCAATGAATCAGGAGTATTCACAATATGCATAGAATCTCCTATTTTAGCTTTGGAGTAAGTCAATGTTATGCCAACAAGTATGTATTTCCAGTTTTGGCTGACATATTTATAAAAGATGTGGTCTTGTTGTATGTGATTGAACTGTGGCGCATGAGGGTGTAACTTAGGTATGTAGCATTCCAAAATCTGGAAAACTTCATGACTTTTCATTAAAAATTCCAACTAAAGAACCATTGTTACATTGATCCTTCTGTTCATATTTTTATATATTGTACAATGTCCACTGCTTAGTTTTGTGATCTATAGTATATTTTTGTTATCCTGGTTTTTTACTCATGAAGACATGTAGCTATCTATGTATATATGAAATGTTTTATAGGCGTTTCTTTTCTTTTTTTTTTATTGAGAAGCCAGTGATGATACTACTACTAGGTAGTGATTTTTAACTGTAATTTACTGTACAAGCAATTAGCATGTTGGTCAAGTTCATTCCGAAATGTGGGAAAACAGAAATACATTGCTTCATTGCATCCATTGACTGTTTTGTCCTGTTTGTAGAGTTTCTTGTCACTTAAGCATTTTTTAAACATGTTATTGGAACCCCTTTTTGGCTTGACATTCCAGATAGTTATCAGTATTACCTGCTGTTATAAAATTGCTTTCTGCTGTTTTCCATTCTGCCAAAGATCAACAAGTTCATTTTCATAACTTGACAAAATGCTTTTATTTCCTATGTGATGTATTTTAATAATAATTGTTCTTTAAGTATATTATTTGTTTGGGATAACAGAAGTATATTTTGTATAGTATTCAAATGGTTGGAATTTTGGAGATAGGAACGTTGTAGATTAGCCCCACCGCTCATCCTGTTCAGTGGCTTTGTTTGAGTAATAAAAGTGATGTGATGTACTTACTCTTTGATAGTTTCAGTTCTGTTTTGCAAGGGTCCCTAGGTTTTCCCCATTCCCCACACTTTCAACAAAAGAAAGATATGAAAGCTTCGAATGAAGAACAGCAGTTATGATCAAAACTGGGATCCAACCTAACCAACAAGGGCCATATTCGCCGTTTCTTGCGAGCAGTGTCCTGACTTAAATAAGGAGGCAATCGATTAAAGCAAACTGTTTTCCAAGACCTGCAAGAGACTACATTCAAAATTTGAAGCTTATCTCGACTAGTCAATTCCTCATCCCGCTTTAGAATCTGAACCGCAATGTTGTTACTGCAGTATGAGACACTCAGCATTACACTCAAAATTGTTGTTTACGGCTTGTTGTTTGCGGTTCGGTTGTTTGTTGCCGCTTGGTTTGTTTATTTTTGTGAGGTGTATTCCTCACTAAGAGCCATTTATAGCTGTCCAGAGAAACTCGCCATGTTTCTTAATTCACCATTTGACAAAAGCTTGTAAGTCGCAACTTTGCGAGTGCCGAGTCCCCTACTATCAACATGGGTGACAAAAATACCCTGTTGGCTGTGTTACAATATCTGGAGAAACACAATTTGAAGGTAATTTTCCAACTTCAATTTATTTGCTACTTCTTCAACAAATGCAGATATGGACTTCATTCTCAAATCTCTAACTATCTTATACATTTCATTCTTCGAAAGGTGCCATTTTGAGGTTAACTATCTCGCCTAATTTTGTTATTATGGCTGGTGTTTAAGTAGTGCCTATGTAAAATTTAAAAGCTAGACTTTCTTTTAGGTTTTTGTATACTTAATCAATATTTCTTTCAGGGAACCTCTGATCTTCTCCGCAAGGAAGCAAATCTTGGAGAAGAAACTTCAAGTTTACAATGTCCTCAGTCCGATTCCGATGTAAGCAGCATGCTTGCTGCTTACAAGAGTGAGGGAGACCCTGAAAAGTATGAGGAAGCATATGCAGACTTGAAACGTTTTGTTGAGGGTGCGCTTGACATCTACAAGGTGATTCAATGATTAAATTATGACAATTTCCTGTTTGCTCCACTGTTTACTTTATCTTATGCTCTTTTTGTCTTTTTCAGTATGAGCTTGGCATGATTCTTTATCCAGTACTTGTGCACATGTACCTAGAACTTTTGTTCAATGACCATGAGGATCAAGCAAAACGCCTTATGGAAAAATTTGGACCTGACCAGGAGGAGTACTTTCAAGAAGACTTAAAAAAGCTTTCGCATGTATGCAAAAAAGATCATTTAAAAGGCAATGAACTGACTGATACCTTCAAGTAAGTCAGCTAAAAAATTATGATCTTCTGAAACGAGTAATGTTTGTAACTGAACTTATTCATATATTTTCTTTTTCTTCTTACTTTTTGTGTTTAGATCAAATGAATTTATTATTCGCATGTCTCGTGACACACTTAGTATTCTCAAACGACACCTATCGGAGAAAAAACATAGTGTAGTGCAAAACATTATCCAAGAGCATTTGTATTTGGACATGTATGAAGGTGTAGCTCGTAACAAACAACAAATTGATGCAACCTCAGGTGCAATGATTGGAGAGGCATCTAGGGCAGGTACTTAAGGCATTTCTTATCTTCTTGTCACCTTTCGTAGTAGTTTCCTGTTCTATAAATGTGCACTTCCCTTGACAGATAACAAAGCAAGAGTCTACTATGGCCTTCTGAAAGAACCTGATGTATCAAATGCTGCCATTGAGGAAGAAGAAGATGATGAAGAGGGTGGAGACAAACCTAAGAAGAAGAAATCTAAGAAAGACCACCTTTATCCCAAAAAATCTAAATCTGATCCCAATGCTCCTCCTGTTGATCGCATGCCACTTCCAGAATTGTTGGTCTTTTTTCTTTTCAAATTTTTATTTCTATCTAGAAAAGATCACAGTAACTATGTATTTTTTTTTTTATTTACAGAAAAGAGGCAGAGCTAAGAGAAAAGGCCAAAGCTCTAAGGGATGGTTCAAAGAGAGTTAATTTGGGTCCTGATACCCTACCATCAATATGTTGCTACACTCTTTTGAATGCAAACCATAGGTAAAAACCAATCCTTTTCTCCACATAAAGCTTTCTTAATTTTATCCATTGTTAAATATAAGTGATAAAATTTGACTTTTGTCTCATATTACGTGTTTGTGTTTACAGTGTGACCTGTGCAGAAATATCTGAAGACTCAAGTTTATTAGCTGTTGGTTTTAATGATTCTTTCATTAAAGTTTGGAGCCTCGTTCCTCAAAAACTTAGGAGCATGAAGTCAGCTGATCAGTTGCAAGATATTGATCGTGAAGCAGGTATGCCCTAATGCATTTTCAAAAATAAAAATTGACCCTATTATTTTTTACTGTGGCATATAATCAATGTGGTCACATCACTTTTTCAACAGATGACGTTCTGGCGCGTATGATGGACGACCGATCATCAGAAGCTTGTCGAACGCTCTTAGGGCACAGTGGTCCAGTTTATCGTGTAGCGTTCAGTCCCGATCGACAGCTTTTGCTGTCTTGCTCCGAAGACTCCTCAAGTAAGTCACATTCACAAGAAAACAAGTGTGATATGCATGCGAAGCTAATTTTCATTTTTGACTTCCAGTTCGCTTATGGTCTTTGCTCACATGGTCCTGTGTTGTTTGCTATAAGGGTCATACCTACCCAGTTTGGGATGTTAGGTTTGCCCAGCACGGTTACTATTTTGCCACTGGTGGTCATGATAAAACAGCTCGTTTGTGGGCCACAGACCAACATCAGCCTTTGAGGATATTTGCTGGACATTATTCAGATGTTGATGTAAGTCTTCATCTACCTCTATAATTTTCTCTTGTGTCTTTTTCCATTTTTCACATCCACATTACTGTATCTAATTAAATCTTATGCTATTACAGTGCGTACAATTTCATCCCAATTCCAATTACCTGGCCTCAGGCTCCAGTGACCGAACTGTTCGGTTGTGGGACTGTGTTACTGGCTGCCAGGTTCGGCTGATGACTGGACACAAGGTGAGTCGGATGATTTGCTGATTTTATCTCAATTTTATGTCCATTTTCTCATTCAATATGAATTTTTCTTTTCTCCATTAGGGACATGTTTTATGCCTTTGCTTTTCTGTGGAGGGTCGTTTCCTAGCATCTGCAGGAGCTGACTCAAGAATATTGTTGTGGGACCTTGCTCACGGTCACCTACTAGCAGAACTGTGTAGCCACACAGCTTCAATATTATCTCTTGCTTTCAGCCGGGAAGGAAGCATTTTAGTGTCAGGTTCTACAGATTGCACGGTCAAAGTTTGGGACTTCACTAAATTAGCAGAGACAATGGCACTCGAAGATGTCAATATATCTCACAATCCTGATATAAAGAAAGACAGTGATACTTTCCTTCTACGGTCCTATGCCACTAAGAATTCTCCCATTCTTAATCTACATTTTACTCGTCGCAATCTTCTTCTAGCTGTTGGATTGTTTGACTCTCAAAGTTAGCTATGAATTATTAAGTTTTTTTGCCCTTGCATGGAAATGTTTATTTATAAGCATTCAATCAACTTAGTAAAAAAGTGTAGTCAGTCTGCACAAGATTTATTATATTATTGATTTTTAAAAAATCGAGCTACCTTATGTGTGTATTTGTGTGAGTATGAGTGTATATAGGGGGCAGATGAGTAAAATTCCTTTCAATAAAGGTAAATTTCAAATATTTTAATTGTTTAAGTTATTGCATCAATCCACCCATAGGTAGTAGATGTCACATTGTCTCAACATCAAGATTAAAATTATGAAACATAACACAAAAATTAAATGGAAAGAGCTAAAAGAGTAAATGCAACATGAAGTGTTACAGTATTTAAGAGCTAAATACATGTATGAAAACTTTACTTCTACAGCAACACAAAACAAAATTTAAAAAAAAAAAGAAATTAAAGAGATGCCCCTGAACTTGATGGTATTTCTGGAAGGAAATGGGCTCGCACTCTGCTGTGGAGCAGAGCTATTTCCGAATCCTCTTGTTCTAAATTTCGAATTAATTGCGTAAATTGAATGATGCCTGAAAATTGAAAGACAGTGGTGTGAGTGGGTTGCAATGCTATTCAAGAACAAGTCTCAGTTATAATCAATGGTCTAATTTACAAAGTACCTACCATGTCGTCCTTCTGAGAAACCATAATCCTTTATCACATCCATTTGCAGCATCATAACAATCGGAAAAACATATTGCATACGTTTGGTCATATCATTGCCAGCATTATCTCTGGCTTCTTTAATCTTGGAGGCATTTTCTGATTGTTCTATAGCCTTCAGAATTCCATTTAACGCAGCTAGAAGAGAATCGTAAAAATTGCGTAGGGTACATGTACCTTTCTGATATGAGATTTTATAGTAGAAATCCCGAACGAGAATCAAAATTGCTCTATAAAGAACAATGGCGAGGTATAAATTGTGTCGGTATGAGGTGTATAATTCAGAGTTGGAAAAAAGGAAAGGGAAAGGGGTTATGAGGTAGCTTTTTAAGAAATTGAATGAAAAGTGTTGACTTTCCCGTACCTCGAGCCGTTTCTCTGGAGAACATGTTTCTTTCGGCCATAACGTACGATTCACCAAGGACTTTGGCGTTCCAAAACGATCTTTGGCGACAATCACCATGCGTAGATGACAGACAGCAGACAGAGTGGACTACGGCAGGACGATGAACCACGAATCAAAAATAAACATGAGCGTTTCGACTAATTTCTCATGAGGGACCCAGGGGCGGGGGCGAGGAAGGGTGAGGCGGAGGGAGTTCCTGGGAGCGGGGGGCGGAAGGGAGAGAACATTTCTTCATGATTCGGCGAATGTCATCAAACCGCGAGGTTACCTGCTTCTTCCACCAGGGAAGGAAACAAAGGTGACGAAAGAGGGCCGATGAACTTCGAATGGGGAGTAATTCCCTTTCTTAGGCATGTTTTAACGACAAAGGTGACGTGTAAAGTTCAAAATGCAATACTTCAAAGGTATTGGCAATGAAGTCATTTTGGCTCTCGTGGCTCCTACTTTTATATTTTTGATCTTAGTGGCCAAGTTCTTGTTTGAACAGTTTACTCAACCTAATACCAACAGGTAAGGTTCGTTTTGAAACATTACACTTGTTATTTTTTTCAAGTTTTAAATGTCAACATTGTTCTTGTTATTCTCTGTGCCAATTCTGTGATATGACAATTATCTACACTTAGTGAAACCAAAATTATTACATTTCAATTTGCAGCAATGGAGATATGTCAACATCCCGAAGAAATTGGACCGATTGGCTCCCTGCTTGGCTGTACCAGCCGGATACTGAAAGTCCTAGCGAAAGTCCTAACAGTATGAATTTTATAAAGGAAATTATGTGTGAACTCTAAACTACATCATGATTTCTTTCATGCCATGTCGTTGTGACTTCTCGTTACAGGAAATCGGACTCATTTTAATACAGATACGTGTTCAATCTGCATTGGTCAGTTTAAGTTCCCATTAGAAACAAATTGTGGCCACCTTTTCTGTGGTAGGGATCATTATCAAAGCCAAACATCTGAAAATCCATTGCTGTTTAATGAAGGTCCTGATTTTGCCTTTTTTCCATCTTCTCCTAGGCCCATGCATATCTGCTCTGACAAGTCATCAATTTGCATTACGTGCTGTACGATGTCCACTGTGCCGACAGTCTGTAAGTCTTTCTGATCAAAGGGCATGTTAAGTCGCTTTGTGTGAAATTTTCAGAAGACATGGTTTTGTTTGTACAGGTCTCTATATTTTATGAATGCTTCTCAGAGGAAGAACTGCATACTGAATCTGAAGAGCGAAACTCAATTAGAGAAATGGTTCAGTATTATAATCGTAGATTTTCAGGACAGCATTCTTCTGTAAGTTGTTCTAGTGCATTGTTCTTTAGAGACTGATGTCAGAAGCATAGACTCATTGGTAATTTTTACTTCTCTAATTTTTTTCTATTTTTTACAGCTCTGGTCTCATCTTCGTGACTTTCCTACAACAGTACGTCATATGTGGCGAGAAATTTTGCGATCTGATGGAGACACTGCTCACACAATATTCCGTTTGCGAATCGCTCTCTTCTTTGCGGCAGCTGTCATGTACTTGGCTTCACCTCTCGACTTGGTCCCTGAGGCTGCCTTTGGTGCACTTGGGCTTTTGGATGATGTTATGGTGGTTGTTCTCCTTGCAATTTACCTCAGTATCTTGTACCGACGATTAGTTGTGAGCAGGGGACAGGGGATGAATCACGTTCTCACTTGAATATCATTTGAGTAATGTGGACTTGTCATGGAAATGTGTATTGGTTTGGGATCAACATTTTGTAGTTATTTGCCTAGTCATTATGTGATGAGAACTTTGTTTTTCAAAGAGTTAAAAAGCATATTTCAGTTTGCCAAGCAACATGATTCGTATTCGAATGAGTCCATTGGGGTCACTTCCTCATAGGTTTTCCTTTCTTGTTACACCCTACTATAGCGTTTGATTTTTAGCTTATGACCTTCATTGTTTTAAGCACCTCCTTCAGTTCTGTGAAAGCTGTAACTTATGTAGTGAATGTTTTAGAATAGCTTAAAGACTTTGTGATGTATTTATTAATCATATGAAAAAGAGATTTTTTTTTTCCAACTCTAATTAATAGAATGTTTCTTTTAACTTTGTGAGACTGATGTAATATTTTTAAATGTATGCTACCACATGTTAGGAGTCCAACAAAATTATGTATGGTATGTAAAATCTAGGTCAAGAATTCACCCTCTTGCTTCAAGGTAGATAACCTTTCCTTTCTGAATAACATGTGCAATAAAAATAACAGAAATAAATTAGTCAGATCTGGTTGCAAAATTTAAACTAATAATTGTCTTATAAAATTAACTTTATTTATCACAGACAGATCATCAAAAAATACTCAACAGTTTTGAATTAGGTAAGGAATACAGATTCTCCAAGTATTAAATATTTTAAAAGGCAAATAAACACAGACATAGAACTTTACAAGAAAGACTTAAGGAAAAGCCAAGATCAAACTTCAAATGATCTCTCATCGCAATGAACCCTCCATAACAAGGCGATAAGCACCAGGTCTTATTTTATCTGCATGCGCTAGAACCATTCGGAATGTAGCATCATCGATGTGAAGAGTTGAACACAAGTGGCGGATGGTAGGATTGTCGGTAATGTTCTTGGGCCTATCTGTTAATGGTGGAACACTGTCATACCAAAGAAGCCAACATTATTAGAACTATTCTTTAGTTGGATAGTGCTTCTAAGCCAAAGAGGCAAATGGTACATACCCATTCCAATGGATGACACTTAGTAGAGTCAAAGCCAGTTTGTGCAGCTGCTGCATAAATATTGACACAACTCCAGCCCATTGATGAGGAGGCAACTGCTTCAAGTCACGTACTAATCCACGAACCAAGCTGGATTCTTCCTTGAAAACTATCATTACACTCCTGGTGTGCAGATGAATATAACAATTAATAAGTACAGTAATTTACAATCAAAATAAAAACATGACACAAAGTTTATATTTCATAAGAAATGAACCTTACTCAGACTGATCCCCTTTGCTCTGGTGTTGGTGAAGGGGCAAGCCTTGACGAATTGCTCCAGCGATCCCTGCACTCTTACTGAGGTCCACCCAAGTAACAGGCAGGGGATTGTCAAGGAGTTCTTCGGTACTTAAATCACGGCATCCAAATTCATCCAAAAGCAGGCCCTGAAATGCAAATTGTGCAAGTTAATGCCTAACACAGCAGTTTCTCTCTTATTAGTACTGAATTGTACAAAGATTTACCTGAAGGTAAAGTCCAATCTGAAAGGTGTAGCGTTGACCAGAGCGAACAAGTCTTGAGCAGCAACGAGCCTCCTCATCCATGAATAAAGCAAGGAAAGATATCATCTGAAGAAAGAAAAGATAAACAATTGAAAATAACAAAAATAGTGAAGACCTTAAGTCATAAGGTATCCAAAAATATAAACAAGGAAATGACAAGATATTGATGGAAGCACTTACAGAGTTTATGTCGGTTGTGTTGTTTCCCATCACAATAGTGCAGCCAGAGGTCTGCAGGTGGGATGTGACAGCACGCTCAACAATTGGATTTCCTAGTGTGCTTGCAGAGAGATACGACTGCAGTGCACACAGCTCTCCTAAACCATTTACTTGTAGTGAAATAAGCATGTTACACATTTCCACCATCCAAGAATCAACCATAGAGCTTGGAGGTATTTCAACACCTTCCAGTCCTTGAACATCAGAAACCTAAAACAGGACAAGAGTCACAAATGTTAATACACATACCATAAATTGTTTTTAAAAATGTTGCAAATGCAAACAAGTAATATTTCACCCACCGAAAGCAAAAAGTCAGACAATCTCACAGAGAGTCTTTCAAGCCAATGCTGACAAAGTTTTCGAAGTGGCAACAATTTTGAATAATTGCTGTACTTGACAAGCACTGCCAGAGAATACGGAGATGACCCACTTAGAGGAACATGAAACATTAATGACTGAGCCACCATATCCAAATCTGGTACGACGAACATTGCACTTGTGTTCTCCTCTGGTGTCGAGCTACCAGTCACACATGTGTAGTTAACTGTATGACTAGTAACATACTTGATAGCTTTCATGAGCAAAATTTTGTTGACTTTTGATGACATTTGGTGTGGGCACGAAAATTGACAGGCTGCTTTAACACTTCGAGGGGAAGTGAATTTCATAACTTCCATGTCAGAGGAACCCTCACTTTCATTGACATTTTCAGGCAGCCAAGCCCGTATTGTCCTTGGGCCCATAATGTCATCCCATCGAGATAATACCATTGCAGAAATAATAGAGTCATCATCATTCGGCAGCACATGAGAACAGATGGATATGCAATGCAGGTCAATGCTTGGATAGTCATTATCAGCTGAGTATGTGTCACTGAAGTCAGAATTTTCTTCATTTGGTTCTGGTGACATCCTTAATACTTCATACTTAGATGCAGATTCTGCTGGTAGAGGGTTTACTTTGATCAAATGCTTTACTTCATCTTGCACTGTACTTGCTATGTTGGCACTCATGGCTACAGAACGAATCATTGGCGGTGACAAATCACCCTTTCTCTTATCAGATACAGCTTTACCAACAATCTCACAAGGTTTGTGACAGTTGGTTTCATCCATAATTGACGAACTATGATTAGATACGGTGAACATAGTTCAAATCTATCATAAATTACCACCGAGATGAAATTCCTAATACACATTCCATATTTTTACAGTAAATGATGTCGTTCATAGTAGGAGAGATATTGGACCATCTCTTTCATATGGAGGCAATGCATAAAGCATATGCATTTCGTTAGTCTGAAACTAACTGTAGTGGAATGGAATTTTGTGTGAGTGTGATGTGCATCCTGTGTAGGACAAAGAAAGAAGCATTAGATAATTTTTTCTCCTATTTGGAGAAGAATAATATGGCCTGATCATAGTTTGGGTAATGGCCCAAATTCTATAGACTTTCTACAAGGCGTTTCCTCCTTCCCCCATAACATTGATTTGTTGAATTTGTTTGACATATGACAGAATACAGTGACAGGAAACGAGAGCAAAGCAGAAGAGGATGGGGGTGACATACAAAACAGATCTTAGATCAAGTAAATGAGGGAGACAATTCGAGACAATACGAGAGGTGGAAATACTTTAAGTTATGCTCCATTACAGAGGATAGAGTTTATTCAACAAACAAATGTCATCAATCGAAACCTGCAAGTGCAGTCAGATTGTCAGGTTATGTTTAGGAATCTACGAAAAGTTTTAGGACATACCTTTCACGTTCATTTCAAACACAGTTACTAATGCAGGGTTTTGTGCAAAGCTGATCTTGAAAGAGTGAAAATGGAATACTTCATGGTCAACGTAAAAATAATAAAAACTAAAACAAAGAAGGGGCTGATGTGATGTTGTAGTTTGAAGAGATTGGGACCGGAAACCCCCCACAGTTCAAAAAAAATACTGCGAATATACCTCTTTCGGTTGTCGTGCCTTTAACTGTTTGGATGCTTATTGGCACTTCCGGAACTGACCAGCCTAGCAAACAGCCGTTCTAGGGAATTCCGCGTACGATTGGCAATTTACCATGGGAACAGCACGGCACAGTTTTGCTGTATATTAAACGCATTGCATTGAAATACATTCCAGATGTCTGTCTAATTCACTGCAGGGCTTCTATTTCTATCGTCTTCACGAGTTTTCAGTGCAAATTCTTTTTTTGGGGGTTGGCAACGTTTCACTCGAAAAGTGGCCAACAGAACGTTTTGTACAGGAACCACGAGAAACATAACCTGGGATTGGGATTTGTGTTCAGTGTCAAATTTGACACGTCGAAACCGGTTAATTTTCCTGACTATGCGTTAGAGCTCAACGAGTCCTTTTGTTCAGAACAGTTTCCGTATGTAATGCTGTTACAATGATGTACACCTTTGCTTTGGACAGGTCATGATCACTAATCATAACAAAGTAAGTCTAACTTAAAATTTTTCTCTCCTTATTTTTCAAAACTGTCCCTTAAATCGAAGTGTACGGTGTAAGCGGTGGAATGGAATGGCTTTTAGTTCTATTCGCACTTTGAACTCTAGATTTTGAGTATTATAAGTAATTGTCGCACCTCTATTGGTTTTGAACTCGGTTCTTCTTGGTTTTTACTGTAGCGTTGGAGTTGTAAATAAATGATGAAAGGTACTGATATTTTTAAAAAAATTCAGAATGTAGTTCATGAACTTTCCATTGTTTCTCTTACTCATTCATTGTGCACCTTTTGCTGAAGCCCTTGATATTCTAGTGAATTTCACCCAGCAGTGACTTGCTTTAATTCAATGTCAAATTTTACTTGATCGATTTTTCAGTGTGCTGTGTACTGAAGTTTTATCTTCTTCAACTGAATAACTTTTCTTGACATTTTGTTTGGAAGTAATGCTTTAGTTGCTTGACATGGTATTTTGCCAAATTTATCATTGAATAGCATTGCATGATACCGGCTTTTTTAAAATAGCCTCTGTATAAAGTTGGTTGGAAAATTTTATTTTCATTGATTTAAACTAATACGCTTTGCACAAATTTCTTTCAGCATGCTTTAGAGGTGTTGGTTGTAATGGAGGTAAGTACCTTGCCGTTGCCGTGCCCCTCTCTATAAGCTCTATCCTACTCTATAAGCATTATCTTGGTATCTTAACAATATGTCAGAAATTTTTTGACATTTATTTTATACTTTTTTTTGGTCATATGATGAAGGAATTAATATCTTTGAATGCTTAGCCAGGGGCCTGCCCAGTCTCTAGCTGAGCTATTTATAGTGCTGGCATAGTGCCCTGCTGGTAATGGCCAGGATTTTATGATGAGGCCATTGTTGAGGCAGCTTGTTTAAAAGGGACCTTTTATTTATCACGTGTTTTCATTTACTTTGGAAAGAGTAAGACAGTGGTCTCTGAGATTTTACGTTTAATTATTAGTTAATTTATTTATTATGGTAGATGTGTCATTGGGCTTGCATTTTCTTAACATTTTATGATCTAATCCATGTAACCTCATTCCAATTTTAATAGTTGACAATTAATTATCTGTTTTTGCTTTTTGTCAGGGCTTTTAAGAGCTGAGGAGAATTGATCCTACTCCCATTGTTCCTAATTCTAACTTGTGTCTTCTGTAGGAGCTGAATTTGAAGAATGGCTGGGAGACCCTCCCCCGGTAACAGGAAGAGTGGACGACGTAGAAGAAAACACAAAGCAAGGATGTCAAATAAAGGTGATGGAGAAGAAGAGGGTGAGGAGGAGGAAGGAGAACAGCTTTATACCATGGATGATGATGACACTGTTCAACTGGTGGTGAATTCAGAGGTGCTCATTGAATTTTATTGATTTATGTAATTTTTATTGAATGTTTACTGAATGTTTACTGAATGTTTTCTAGCATCCTTCAAGGAAAAAAATCAAGAGGAAAAAGCTGCAGATGCCAAATAGTATTGAGGAGGACTCTGTTGCAGAGAATGTCTGGCTAACAACCATTCAAGTTTTTGTACCCTTTCTCGTTGCCGGGCTGGGTATGGTTGGAGCTGGTTTGGTTCTAGATGTTGTGCAGGTACTTCATTATCTCACTTTTTTTTTGGCATTCCCTTGGTTATCTTTGCATTGTGTGTTTATTGTCCAAAACATGTATTTCTGATCTGCAGCATTGGGATGTATTCCGAGTTGTGACTGAAGTTTTTATATTAGTACCTGCTTTATTGGGCCTCAAGGGAAACCTTGAAATGACTTTGGCATCACGTTTGTCAACCCAAGCAAATTTAGGCATTATGGATAGTCGCAAAGAGCAGTGGAAACTGATAGCTGGCAATATGGCTCTTATTCAGGTGAGTACTTTTAATAAATTTACAAACTCTAATTAAGTCTTCAATCACTAATTACAACATCCATTTTCTTTCATTCAGTGTCAAGCCATTGTAGTTGGGTCTCTAGCTGCCATTGCTGCTGTTGTAATGGGCTGGATACCGAATGGAGAGTTTGAATTTGACCATGCATTGCTGCTTTGTGCTAGCTCCATGCTAACTGCTTCCCTTGCCAGCTTTGTTCTTGGTAAGTTTCAACCCCCTGGAAATATTTATAAAGTATTTATTGGCATAGCTAATTATTTGTTGACTGAATGTCTTTGCCAGGTATGATTATGGTGGCTGTGATTTTGTTTTCTCGCTGGGTGAACATAAACCCAGATAATGTTGCCACTCCAATTGCTGCAAGTTTGGGTGATCTGACTACTTTAGCCCTGTTATCATGGATTGCATCTATGTTATTTGAAGCCATAGGTAATACCAAAGACTGTTTGTATTATTTTATTAGATAGCTGAGTGAATAGGGTTTGTCTGAATATGATGAGATGAATTATGTATGCTATGCTAGGTCAAAACCATTGGTTGGCACCCGCCATAATCCTGGGATGCCTTTTTCTTACACCATTGTGGGGCTATATTGCTGCCTCTAACCATTACACCAAAGAAGTTCTGGACAGCGGTTGGACTCCAGTCATATCGTCCATGGTTATAAGTAGGTAAGTTTGATTGGAATGGCATCATAAATGTACTCTTTGCTTTACTTTTGTGTTGATTATTATTTGAAACCTGCTTCCTTTTTTTTTTTCAGTGCTGGAGGTTTAATTCTGGATTTTACTGTGAGTAATTTCAAAGGAATAGCAGTATTCCAACCAGTGATCAATGGTGTTGGAGGAAATCTGGTTGCTGTTCAAGCATCTCGCATTTCAACATCTTTACATCAAAGAGGACATCCCGGTTATTTTCCTCCTGGAACACCTGCCCTGTGTCTCAGTCCATTTGCTGCCTTCTGTGGTTCAGGTTTGTTTTTCATGCTGTATTTATGTCTTAAAATTGTTGCTTTGTTGCCCTTTCAATTTACATTGTGTTAACTCCCTTGTAGGTAGCCATTCAAGAACCGCAAGAGTACTTCTTGGTATGGTCATCCCTGGACATCTTATATTCTCCTACACTATCAGCTATTTACATGCTGGACATACTTCCTTCACAGCGATTTTTATGCTAATCTATCTTGCAGCTGCAGTTCTTCAGGTGAGTTAATGCACTATGCCCCCTGAGATTATAATTGCTGTTTTGTCACAATTTAATTTAACTTTTTTTTTCCTCAGGTGATACTTCTTTTGTACATTGCACATGTGATGACTCTTTGGATGTGGAAAGAAGGAATTGATCCAGACAATTCTGCCATACCTTACTTAACAGCTATTGGTGACCTCTTAGGAACTGGCCTGCTGGCTTTGGCCTTCCAGTTACTGTATTTGATTGGTGATAGAGACAGTGATGTGGGTGACTGAGAGCATTGCTCGTTTAGAGACTGAATCAGAGCCTGTGATGAGTTTTGTGGGGTTGTTTCCAAGTGTGCCTCCGATGTATTTATGCATCTTAATACTTAATGTTTTATGTGTTGATAATGTTAAATGTGCCAGTAAGTGCAGCTACTGCACCATTGTTTTTAATATAAAAAGCACATTGTGTTCCATAGAGGCCATGATACTTTTTAATCAATTGTTCTTTACCCTCATTTAATGTTCCTAGAAAAATTGGTATCATCAAATTTTCCTTGAAGTGGGACAATCCCATCTTATTCTTTCAAGTGAAACTCTGTACCATACTTTATGCCAAATCAAATTTTGCTTTTCCTTCATTCTTTTGAGTAGAAGAGGATTAAGGGTAAAGAATGACTGCCTAATGTTAAGTACCAATTTCTTTGGTATCCTTGTTATTCTTGTTTTCTTTTTTAATGGGTGCTTAGTGTGTTTTCACACTCCCCTCTGCTATGTTTTGAATAATGAAATGTTTTAATATTTCTCCTACAGAGTGACTGTTTGAATTTTAGAAACCCTTACCTGCTTTAAGAGGAACTTTTTCTGTACTTGATTATCTGAGTTGCAGTGTTTTAAGTTTTGTTTTTATTGTTATAATTTCAATAAAAAGTGTATAAAATTTAAATTTGTATTTGACTGATGAGACCTTATCCCTGAGCCTCCAGAACTCAAAACGACCTACTCTTTGGCGGGTGCGCTGTACCTCAGGCAGAGAGACGTAGCTAGTACCTTAGTCTCCGGTATATCAGGCACAGAGTCGGACTGGCCCCCAAAAGGCCCCAGCGGATAAGACCGCAAAAGGCCCCCGATCATCATTATGATTTTACCCAACTTTGTGAGGCTACTGCTCCCAAACTAGTTGCGGTCAATAGCCTTCCCGATACAGGGTATGAAAGAGTAGGGCGGCCTTTTACGGCTACTAGATTGGACACAGTGGCCGCCCAAAGTCAGCAAAATCAGCAAATTTCCGAAATTCGACCACTTTTTGACCAACTTTGGTCCCAAAATCGTTGCGGTCAAAGGCGAAATCGTTGTGGTCAACGTCTTCCCGATACAGGGCACGAAAGAGTAGGGTCTTAAGAATACTAGGGCGTCGAGGGCGGCCTTTTACGGCTGCTAGATTGGACACAGTGGCCGCCCAAAGTCAGCAAAATCAGCAAATTTCAGAGATTCGACCACTTTTTGATCAACTTTGGGCCCAAAATCGTTGCGGTCAAAGGCGAAATCGTTGTGGTCAACGTCTTCCCGATACAGGGCACGAAAGAGTAGGGTCTTAAGAATACTAGGACGTCGAGGGAGGCCTTTACGGCAGCTAGATTGGACACAGTGGCCGACCAAAGTCAGCAAAATCAGCAAATTTCCGAGATTCGACCACTTTTTGATCAACTTTGGTCCCAAAATCGTTGCGGTCAAAGGCGAAATCGTTGTGGTCAACGTCTTCCCGATACAGGGCACGAAAGAGTAGGGTCTTAAGAATACTAGGACGTCGAGGGAGGCCTTTACGGCAACTAGATAGGACACAGTGGCCGCCCAAAGTCAGCAAAATCAGCAAATTTCCGAAATTCGACCACTTTTTGACCAACTTTGGTCCCAAAATCGTTGCGCGGTCACAGGCGAAATCGTTGTGGTCAACGTCTTCCCGATACAGGGCACGAAAGAGTAGGGTCTTAAGAATACTAGGGCGTCGAGGGCGGCCTTTTACGGCTGCTAGATTGGACACAGTGGCCGCCCAAAGTCAGCAAAATCAGCAAATTTCCGAGATTCGACCACTTTTTGATCAACTTTGGGCCCAAAATCGTTGCGGTCAAAGGCGAAATCGTTGTGGTCAACGTCTTCCCGATACAGGGCACGAAAGAGTAGGGTCTTAAGAATACTAGGACGTCGAGGGAGGCCTTTACGGCAACTAGATTGGACACAGTGGCCGCCCCAATTCAGCGAAAACTGCTACTTTCGGAGATTCAATCACTTTTTGCTCAACTTTGTGACGTTACTGGTCCAAATCCGAAGGCCCCGGCAGATTTTTCTGCCAGTCCGAGCCTGATCAGGCCGAGGCACAGTGTGCAGTGTCCGCCCGAGGGGTAGGCAACCCATCCAACGCCTCCTTGGTCCTAGTTCGGGGAGTCCTGCCAACAGATGGCGCCGCGGTCTAGAGGCACCAAAGGCACCTGCCGACAAGGCTCGCGGTGCGGTGGCTTCTTCGAGGTGCGACGGCACGGTGTGGTGGGGGCAGTGGGGGTCGTCCCGCAGTGGGGGTGGGGGCCGCGAGCCGCGGCGGCCGCGAACGCGATCCGGTTCAGCTTCAGCCGCGCCGCCCCGCCGCCAGCCGCCCAGTACGCTTCCAGCAGCGCAGGGCGCCGGGCCGTTCCGCATTTCCGTGGCACTTGGCTGCGTGCTGTTAGCGAGTTCGCGAACGACATATCGCGTGTGTCTGTGTGTGGGTGCGTGCGCCTAGTGCGCCATGTCGGTGCGGTGCTGTACGTGATGGTGCGGCGCGGGAAGGCCGGGGGGGCCGGCACCATGACGTTGCGCGAAGAGGGTGCAGAGGATACGGGCGGCAGTGCCTAAGTGGAGTGCTATGTGAATTTGTGAGTGGTTGCGTGTGTGTGTTAGTGAGGATTAGTGTCGGATACCTGTGCGGCGCGCTGCACTGCGCTGCACTGCGCTGCATTCTCGCACGGCCAGTGAGGCCAGTGCACCCAGCCACGCTTGCCGCCTTGCCGCATGACATCCGTGCGGGGCTCCCTCCGCCGCAGCAGGCGGCCGGGGCTGCCGGGGTCCACGTCGTTGGCGTCGCTGACGTCGCCCCAGGGCCGCCCCTCGCTGAGCTCCCTGGGGTCGCTCAGCTCCCTGGGGAGCGGCGCGGACGACAGCTTCCACGGCGTCCTGGACTCTCTGATGGGCGAGGGCCACAGGATGCAGCCCAAGTACGCCCTCGAGGACTACATCTACGAGGTGCAGGCGCGCGACAGGATGGCCCACGAGCACCTGCAGCACCCGCACCGGGAGAGCGCGGCCGCGCCCGGCGCCGCGGACGGCGACGACGTGTACGCGCAGCTCCAGCAGAAGGAGAAGGACCTGATCCTGGCCGCCGAGCTGGGCAAGGCCCTCCTGGAGAAGAACGAGGAGCTGAGTCGCCAGAACGAGCGCATCGCGGAGGAGTTCTCGCAGAAACTTGAGGTGGGTCCCTTTTCCCTTTTCGCCTCGCGAAGCATCGCGCTGTCGCACTGTCGATCAATTCGTCATTTGAATTCCCTCTGCCGCGCACTGCCGGGCCCGAGCACCGCTTTTCTCTTCTCCTGGCCTCTGGCCCGCGCTAGCCTGCGCCTGGCGGCCTGGCGCTACGCAGGACAGGTGAGCCTAAGTGACAGTGTTGCCTGCCAGCTCTGCCAGGCGGGCCCTCCCTGCCTCCCATTGTCTTTGTGCGCGGAGAGAGAAGGAAAGAGGTTTCGTCCCGTCACCGCGCGAACCGGTGCGTGACTGCGTGACCCCCTCGCCGGACTCACCGGCGGGCTGGGCCTGGCGGGGCCGCTCCAGGAGTGGTTTGGCCAAGACTAAGACACGGGGACGGCGGCGCTGGCGCTTCGGCCGTGGTCCAGGACCCTTGGACGCACGCGGTGCGCGGAGCGACCGCGCGGTGCGGTGCGGTTCAGTCCGCCGGGATGGGTACTGGGCGCAGTGCAGCGCAGTGTTGCCAGCTCGGCGCATGCGGTTCTCCTTCCAAAACCTGCAGGGGCTCCTGCTCCTCAGGTGTGGAAACGATTGAACGTCGCGGACTGCTCGCGTTGCCCCACGGCCCCCCGCTGAAGTGCGAGAGGGCGGCCGTCGGGGTCAACCCGTGTCGTGCCGCGCCATCTGATTGGTGGTCTCAATGACCTGGATCTGGATGATCTGGATCGGCCGCGATGACCAATTAGGGCCCAGACAGACGGCGGCCCCTCCCCCGCCCCGCTGTGGTCACTCTTTGTCTACCGGGGTACCGCCAGGGGGGCCTAGGTTGTCTGCGATCCCGACTGCAGACTGATTACGAGACGCTCTGTCCCCCACTCGCGTAAGTGCGAGAAAGACCGAGCGACGAAACCGACTCTCGGAATCAGTCTGCTGTCTGCTGGAGGCCAGAGTCGTGTCTAAGAAACTGGGCCCCAGTGTAGCTGCCCCCACACCCAGCCCGCCGAGTGTAGCGAGGCGGCGAGTGTCTCACTCAAAGCACGCTTTGCCGCGGCTGCCGGGCTGCCTGTCTACCGCACTGTAATACGTCAGAGCAGAGATAGAAGCCCATTCACCGGGCGAGCCGACCGCAGATGCCGGACGTGGCGCTCCACGCACATGTCGCTGATGAATCGATTGTAATCTTCGATATCTCGATCATCGCGCCTGATTGTGGCGCGGCACGGCCACACACTTCTTGGTTGCAGGCGTACACAGTAGTCAGTCATTCCGTGTAGACAAACTGAAGCAACACGTGGGTTTCCCTTTCTCTCCAAGGCATAAAATTAGAAATTTTGACAGCAGCAAAAACGGGGTGCGGTACGCCTCGCGGTGCGCGGTGTCGGTGTGGCCGTACAGTAGGGTCCGCCTTGACGACGGCATCCTGGTCCTGCTGGTCCTGTGCCGTCCCGGCCGTCCCGGATCGGGGGCCGAGCTTCGATGAGTCATCTAGACTCGGCGTCACCGTCCGGCCCGTGCTCATTGCCATTCGGTGTCGGGCGGGGCGGGGCGGGGCGGGGCCCGGTTCACCTCGCTGCCGGTCCTGCCGGCCGCTGCAGCACTGAGGCAAGCAGGAAGGCGTCTGGGTCTAGAGGCTCTAGAGGGACTTAAACTACATCTGCCTGCGGGGGATCGTGACCGATCGTGACCGGCCGGGCCGCGCTGTTCGCTGCACAGCCTGCACAGCTCACGGCTCCCATTTTGCGGCGTTTCAAAAGTTGGCCGACGTGTGCGGCGCGGTGGCGCTGGCGCCTATTCAACTTCGCCGTCGTCATCGTCGTCGTCATCGTGGTGGTCGCGGTGCTGCCTGCAGCAAGGCCTGCAGCGCGGAGCCTTCGGGGATAACCTGGCCGCGGTGTTACGACCACTTCCGTAATCACGTGTACAAATCACGCCGAATCATGCCACTTTGACCCCCACCCACCCGCGCTGCAGTCCCGCTGTCCTGCCGGCTGCAGTCCCCGGGGCCCCAGGGAAATGGCCCCTCTTTGGGGCCTCCGGTCCCCGCCGTCCGCGCCGTCCGCGTCGTCCGCCCGGCCAGCACGTCCACCGGGACGCTCCTCCGGTGTGAGGGCAATTTGGACTTCCCCGGCGGGCGGCGTCCGGGCGGTCCGGGCGGCCGGATGACGCGCTGCTTCGGGGCGAGCTTGTGCGCCGTGGCCCTGCCGCCCTGCCCCGCCCTGCCCCTCCGTGTCGTCGTGGCGGAGGGAAAACGCCGCGTCAGTGCCGCTGCCCCACGCTGCCTGGTGCCCTCCGCGGCCATGCCCTGCGCCCTGCTCTGCCTGCAGGCTGATTGTGTGCGTTGTGATGTGGTGATGATTAGGCCTGCCCTTGTGGGTGCATAAAAAGGGCGGGCCGTCTGCTGCAGCCACTCGGTAGACAACAGCTGATTTCATGGGGGCGGAAGTGGTCGAAATGCCC